GGTAATCTTTAATATTTGAGGTAATCTGATTACCTCAATTTTCTTAGGTATTATAAGATTACCAGTACAATTCTATCCCTTATTAATAAAAATTTTAGGACAATAATACCCTTATTTTTATTTTATTTACATGAATGTTGCTTTTACTATTTCACCCCAATTAATTAACTTTTTGGACAAAATTACCCTTGAATTCAAAACAAATTGCAGTCCACCCAAGCCACCACCCCCACCACTTGTCGTCACCTACCGCCGGCAACCATCGCCGTGGCCAGCCGCCGTCACCGCCAAAAAGGTGCACGGTAGGCCAAAAATGGCCATTGTGGGCCGATATGGCCATTTTTGACCAGAAATGGCTAGATCTAATCTGGCTGTCACGGATCTGGCCGTCTCTAATCTAGTTGTCAACGGCTAGATTTGTCACGATCTGGCCATTTTCGACTAGAGTACACAGAGGCCATTTCCTGCCTTCCATGCTCCGTTAGCTTGCCGACGGTGGTTGCCAACGGCAGGTAGTGGCTGGGTTGGTGAGGGTGCTTTGTTGATTTTTCAAAGTTTTATTACAGAGTCGTTTTTTCTAAGTTTTTAAATGCAGGGGGGGGGGGGTTATAATAATCAATATTAAAAAATAATATTTAATTAGAGAACAATTCAGTAATTTAAATAACATACCCACCAATTTATTCCTCATAACCAAACATATTAATAAAACATACCCACTAATTTATTCCAACTAACCAAACATGTTTTCCTAAAGATTCCCAATAATCTTCAAAGTAATTTAACTTTTTAGTAATCCAACATTCCTAATAATCCAACATTACCTGAACCAAATGCACCCTAAAGGTAATACTGCACTTATAACTTAATCTCACAAACTTTCTCTCACAATCCCAACATGGTAGCTCGCAATTGGTCAACTCACAATCGATCCCACTTGTCCAATTTTAGGTCCCATTTGCTCAATTGCGAGTTACCACGTCGAGGTTATAAGAGAAAGTTTATAAGATTAGGTTGTAAGCCAATTTTTATTGTACTAATAATACCACACTTACAAAGATTCTATATAAAATATTTCATACAAAGTGATGTGTCAAAATACGATTGGATGAATTAATATAAAAATTAACTTAATAAATGCATATTAAATTATGGTGAATGATATGTCAATGCAAGAGTATTGTCACATTCTTTTGTATAGAGTCTTTGTAAGTATAATATTACTCATTTATTTACTAATCTTAGTTTCGGATAAGATTATCATAAAGGATATATGTGTGTGCAATCGATTAAAAACACCTGTTCATATCTTTATCACGGGCCTACTAGGCATCCCAAATTTTGATTTTGTATGGTTTAAACAATGACTCAAGATTTGATATCATAATGGCATGCATAATGTATAGTATTATGATACAAGTAATAGGACAAGGTTATGGTGCCGTGGGAGACATGATATGATAGGAAAAAAAAAAAAAAGGATGAGAGGAAAAAGCAATGGCCATAAAATAACAAAGTGGGTCAGGGAGATTTTAGATTGGTGGCTCAAAATAGGTTGGGAGGAGCTTTCATCTTTGAAGAAAGTGGGTAAATGGTAGAGTGGGTTCACCACAAACACTTTGTTATACCAAAATTTCTTGACTTATTTATCACAAACTCACTATATTTCACACTGCTATCTTGTCTTGTGGCCTTGTGGGGTTCCACTTCCACCGCGCCTTCTCAAATCAAAATTATGGACCCCCTTGTTACTATATTTCAATTTATACCCTCAATTTAGAGCTTCTTCAAGAGTAATTATCTAAATAACAAAATCATTATTTTATCAAAAGACTATTGCTATATATCTCTATATAGATGAATTGGCCGACTAGTTTCAAATATATAATATTTTACATCTATTCGTGATAGCCCAGATGGTTAAGGCGAATTATCAATAATGTGGATAGATGCACAATTTTGTTCGATTCCCCATCTGAGCATCCATGATCTAAGTAAAACACTTAGATTAGTCAAGTCGGGTGTGGCGTAGCTAACTCAGTCGAGTTGTTGACTTAGATACCTTGGTAATTAATCTAAAGGTTATAATAAGATAAAGATTGGTTCACAACCCAATCTTACAAACTTTCTCTCGCACCCCCGACGTGGTAGCTCGCAAATGGTGGCAAGACCATAACGAACAGGTTAGACCGATTTGCAAGCTAACAATTGCAAGTTGCCACACAGGGTTGTGAGATAAAGGTAAAAAAATGGGTTTTAAGTATATATTACCCTTAGGGGCCGTTTGATCAAGTTAATATTAGATAATTAAGGTAATTTTTTTAAATTTAGCAAATGACGATGTTTGGTTGGTTTGTAAAAATTATTCTTGGAATATTTTATGACAAACAGTACATTTGGGTTATATTGTCGGAAATCTTAATACCTCGGCGAGGGGGGGGGGGGGGGGGGGTGGGTGGGGGCGCTGTTATTAAAACTTACCCCTGCTAATACAATTGTGTTTCCGATGTTGTCCTAGATAGTTGAGCATTTGGTCCAAATTAACCTTATATTTGTTAACATTTACAAAACACCCAATTCACTCGTGCAGACACTTTTGTCCTCGCTTCTAGCCACTATCGATCGCCACCAAAGGCTGTCAAAAGTAGCCATAATAGTGTACAATCGGCTATATATGGCCGGCTATGCGCTGGTGAGGCTTTTTCTAACCATGGATTATCCATGGTCGAAAAAGGCCAGATCTATGGCTATCTCATGACCAGATCTGTGGCACTGCCAGCGGTGGTGGCTAGCTGCTGGTAGTGGCTTGGGGTGGGTATGAGTGTTTTTGTTAAGTTTAAAACGTTTTTGGTTGTTAGGGTGTTTTTGCTAAATTTGAAAAGTAGGGGCTTAAAAGAATTATTTAAAAAATAATAATAAAAAATATTGTTATATTAATATTTAAAAATAAGGGCAATTTAGTAATCTATATAACATATCCACCCATTTATCCTCCTAACCAAACATATTATTCACCAATTTATTCAAATCAACCAAACACACTTTCTAAACATTCTCAGTAATCTTCAAGGTGATCTTTTATTCTGTTAATATAATATCCATCTATAATAAAACATTATATGATCCAAACGCCCCTTTATTAATATCGTGTGGATATTGTGAGTGAACATATAAGTTCAGAAAGACAAAGTTCCAACTATTATAATTATTTCCAATAACAATTTAAAAATGTTTGATAAATAGTAAATTTGCTTAATAATATAAGGTAAATAATTACATATTAATTTATAAAAATTTAGAAATTTAGTTTTTATTCTTAAAAATAAAAATAAAAAGAGTAAACGGCATTTTCCCACCCAAGGTTTGGTGAATTTGAGTTCCCACCATTGGTTGCATAAATTGCAGATTTATGTGAATCTTATTTATCCAAAAAATTCCTCAGTTATTTTGGATAGAAGTTTCATTTAGTATTATAGGTGAAAATAATTTTTTCATTCTTCCACGAGAAGATCCATAGGCGAAAGGATCATATATTTTAGGTAAATATTTTTTTAAGTCTCATTATTACATAATTTAGTCCTTTTTTTGAGTACATCCCAGGTAAGAGATCTTTTATCCAAAACTTTGATTATACTTAAATTAGCGCCGTTATTTTTTTCTCAAAATAACTCTTATATCTCAAATTTTTTTCAAATAACCCCTAGAGGATCCCAGCCAAGCCAAGAATCCAGCTTTATTCCAGCACCATTGGATCTCCTCGACACCACCATCAACATCCTCTTATCCTCCTTACCAAAACCTCTAACTTTTCCACCTGATTGCACATTGGCAAGGTGCCGGAACTTGGCTGGAAAGGGGCAAAAAAATACAAAAACTTAAGGGAGAGGCGGTGGCGATCGGCGGGTAATTGCAGTTGGCGATGTTGGGGGTTTTGGTGGGGGGAAGCCAGCGATGCTATTGGTGGTCTTAGGGGTGGTTTTCGGTGTCGGGACTTGCCGAAATTTGGATGAAACGACGATTGACACTAAAAACGACAACCGACTATTAGGGGGTTCAATCAGACGTGGCGGTTAGGGGTTTTGATGTGGGGGTTGAGAGGATTGCAATGGTGGTGTCAAGAGGGGTTGATTGTGCCGGAAACAGGTTGGAATTGCCTGAAATCGTCGGTAGGATGAATTAGAGAAGTGAAGGGTTATTTTGAATTTTCATCTTTGAAATGACCATTTTACCTTTTTAACCGTTAGATTAAATAGTTATCTGTTAATTTAAGGGTAAAAATCTATAATTTATGAAACCAGGGATGAGAACTTATAGATTCGCCAAACCTTGGGTGGGAAAATATCGTTTACTCAAATAAAAATTATATAAAGCAAATATTTGTACCAGAGTGTTTGTGACTATCTTGCCCCACTTGAAACATAGAACGTCGCTAACCCATCGAAGGCATTCAGTTCCACACTCCCCAGCCAGATAAGTGGAACCCACCTTCTAAAGAAGCTGGCCACAATTAAACGTGCTTTTCACCGCTTTTAAGGACGCGTGATTCTTATTTAACCACCAACAAAATGGAACGGATCAGAATCTAACAGCAAAGCAAGCAACCATATACCGTACTCGCACCCAAGTTCACAAATGATACACGAACGACTTTTTTCCTTTTGCTTCCGACAATAACAGAGCGAGTAGCAACGTCAAACATTGGGCAGCGCGTGAAGAAACTTTAGTTTCTGAAGAGTTCTAAGATATTCGTTTCCTTCACAGTCACTCGCGTCCATCGCAGTGGAGTGGACTGGCCCGCCGGTGGTTTTTTTTTTCACAAAATATTTTTCTCATAATATTATCCAAATCCTATATTTATTATTATTTAGCTCTACCGCTTAAACCTTTTCATGTTTTCTCTCGATCGAGTTTTGCTTCTTCCTTGTTGTTAAGCTCGGCTAATTCTGCATTAATTTCTATAGAAAACGATGTCGTTTTTGTAGACTGGAATGAGGTAGTGGTACGAGTACGTTGTTGTAGAATAGTGAGAAAAGAAAATGCGAACGATTTGCGACGTTTGTGAGAACGCTGCTGCGATTCTTTTCTGTGCAGCTGACGAAGCCGCTCTTTGCCACTCCTGTGACGAGAAGGTAATATAATTTTAGTAGTTGTTTCCTTAATTTCTTAATCTAGCTGAATTCATGATGATTTAATTGTTCGTAATTTGTTTCTTTAACTTAAATTGTTGAAAATTATTTGGTCAATGGCCTTAAGAACACGAAGATCCGTTGGTATGAATACTGTTTTATCTGTTAAGTTAAGTTAAATGGATGTAAATATGTAATTTGTTTGTTGTAGGTTCATATGTGCAACAAGCTGGCTAGTCGACACGTGAGGGTGGGACTAGCGGCTCCGAGTGATGTGCCACGCTGTGATATATGTGAGAATGCGCCTGGTATGTAGGTTTAGTGATTTATATTTTTGAGAGGAATTGATATTTGAGGTTTTGAAGTTTGTTTCTTCCCTTGGAAACGTGTATGTAGCTTTCTTTTATTGTGAGATAGACGGTAGTTCCCTCTGCTTGCAATGCGATTTGGCTGTGCATGTTGGTGGAAAAAGAACCCACGGGAGATATCTCTTATTGAGGCAGAGAGTTGAGGTTTGTGTCTCTGTACTCGAGAGGTTCTGTTCTTGTTCTGTAAATGGTATTATTGAAATCATTTTTGTTTTTCGTTTGGTATGTTTTTGTAGTTTCCAGGGGATAAGCCAGGTCATTTGGAGGAGCTAGCACTTCAAACTTTTGATCCAAGTAAAGTAAGGAGGGACCAGACTCAACCACCTAAGATCACGGCAAGAGTGAACCAGCAAAATCATAGGGCCTCTCCTGCTCCAATGCTAGATGGTGATGCTGATGGTGACGGCAAGGTGGAAAATAAATTAATTGATCTCAATGCCAGGCCCCAACGAGGGCAAACTTCAAATAATCAGGTATCTGTATTCCAGAGTCTCTTTTTTTTTTTTTTTTGGTAGTTCTTTGATATCTAAAGTTATTTGTATTCTTAAACCTTTATGGCCTTGCTTTTGTTTGCATGTTAAGTATTGTATTTGTACTTTGAGTTGATAATTTTTTTGCTGTATTAATGTTTAAGGAACAGGGCATGGATGTTCTGAGTGGCAGTAATCATGAGTCACATGGCGTGGTTCCTGTTAGATCCTTCAAAAGCGATCCTGAAAAATGAACAAGGTATAATCCTTATCTCTCATTGATCCTGGTTTATATGTTTCATCTCTTCTTTCCGTTTGGTATCTGTACTTGTTTGAGTAATTTGGTTTTGGGGAATATATTTTGGTATTCTTGAGAAGTGTTCTGAATATTAAACTATCTCATCTTGTTTAGTATGGTTTTTGGTGTTTGATATGGTTAGTATAACATTGCTGGTAATGTTATTCTTCCTATTATATGGATATGTTGTTTTTCTCTCCTAGAAAAATTGGATTTCCAGTTTGAACTTCAAAAGGAAAATTCTTATATTGTATCAAAATTTTGTTATGTGATGGTGATTTGCACATGTAAGTCAGAATTCTCCGTCGAGCATTCCGCATATCGGATGATTGCTACCTCTGGGTAAAGACTGGAAGATCTAATGAAATTCTTGTTTCAACCCATGTGTATATTTGCCTTGTTTCAGTGGAGGTCTAAAGTTGCTTTGTATGTGCATCTTGTTTATTAAGTCTTTATCCTAGTCATGTTATCTGAGTTTCAGCGAGTCATGGCTTAAAAGTTTTGGCTTTGTATTCTGGATATTTATAATAATTTGTAGCTATATCAGCCTCAAGGTTTTCTAGTGGTATATTAGTCTGTGGATGGTGAAACTACACTGATAAATGACATTGTCAGTATGTTTGTTTTAGAAATTTTTGCATGGAGTTCTCATATCTTGCAAGCATGCGCACAACTTTGAACATATTTCTTTGACTAATGATGTTATATAAGTTGAGAATAACTTTAGAAGCAAAATGTTAAAGAAAGGGTGTAGAAGTTATTTGTAAATTTGTATGCCTACAATTCTTGTGCTTATATCAACCTGGTTGATTGGGCTTGGTTTTAGAAATTGTGAGGTCTTGGAGTGGGGCTTGATTGATATGCTTTTGGAAGTTCTCTGGCTCCTAGGATCATGAGTTTCTAGCTGTGCCTACAATCATGTCGTGCAAGTACTAAAGTTACGCAAATGCTCTTTGATTTGGTAACTTGTATGTTTAATTTAGTGTTAATCTAATCTAATTAAAAGTTGCTGCTGGCATTTATGTTGATGAATTTTAAGATGAGAGTTGATATGACTGTAAAGTCGCGTGAAGTTAAGCCACTTTTGGTATTTGATTTGCTGAAGTAGATGTGATATGGTACTCTAGTATCATATTCTAGAATGGTAATTGATTTTTCTCTAGTTTATTAAAGTTCAAGTTTTGAGGGGCACTTTAATTGAGTTATTATAGATTCTTAAAAAAGTAAAAAAAAGTAGGATTCATCTGTTTTTTACTTGTCTCTGTAGACTATTAAGAGATTTGTTTCATAAAGGTCAGTGCTAATCCTCTCATTATCAGGAGCGCTAGTTTGGGCAAGTATTCTTCTAGAATGGTTTCATTGGATCCCAAAATGTGATTAATTTAACGACCTGAAACCAAAAATGAGGAAAAAGTTGTGTTCCTTCTAATTTCATACCTTCTTCTTTTTCATTTTGGTGATATGGTTCGTTTATAATGAGGTTTCTAATATATAATGGTCATTAGTGGTGCCAAGATGAAGAATGTATTAAGAAATTGTTTAATCTTTTTTCCTCTTATGAAGTGACAATTGTCTGTAGTAAGATAAGGGTTCGAAAGGATATGGATGTTCTTCTTCGATCATTGTTATTGGATGAATAAAAAAAACCTTTGTGGTTCCATGTATTTTACTATTTGTGCAATTATGGTAATAACAGAGATGCTTTTCTTCCTTGTACTTTGTGGGTGCAGATGTGTTGTTGGTGATGTTCTTCCAAACTCAGCTCCTGGATCGAGTAAATGGTTTGAACAAGTTCATAAGAGAAATTTGTTTGCGTTTTCCATTTGATTAGGATCTGTATTCGCTGTGAAGAGTTGGATAGATGAAATAGAATTTTAACCTGTGTGTCAAAAGTGATCAGGCTAACGCTACTCTGATAATGTGAATATATTGCAATATTGATACTCTGTACCAAAAATAATTTCAGTGAATCTGATGAGAGTGATTCGAAAAACATCCACAATTCTATCACCAAAATGAGCAACATTGTTGATAGATTATTCAGTGTCTTCTGCGATAAAATCTCCAAAAGGCGCCAATTTTGACAACTACTTGTCTAAGTTTGGCTTGAGACTGTTTTTTTTTTTTTTTTTTTTTTTTTTTTTGGTATCCAAGGGTGTTTGGCCAGTTTGTGTGCATCTCAACTAGTCGTTCGGGGCTTTGAAATTAATGATCAGGTAAGCTTTCCGTGGTTACCTTTTATTAGTAGTCATGGGGATTCGAACCCAAGATCTTTTGAATAATACATTCAAGAGTCTCAAGTGAACTGTTAAGCTACTTAGAGGTAGTTTGGCTTGAGATTGTTGCTTCTCTAATCAGGGATTGGAAAGCTCGATTTGCTATTTATATTTGAGTGGTTCTTTTCTTTCTACATACAACAAACATATGCTCCAAATTGACCTTAAATTATTATCCTCTAGCAAATTCAATTTGTAAAGGTAATGAAGTACTAACTCTATCAACTTGGTTGGATAGATGGAGAATCGAACCTGAGATAGTGCGTTTATCACATTATTCTCAATTCACTTTATCCATCTGAGTTCTCCATTGATGGATCAATATTTTACTGCTTTCACAATATAACTAATCAAATAATGGCCAGAGATACCTGATAATGCATGACATAATTTTTTTTTTTTAAGCAAATCCGGAAGTTTAGAGAGTAATATTATTGATTAGAGAGTAATATTATTGATAAAAGATGAGGACATCAAAATAGACTCAATACACAGTAACAAATAGAGATTAAGAAAACTAGTAATTAAGGAACCCCTAATAATCGTGAAGAAACAAGTACGGAAACAACCAAACCACTTGGTATATGGTCGAATGATAAGACTTCCGGGTCGGTTACTCAGAGGTTTTATGCTCAAATCCCATTTGTGACTTACTTGACCCATTAGGTTTGTAGGATGTTTAATAGATCTCAGGGATTAGTTGCTCGGAACCGCCGGTTACCAAAAAAATATAGAATCAAGCATGCATAAAGATGATGTAGTGATACACAACATATAATCTCATCACAAATACATACTAACTAATCTCATCAAGAATAAGTTTATTAAGAGGCTAGAAGTACATTGTAACCATCAAGCAAAAATAGTCTCCATCCATGCATGGCTATAAAATTAAGCATTAACAGATTGAGCTAAGAGAACTTGTCATCACTAAGTTTTCTTCTTCTTCTTCTTCATCACCATATCTTTATCTTCTGCAAATCTGTCTTTAGCTTTGCTGCAAACGATTTAGTAGACGTACCCCTTCACGAACATTCCTTTCTTTGCCTCTTCTGACTCTCCCTCACCAGTGTACTTACCCAGCTGAGCAAGTGAGTTGGCATTGGCACGCACAAGCAGTGTCTCCTGAGCTGCCTTAACATTCTCTGGCCTGCCTCCCCATGTCTTCAAGCAGGTGTTTTGGAGGGCTCTTGCATACGAGAACGACACATGCCATGGGTGTGGAGCTTGGTTCATGGCGTTCAAGTTCAGGGTTGCCTCAACCTCAGATTGCCCACCAGACAAGAACTGCAAATGAAACATGAGAATTAATGCATCAGCTGATGATTAAAATTTCTATTCATAAAAACTCTTGAAGCTTAATTTGTTTGTGAAACTCGCCATGATGCCGGGGACAGCTGGTGGGATTCTCCTCTTGAGGAGCTTGAGGGTGTAGTCAGCAACCTGTTGAGGTGTGGCCCTTTCCTTGCATTCAGCACCAGGGGTGACCATGCTAGGCTTGAGGAGGATTCCCTCAAACATCACATTGTTCTCAGCAAGGTAGAAGAAAACCTCTGCCCAAACCTTCTGGGCTACTTCAAAAGTCCTGTCAATGCCGTGGTCACCATCAAGCAAGATTTCTGGCTCCACAATTGGGACCAATCCATTGTCCTACAACATCCAAGTCACACAATTTTTCTCATTAATTCATAAACTCATCCAAGAAATTGCATGTTTCTACAGCTAAACACCAATTAACTTTTGCAGTTAAGCTATCTTACCTGAGAAATGGCAGCATAGCGGGCGAGACCCCAGGCTGCTTCCTTCACTGCCAAAGCAGATGGGCCATTGGGGATGCTCACAACAGAACGCCTAATCAATCAAATGGATTCAGTAAAAAGGAGGAACATTGATATCTAAGTCTAATTCATTTAAAATTTTGCGGTGAGAGTATGATTTATACCATTTGGCAAAACGAGCTCCCTGTTGATAGTAAGCTGCTGTGCGAGAAGCAAGGCCATCAAGACCTTGGCACCAAGACTCATCATTGGAACCAGCAAGGGGAACCAAACCCTGTTATTAATCATTTCATCATCATCAAAAAAACCCACAAGTTAGTATCAATTTTTGCATGTATTTTCTGAAAATCTAACGTCATATTATCCAATTAGCTAATTAATTACCTTGTCGACTTTGATACCAGGGACAATGTTTTGCTCAACAAGCACATCAACCATCTTTTTGCCATCAGTGGTGGATTGGTAGAGGGTCTCCTCGAAGAGGATGGCACCAGAGATGTACTTGCCGAGGCCTGGAGCTGAGACAAGAAGTGTACGGTATGCCTGGCGGTTAGCCTCAGTGTTCTCTAGCCCAATTGAGGCAAGACGTTTTCCACAGGTAGCATTTGACTCATCCATGGCCAAAATTCCACGCCCTGGAGATGCAACAGTTTTCTATACAATACCATACATATAAAATGCACATAATCAGACCCAGCTGGTACTGTTTAAAAACCCATCAACAGTTTTTTTACTCTTCACACATTATGAGTCTTTGACTTGCATGCAAGGTGATTTGAACACAACTTCTGTTTTCCATTAATTACTTACAATAAAGTTGGCAAAAAGTGAAAGCGACGTACTGATATAGCCATGCATTAAAAAGATACAACAAAAACATACCGCAGTTTTGACGAGCTCATCAGCATAGGAACCAGCACGAATGGTAAGAGCAGAAGGGGCGTTGGGGTGGCATCTAACAACAGAGACAGAGGGCTGACGGATGATGGTCTGGCCCTTAACCCACTCAGACTTGTCAAGAACGGGAGATGACTTGAGGAGAAAAGCCGATGCTGAGGCCATTGTTGTTGTTGTTGTTTTGGTTTTGAGAGGCTCTAACTGGCTAACGGAAATCGATAACAGCCTCAAAACAAGAACTATTTTATAAATCTTATCTCCAGTACACTATCTTGATGAGCTGAGCCTCTTTACCACACATACAATAACTCCTCACTGTATTTATAGTTGTCTTAGACTCTTTTGTGTATATTATCATAAGATGTCTCATTTGAGGCTGTCATGAATCTACCAATTGTGTCTCTCCATGTGGGTGATAAATTTTGCTTACTTGGCACCATGCATGCCTGGCTCAAATGGATGCTTTTATGCCCACCTCGTAAAAAATTGAAGAAAAAAAATTTCCCAAATCGACAAAAGTGTCTTCTTCTATATATGAAGTCTTGTTTCTAACCTTCAATTTGATTAATGGTCATTGTTTAATCACAGGATTTGATGAGACTGTGAGTTCAATATTGACGGTAGAAAAGCTTCCCACAACAGCTGTGCGATGTCAATTGTCTAGACTTGCTGTTTCCTGGCTCACCTTGGTCTAGAAACATCATGGGGTGGGCTCATTTCTTCTTCTTCTTCTTCTTTTTTTTTTTTTTTCGTGACTAGGGGTGTCCAAATCAGCTTGCGTAAATCTCAATTAATCCTCTAGGACCTTAAAGTTGATAGTCGGGTAAATCCCTTTAATGACCACCTCTATTAACAACTCAGGTGGATCGAACTTAAGACCTCTTGAATAATACACTCAAGAGTCCTAATTGATAGTCAGGTAAATCTCTTTAGTGGTCAACCTTATTAACAAGGGCTTCCCACAATAGCTGTGCGATGTCAAGTGTCTAGACTTGCTGTTTCCTGGCTCACCTTGGTCTAGAAACATCATGGGGTGGGCTCATTTCTTCTTCTTCTTCTTTTTTTTTTTTTTCGTGACCAGGGCTGTTCAAATTAGTTTGCGCACATCTCAATTAATCATCTGGGACCTTGAAGTTGACAGTCGGGTAAACCCCTTTAATGACCACCTCTATTAACAACTCAGGTGGATCAAACTTAAGACCTCTTGAGTAATACACCCAAGAGTCCTAGTTGACAGTCAGGTAAATCTCTTTAGTGGTCACCCTTATTAACAACTCAGGTGGATCGAACTCAAGACTTCATAAGTAATACACCCAAGAGTTTTAGTTGACCGTCGGACCACCTAATGATGGTTATCTCTTTTTATGGGTTTTAGTGTAGACTCGTTGTTGTGAATTAGGGCAAACACCACACAGGGTAGGCTCATTTCACTGCCCCCACATCAACTAGCAGATCCCATGGCTGATTTAAAATGCCAGTGACTTGTGGTTTAGATTCAACCCTTATTCCCAATCTTGTGAACACTGTGAACCCCTAATGTTTACGACCCATACCAACAACAAATGTTGAAGGGTTGGTATAACTGTTCAATTGAGAGTTTTACTCTTTACTGAGAGGAAGCACTTTCCAAATTTCTATATTTTTGGGGGTTAGGTTATCACATGAATAGGATAAGAGAAATGCTGCCAGAAATTTGCAATCTACAAATATTCCAACCGGAGATTACATTCCAATACAGTAAGAACATGTTTTTATTTTCAAATTCAAGTGGTAGGTATTTTTTTTCAATCTTAAAACTGTCCACTGTTCTAATATTAATCTCGCTATAATGGTTTGTGTTACAATGTTCTAAAATAATCTAAAATACTGCTTTGGTGGATAGTTAAATCTCATCAAATGGGTGAGAAGGTCTTCTAACATCCTTTTTAAATAAATACGATTGATAAAAAAATGTATGTCTGCTTAGAACAAGAAAAACAGATTTATTATCTCTCTCTTTTTTTTTTTTTTGGGTATCCGAGAATGTCCGAGTCAACTTGTGTATACCTCAACTAATTCTCCGGAGTAGTGACATTGACGGCCAAGTAAACCTCAAATGACTACCCCTTTTTAATAATCGTGAGGATTCAAACTCAAGACCTTTTGAATAATACACTCAAGAATCACAAACGAATCATCAAGCTATAGAAGTATTCACAAAAGGATGTACATAAGTAATTTTTTTTTCTTATGGGTAAAGCTGAATTAAGGGTTCAAATAAGTACCGTCCCATCTAAATTTCTAAGCAAAGCACAAGAAGTTCATTTGAGTTTCAGCTTCAAGGGTGCATCCGAATGCCGCCTCAATTATGCTATGAAACAGCAAAATCTATATGTCATGGAGCAGAACGGATTCGCATGGTTGTCAATTATCTACTTAATTTACATAGCTGTCAAGATTCTACTAAAACTCGAATAATTAATGAGAATCTTAATTCAAGGAGAGATCAGCAATGCCAGCAATCAAGTTATCGAGTGAATCATCTTTCAAGTCCTTCCATGACCCCGAATCATCAAAGGCTGATGGTGTTGATTGAAAGGTATTCTCTGAAAGGGACTTGTTCAATTGTGTAAAAAGCTCTTCTTCCTCAGCTGAAACACCCAAATCCCAGACCTTGAATATATCCTCTGACAAGGGTTCCAATTCAACTGCTGAAGGATCTAAATCAAGCCCGGAACCAATGGTTTCACTCTCTCTCTTGCCATCCTTGTAAATTTCCTTGCCCTCCTTGTAACTTGGTAGAAAAGGATCTCCGACAAAAGTTTCTGTAGCATCATCACCCTGAAAAACTGGTGAAAGTGAAATACCATTATTCTGTTTAATTGGATAACTATCACTGTTTGTTTCTGAGTCCACAAGGATTGGAACAACACCATCATTATCATTTGTTACTGGGAACTTCGCAGTTTCTGCCTCTTTACTTGGAGTATGTATCATAATGTCAGTTTCTCTGGGAGAACCACCACTTCCAGCTGCAGAATAGGAAATGGATATAGGCTCAGAACTAACAATTTCTAGTAAAGCATCTTTCAGAGCATTCCAGCTACTATCTGTAACTTCAGCATCTTTAATCAGGCAAGAATCAACCCAGGCTAAATCTTCCGGGGAAAGCACATCTCCGCTCTGATTAGACTGCAAAGATTCAACAATAAGTGGAGAAATAGACCCTTCCATCATCTCATCCCCTTGAGCCATGGCTGCAACAATCAGTATAAAGAAGAAAAAACAATGTCATGTATTGTAGAAGTTCAATGAATCCAAAGAAGGGTAACGTCCGAAAATTTTGATGATTTCACAAGACATCAAATTACAGATATCAATGCATCTAATACTAGCAAGACTTGACCTAAAAAAAAACCGCCAAACAAGAAGTCTAGAACCTCATCATCACCACAGCAAAATGGACAGCCAGAAGTAATAAGTGCCAATCATATTAGTGTACATGAATGAATAGGTTTATTAAAGCATACATTCACCAAACTTTGACAGGTAAACCAAGCACAGCCCTTCAAATANTAAGTAATTTTTTTTTCTTATGGGTAAAGCTGAATTAAGGGTTCAAATAAGTACCGTCCCATCTAAATTTCTAAGCAAAGCACAAGAAGTTCATTTGAGTTTCAGCTTCAAGGGTGCATCCGAATGCCGCCTCAATTATGCTATGAAACAGCAAAATCTATATGTCATGGAGCAGAACGGATTCGCATGGTTGTCAATTATCTACTTAATTTACATAGCTGTCAAGATTCTACTAAAACTCGAATAATTAATGAGAATCTTAATTCAAGGAGAGATCAGCAATGCCAGCAATCAAGTTATCGAGTGAATCATCTTTCAAGTCCTTCCATGACCCCGAATCATCAAAGGCTGATGATGTTGATTGAAAAGTATTCTCTGAAAGGGCCTTGTTCAATTGTGTAAAAAGCTCTTCTTCCTCAGCTGAAACACCCAAATCCCAGACCTTGAATATATCCTCTGACAAGGGTTCCAATTCAACTGCTGAAGGATCTAAATCAAGCCCGGAACCAATGGTTTCACTCTCTCTCTTGCCATCCTTGTAAATTTCCCTGCCCTCCTTGTAACTTGGTAGAAAAGGATCTCCGACAAAAGTTTCTGTAGCATCATCACCCTGAAAAACTGGTGAAAGTGAAATACCATTATTCTGTTTAATTGGATAACTATCACTGTTTGTTTCTGAGTCCACAAGGATTGGAACAACACCATCATTATCATTTGTTACTGGGAACTTCGCAGTTTCTGCCTCTTTACTTGGAGTATGTATCATAATGTCAGTTTCTCTGGGAGAACCACCACTTCCAGCTGCAGAATAGGAAATGGATACAGGCTCAGAACTAACAATTTCTAGTAAAGCATCTTTCAGAGCATTCCAGCTACTATCTGAAACTTCAGCATCTTTAATCAGGCAAGAATCAACCCAGGCTAAATCTTCCGGGGAAAGCACATCTCCGCTCTGATTAGACTGCAAAGATTCAACAATAAGCGAAGAAATAGACCCTTCCATCATCTCATCCCCTTGAGCCATGGCTGCAACAATCAGTATAAAGAAGAAAAAACAATGTCATGTATTGTAGAAGTTCAATGAATCCAACGAACGGTAACGTCTGAAAATTTTGATGATTTCACAAGACATCAAATTGCAGATATCAAAGCATCTAATACTAGCAAGACTTGAACTAAAAAAAAACCACCAAACAAGAAGTCTAGAACCTCATCATCACCACAGCAAAATGGACAGCCAGAAGTAATAAGTGCCAATCATATTAGTGTACATGAATGAATAGGTTTATTAAAGCATACATTCACCAAACTTTGACAGGTAAACCAAGCACAGCCCTTCAAATAGTGTTAAATATAAAAGAAACAATAGCTAAAGAATAAGATTTGGCATAGACATAATCACTAGAAGAAGCTGAACATTAAGGCAATAGCAAGTAAATGTTAGATAACCTGCTCAATACTTTAAAACGTTTATGCAATTTGGGCTGCTCAGTCAGATATTAGTTAACATCTCAAACATTCAAGTCATGTACTTAAATAATTCAAAGTTCCTATAATGGATTCAAATTAAGTGTTGGCCTACTACATGCATTTCACCTCTAACTAATCCACAAATGATAGCGATTCTCTAGTTTTTATACTGACCTAAAATACCCAAACAGAAATATACCCCTCAGAGGCAGAGCTCCTAACATGCCAAATCAGAATTTGACTGAACTTAATAGCAACAGTTGCTAATCTGACAGTTTAAAATTACTACACTCTAATTCATTTTCACTGCTAGTTTCTGCTACGGGTGGGTTCCCAACATTCAGCTTCAGCACGAGCCCGAATCTTCAAGCTCAAAGAACAAATGAAATTCCAACTTTCTGACAAAAAGTGTGAACCATCACAAGTAAATTGCAAGAAACATGCACTTTCATTCGCAAAATTCAACTACATAAAAACAGAAATGCTTTTCTCTGAAAAATGCTTCTGCAAAACGCTTATCCGAACGAGCGTTTTCTAGTTGAGAAACAGAAATGCTTCTGAGATTAAACAATGTTTCAGAAGCAGGCAGCCAAACATGTCCCAACACTTATTTACAGAATTCCAACTAAAATTTCTAAGAACACTAAAACATGATCACAAATAAAACATTTACAAAAGATAAACTGATCATGAAACTATTAAACAGAATAATATAATTGAAATAATTAGATGAAATAAACAGATAGAGGATTATACGTACTCAAAATTGGAGCCCTAATTTATGTCATAAGGTGAAAAAAGGGCGGAGATTTTTGATTTAGAGAACTTTCGAGGGAATAATTCAAACGGTGGCATTCCAAAAAGGCAACGCATAAAGATTTTTTATTTCCGAGTTAACGATGATCGGAAGGGGGTTAAGGACAAAGGTTACATTATGCGACATCGTTTTAATGGGTAGTGGACATTGGAAAAAAATAAAATATTTCCGTTGACGGGAATCGAACCCGGGTCTTTCGGGTGAGAGCCGAATATCCTAACCAACTAGACTACAACGGATTAGTGATCTAGCGGTATGTACAAAATCTTTATATATTATTACAGCTCCTGCACATGTCCAAACTCCAAGTATTGAAAAATATTATCGGATTCCATATTTGTAAGTTTAACCTGTCGAATGTGTAATACAACCTCAAATAGCAAGAATAGCTCAAGACCCGTAACAAATTAGGAAAAACATAATCAAGACTTAAAAGAACCAATAATTGAGCGGAGGTAGTCCTCCACACACACAGAGTAATTGGAACTAGTAAGTGCAAATGGCTTTGATACCATAAAGGGTACTAGACCACCGTTGACAGTTCCAGAAGGTTATGGAGCTTATGCATGTGGGAAACTATAATAATCGGCCTGTGGTATGAGAGGAGGATCTTGACCATAGATTCAACCGATTGTCATGTTGACCGACTATCTCCATGTAGGTCAGTTATCATACTTTCCCACATGCATAAACTTCATAACCTTCTGGCTCCATCGACGCAGGTCTAGTACCCTTTATGGTATCATTAAGGCAGTCAAAGCATTGACAGTTAAGGTCAAATGGATTATGACTGGTGACTGTATCATATTGATAATAGATAGGAGCACCAGAGTGTTGAAATGAATGAATGGAAAGTCCGAATTCTCGTATTGCTTGGAGTGATCATGAATTGAGTCTGTCAGAAACTCAAAGGTGGAGCACTAGAGTTGTTCGAGACTTAAATCTGATGGTTATTGTATCATCACTGTTATCGTGCATAGTAAAGTCTATAGAAACTACTAGAGTTTCCTTTTTATTAAGAGACTCATAACTTGTCACCCAAGAGTTTGGTAACAGTTTAATCAAGTCATCTCTGGAGAACTGTCTATGAGCATATAACATATGTTTTTTTAAACATTTAAGAACTTGTCACATTTCTGATCATCCGTTTATAGGTACTGATTTTAATTTTTACATTAAATGAGTTTAAGCTCATACATTAGAAATATGAAAATAAAAAGAGTTTATGCTTATATGTTTAGACTCGTAAAATCTTTTTACAATTCCATCGTCGGATTGGAATTAGGTCTTTTGGAAATTCAGCAGTTTGTTTCCAAATACTCCCTCGGTTTCAATATGCATGTTGTTTTAAACTTACTACTTTTCTGTAAAATAAATGTCGTTTGACAAAAAAGTTGAACGACCCTCTTGCTTTTTCTCGTTTTATGTCTCCTATCTCCTCTCTTTTTCTTTTTCTCTGACCCCTTGTCTCCTCTCTCTTTCTCTTTGTGTTTCTTGGTGTGCCCTTCATTTCCAGTAAATTCAAAATCCCTCTTGCCTCAATTTCAATCATTGAAGAGTAAATAAGAACCGGCAAAGTAGGAGAGATAAAATTTGAGTCAACTTTTGTTAATGTAAAAGAGTGCTAACAAATTATCGATGAGGATTTGTTTACATTAAAAAAAATTACTTTCGTATAAGAGAGAAGAGGGAATAACATTTATATACCATCAAAAGAACTCCATCTCAAGTCAAGCAATCGACCAACACAATGCTGTGACAAATAAAATTAGCAGAAAGCGGTTTATAATAATAACCCATTATTATTGTGAACCACCAAATCCTGAGCTACTAGAAATACGAAGATCCACGGTGCTGCCCTGCCACAACCCATGAAACCATTTAACGAGGTGGGTAGCATCCAGAAACAGGGTCAGGGCTTCTATCTGTTTTATACTGCCCTTAAATTTATAGTTGAATCCANGCTGTGACAAATAAAATTAGCAGAAAGCGGTTTATAATAATAACCCATTATTATTGTGAACCACCAAATCCTGAGCTACTAGAAATACGGAGATCCACGGTGCTGCCCTGCCGCAACCCATGAAACCATTTAATGAGGTGGGTGGCATACAGAAACAGGGTCAGGGCTTCTATCTGTTTTATACTGCCCTTAAATTTATAGTTGAATCCATTCATCAATGTTTAAACAAACCAACCGCTAACGGCATCTCCAATCCGGCGTTATTTTGGTGTAAAATAGCGTGAATTTCAACCCCAACCCAGCATCATTTTCTGCACCAATGTGGTGTCCCACTACAGTATCACACCAAATTTAGTGTCGTACTGTTTATATACACCAATTGGGCATGATACTGTTTAAATATTAAATTTTTTTATTTATATTTAAGTTAATTTGATTATTATTTATATTAATATTTATAATAATAAATTCAAAATAATTATATAATTTAAAAAATGATGAAAAATTAAAAATAAAACTTTATTCAATACAAATATTAAACTACAATAATTCTAAATAAAAATTATTATTAATTTAAAAACACTGAAATTAAAAGAAAATACAACATAAACTAAAATAACAATTTAGTATTCCAGTAGATTAGTTTCGGATCCTCTAAGATCATCAAAATATTGGAAAGAACTAGAGTTATTTTGAGATCCTTAACCTTGTTGTTGAACTCTTTTTCGCGTAATTCTTGACTGCTCATTTTGAAAAAACTCACATAGGCTTGGATCGGTTATGGAATTCAAATTCTTAAATAAAATTTTGTTATCTTCTCGATATTCTGCTAAAGCCAATTTTTTCATTTGGATTTCATAATATATATTTTTTTTTTTGTATCATTTTATATTAAATGTAATGTTTTTCTGTATTAAATGTAATGTTTATTTGATTAAATAAATGCTTAATTTTATTAAATTAGTATAATTTTCAAAGTAATTATTATTTAATAAAAATATTATTCCTAATATTTAATTAATATATACAAAAATAACCAAATGAAATAGATTAATTATTGATTATTACAATAAAAGAAAAAGAAAAAGAATATTCTTTTTAATGTAATAATTGGTGAGTAGGTTGGAGATCCAACAGTGTTTTTTACAAAAAAAATCACAGCAATTTAATGTAAATCTTGTATCAATTTGATGCGATTTTTGATTTAGAGAACTTTCGAGGGAATAATTCAAACGGTGGCGTTCCAGAAAGGCAATGCATAAAGATTTTTTATTTCCGAGTTAACGATGATTGGAAGAGGGTTAAGGATAAAGGTTACATTATGCGACATCGTTTTAATGGGTAGCCGACATTGGTAAAAAACAATATTTCCGTTGCCGGGAATCGAACCCGGGTCTTTCGGGTGAGAGCCGAATATCCTAACCAACTAGACTACAACGGATAGCTGATCTAGTTATATGTAAAAATGTTTATATATTATTACAGCCTGTGCACATGTCCAAACTCCAAGTATTGAAAATTATTATCGGATTCCATATTTGTGAGTTCAACCTCTCGAATGTGTAATACAACCTCAAATAACAAGAATAGCTCAAGACCCGTAACAAATTAGGAAAAACATAATCAAGACTCAAAAGAGTTAATCATCGAGCAGAGGTAGTCCTCCACACACAGAGTAATTGGAACCAGTAGGTGCAAATGACTTTGATACCATAAAGGGTACTAGACCGCCATTGACGGTGCCAGAAGGTTATGGAGTTTATGCATATGGGAAACTATGATAATCGACCTATGGGATAAGAGGAGGGTCTTGACAATAGATTCAACCGATTGCCATGTTGATCGGCTATCTCCATGTAGGTCGGTTATCATAGTTTCCCACATGCATAAACTCCATAATCTCCTGGCTTCGTCGACGGAGATCTAGTACCCTTTATGGTATCATTAAGGCAGTCAAAGCATTGACAGTTAAGGTCAAATGGATTATGACTGGTGACTGTATCATATTGGTAATAGATAGGAGCACCAGAGTGTTGAAATGAATAAATGGAAAGTTCGGATTCTCGTATTGCCTAGAGTGATCATGAATTGAGTATGTTGGAAACTCAAAGGTGGAGCATTGAGAGTTGTTGGAGACTTAAATCTGATGGTTGTTATACCATCACTGTTATCGTGCATAGAAACTACTATAGTTTATTTTTTATTAAGGGACTCATAACTTGTCACCCAAGAGTTTGATAACAGTTTAATCAAGTCATCTCTAGAGGCCTGTCTATGAGCATATAACATGTGTTTTTTAAAACATTTAAGAACTTGTCACATTTGTGATCATCCGTTTATAGGTGCTGATTTTAATTTTTACATTAAATGAGTTTAAGCTTATACATTAGAAATATGAAAATAAAAAGAGTTTACGCTTATATGTTTAGACTTGTAAAATCTTTTTACAATTCCATCACCAAATTGGAACTGGGTCTTTCGGAAATTGAGCAGTTTGTTTCCAAATACTCCTTCAGTTTCAATATAGATGTCGTTTTAGACTTATTATTTTTTTTTCTAAAATAAACGTCGTTTGACAAAAAAGTTGAACGACCCTCTCTCTCTTTCTCGTTTTATGTCTCTTGTCTCATCTCTTTTTCTTTTTCTCTGACCCCTCGTCTCCTCTCTTTCTCTTTGTGTTTCTTAGTGTGCCCTTCATTTTCGGTAAATTCAAAATCCCTCTTGTCTCAATTTCAATCATTGAAGAGTAAATAAGAGCCGACAAAGTAGGAGAGATAAAATTTGAGCCGACTTTTGTTAATGTAAAAGAGTGCTAACAAATTATCGACGAAGATTTGTTTACATTAAAAAAAAAAATTACTTTCTTATAAGAGAGAAGAGGGTATAACATTTATATACCATCAAAAGAACTCCATCTCAAGTCCAGCAATTGACCAACGCAATGCTCTGATAAATAATATTAGCAGAAAGCAGTTTGGCCCATTATTATTGTGAACCACCAAATCCTGAGCTACTAGAAATACGGAGATCCACGGTGCTGCCCTGCCGCAACCCATGAAACCATTTAATGAGGTGGGTGGCATACAGAAACAGGGTCAGGGCTTCTATCTGTTTTATACTGCCCTTAAATTTATAGTTGAATTCAATCATCAATGTTTAAACAAACCAACCGCTAACGGCATCTCCAATCCGGCGTTATTTTGGTGTAAAATAGCGTGAATTTCAACCCCAACCCAGCATCATTTTCTGCACCAATGTGGTGTCCCACTACAGTATCACACCAAATTTAGTGTCGTACTGTTTATATACACCAATTGGGCATGATACTGTTTAAATATTAAATTTTTTTATTTATATTTAAGTTAATTTGATTATTATTTATATTAATATTTATAATAATAAATTCAAAATAATTATATAATTTAAAAAATGATGAAAAATTAAAAATAAAACTTTATTCAATACAAATATTAAACTACAATAATTCTAAATAAAAATTATTATTAATTTAAAAACACTGAAATTAAAAGAAAATACAACATAAACTAAAATAACAATTTAGTATTCCAGTAGATTAGTTTCGGATCCTCTAAGATCATCAAAATATTGGAAAGAACTAGAGTTATTTTGAGATCCTTAACCTTGTTGTTGAACTCTTTTTCGCGTAATTCTTGACTGCTCATTTTGAAAAAACTCACATAGGCTTGGATCGGTTATGGAATTCAAATTCTTAAATAAAATTTTGTTATCTTCTCGATATTCTGCTAAAGCCAATTTTTTCATTTGGATTTCATAATATATATTTTTTTTTTTGTATCATTTTATATTAAATGTAATGTTTTTCTGTATTAAATGTAATGTTTATTTGATTAAATAAATGCTTAATTTTATTAAATTAGTATAATTTTCAAAGTAATTATTATTTAATAAAAATATTATTCCTAATATTTAATTAATATATACAAAAATAACCAAATGAAATAGATTAATTATTGATTATTACAATAAAAGAAAAAGAAAAAGAATATTCTTTTTAATGTAATAATTGGTGAGTAGGTTGGAGATCCAACAGTGTTTTTTACAAAAAAAATCACAGCAATTTAATGTAAATCTTGTATCAATTTGATGCAATGGGTTGAAGATGGTGAAGAAGAACAAGTGTTGTTTCATTGGTGTCCTCTCATTCTAATCGATCATTTTTCTTGGCCTACTTGGGGAACATGTCTTATCAACTCAACACTAACTTGAGGTAATCTACAGTTTGATTGGAAGAATTCGGAGGATGAAAAATTTCCATTAATGAAACCCTTCTGGGATTTTACATTGTAAATAACAAGGAGTTCTTGTCAATCTGTAAAACTTGAGGAACTAAACAAAGCCTCTTCCCTCTTGGTTTCTTTCATCCAAGATGAGAGACCACTTTTTCCTACTTTCAAACAGCTGAAAAATGCTGAATTATGTACAAATTGAGCTTCTTTTTTTGTGCTAACTAGGGGAAGGATTAGCAGCAAAATAAGCAAGAACACCGACAAATGGTGCATTAATGTATGTTGTTGGTTCAGACTTCCTGAAATCAATCCTATCATCCTCATACTCATCATCTTCTCCAGGTCCTCCAACCACAGCTCCAACCAATACATTAGGATTAGGATTCGTCGAGTTAAAATAAATTGAACCCTCCTTGCAGGCAATAAATTGAGGATGGTCCTTAATTGATGGTAACGATGAGCCACGGTGGTGAATACGTTGCGGGTAACTGTTTCCATAACCAACCATGTATGATAATCCCTTAGGGTTATCTCCTAAAATGTAATCAACCTGTTTCTTGGCTTGTTGGCGAAGCGAAGCTGGAGTAACATATAAACTTCCACAATTGACAGTTTGTGAAGTTTTAGACAGGTAATTTGCATAAACCAGAAGCAGAAATGAAATTGTTGTGGCATGTTGAAGGTTGCTGCCTCCAGGCCTGTAAATTAGGCCACCAGGGGTGAAATCTATGTGGGATGCTGATGATTCTGGGATCAATGTACACATGAAGCTATCAGCAGAGGCTTTGTATGATTGTAGTGAGTACATGTTTCCTTCCAGGACTTCCTGAAACAGTTCCAGAGTTTTATATCAGCTAGGTAAAATTTTAACCATTTTGATTAATCTAATAATTTTGTTAGAGAATGATCTGACCTTGGAAACTAGAACATTTATACCAGCATGCTTGTTGTCCCACCCAAACTCATTTATATTTTCATCAGCACCAAGTGTTTCGCCATTGGTTTCAATGTAATTAAGGTAAGAATCATCTTGAGAGGCTCTCCTTAACCAAGCTGCACCCCATAGCAATTCATCCTGAAGAAACACATCAGAAACAGACTTTATGAGCTAGGACCACTTAAATACATATGATTTTATTAGACAGATTCACCGATAACACACGATATATTACTTACTTGATATCCATCAAAATCACAATAAAATGGGCAGGCACCCTGTTTAATATAGGAGTTATCACTATAAGCTCCCCTGTAGGTGTCTGCAAATTGGAAGATGCTTACTGCAGCCCTTAATAATGTCTGTGCATATCCCGGGTCCGACGACCGGAATGCCATGGATGAAGCAGCAAGAGCAGCTGCAGTCTCACCAGCAACATCAGAAGCTGGGTTTGGTGCATCAACAGCATAAACAGTCCTAGCAGTGTCCATGTCCTCAGGTCTCTCCCAACAATTATGATCTATATTTGGATCACCCACCTAAACATTAACACAGGAAAAAGTTGAAAAAATTACCAAAATTGAACTCCAATTGCGGTGACAGTACAGACACTGTAATTAATGTATTAAACTCAGACCTTATAAAGTAAAGCCTGATAGTGACAAAATGGACCCATTAAAAGTGGTCTGAGTCATAGATTAATGCAGGAAAAATATGAAAAAGAAATGGTTCATCCTCTCGTAGCCACAGGTTCTTCTAGCTCAAAATCTACTCAAAAGAACTATAATCTTATTCAAAAACATAAAAATAATTTATGTATCAAGTAGCCAAAAGACAATATGTTAAAAGAAAAAAATGACAGTACAGTACAGTCCAAGAGTAAGCCATGGTTTTAGTTTACTATTTTCTCACCGGGATCGCCTTGAGGGAAGAAGCCAGAGGTACTGAACTTGGTATTTGTAATTTGTTTATTTATTCATTAATTTAGATATTCTGATTTGATCTTAAAATAGTTTTACACTACCAAACATAAATCAATCTCAGAACCCCAGATGAATTTCACTTTACAGCACACGGCCCAAGAAGATTAGGATTTACTATGAGGAGATGGTCAGTGGGGACCAAATGGTCAATAAACGACAAACACGGGACAACACTTCGTGTACGCACTACGCAGTCACGGATTAGTACATCTTAGCCTTGTAATTTCCCCAAACTACCCCATTAAAACACAAAATTTACAAAACAGTACATACCTGTACAAAAATCCGGTTAGGCTGAGAAACAGTTTTGAGTAAATAATCAGTGGCCCAACGGATGGCAACCAGAGCATTTCTGAGTTCATTCGGCGGCATTGAGTCTCCGAATTCGATGACGCTCCACGATAAAAGAGTGGTGGTGAAAGCCATGGGGAAATTAAACTTGACATTATCACCGGCGTCGTAGTACCCGCCAACCAAGCTCGTGTTATAGGTCCAGCCGTCGCTCAGGCCGGAATTTGAACGCCAAGTTATGCGTTGGTCTTGCGGCAAGTAGCCTGACCTTTGGCCTTCAAAAAACAATATTGACTTAGATAATGCGTCTTCGTAGTCGTGGCCGGAGGAACGAGAAAAAAAGGGTAGGTTAATAAGAATGGCGACAGTAACGAGAGTTCTTCTGAGTTGTTGTTTCATGGCGATGGTTTCGGTGATGGGAATGGATAGTGGGTGAATGGAGTTATTGATGGTTCAGTTTGTGTCTGTTTTTATATAGGTGGGCAGCGTTAAAAACTGAAATTAACCCCATGATTAATGTAAAATAAACTGTAGGAAAATATGAACTTTGACCATCATCTACAGAAACGAACAGTTACCATGGCAACATGCAAAGTTGAGAGGTATCAAGTACTTTTTCCCAGCCACGGTTTTCCTTAACAACATCTTTCCACCCAAAAAGTTTAAAATATTATATCACTTTCCCACCCAAATTTTATATTCCATTAATACCCAAAACCAATTCTGACCCATTTGGACAGTGAAAATGATTTATGTCATCACTATTTGAACATTTAGTCTCTTCTATACAAAATCATTCTCACTCCAGTACCTGATTTTTCATCGATTACCAATGATCGCAAATATAGTGTTTCATGGTTCTTGACTTGTTTTCAATTGATTCCGGAGACAAATATTCAATCGGTTACCACCATTCGATCAATTGGCCTCTATTTTACAATATCCCTTTACTCTAGCTCCTAGTAACTCGTTGAACTCTGGTTGAGAAACTAAAATGTATTTTGGGTATTAACGAATATATACTTTAGATGAAAAAAATTGTATTTTGAAACTTTTGGGGTGAAAAGTGTCATTAAAGCAAGAGTTCTACATCAACAACCATTTCTCACAAACTTTCTCTCACAACCCTGATGTGATAGCTCACAATTGGTTAGTTTATAATTAATTAGTGAGACCTATGAGAGACCCATGTGGGACCTGTTATGAACTGACCAATTGTGAGTTATCACGTCAAGGTTATGAGAGAAAGTTTGTGAAAGAAGACCTCCACTTTACAAAACCCCTTTACTCTGGCTCCTGGTAACTCGTCAAACTCCGATTGAGAAACTGAAGTATATTTTGAGTATTAATAAAATATATACTTTAGATGAAAAAGTGTTATTTTTAAACTTTTTGAGTGAAAAGTGTCATCAAGGCAAAAGTAATATTATACTAACAACTTTTTCTTACAAACTTTTTCTCACAACCCTGATATGATAGCTCACAATTGATCAGTTTATAATTAATTAGTGGGATTTATGTAAAACTCATATGAGATCCGTTATAAGCTGATCAATTATAAACTATCATGTCAGAATTACGAGAAAAAGTTTGTGAAAGAAGGTTGTTGGTATACTATCATTTCACTAGCAGTGTCACGAGGGGGAGGCGAATGGGATGCGTATAAGCGCCAACAGCTGACAAATACTGTGTCAGTTAACTCACATGCATCCGCAAATGTGAGTGCGCGTGTCTTAGTCCAGGCTTTTTGGTGGGGCTTTCTTTTTTATATTGTTTCAAAAAGAGCAAGTAAGATTAGAGCAACCGCAGTTTATACTTTTTCTTGTTTCAGTTAAGTGGGCAGTTCAGTGTCCAACCAACTAAGCTTCTCTTTGGCTGCTTCGACAATTTGTACAAAATTTCTTTACTGGTTTTTGATTACTTTGAAATTCTTAACTCCTTTCCTTTTCAAGAATTGAATTCTAATTTCATGATATTTCATCCACCACACCTAACAATTACAACTAGTTTAACTCTATTTTATTTTATTTTTTTATTATTGGAGACAGTAACGGATTCAGAAAATTTTTTTAGGGTAGGTCAAAATAAAAACTAATTACATATTAATATTTTTGTTAGAGTGAATCAAAATCTAAAAATTATATATATTAGTATTTAAAAAAAAAAAAAACTGAGGCTGGGCTGGATCCGCCCCTGATTGGAGACAAAGCTTTTTTGCCTAGTGAATTTATAAAATCTTTTCACCATGAACCTTGATTTAGATATAAGTCACATAAATAGGGAACAAAGGTGATTGAAATTTTTCACCCATTTGTAAGTAGACCGGATGACTAGGGCGAATTGGAGATAGTTTTGATAAACGTATGATTTTAAGTTCGATTCCTCATTCGAACATATCTCCATTTAAGTGGGGGTGGGGGGTCATGATAGTGGGTTAGTTTTCCCGAAGATTAGTCAATAAGTAGGGGTGGGGGGCCATGGAGGTGGGTTAGTCTCTTCGAGGATTAGTCAAATGGGGGTGGGACGGTGGGCTAATGCGCTAATCTCTCTCGATGATTAGTCGATGGGGGTGGGGGGTCCTGGCAATGGCAATAGATTGTTGTGTTAGTCTTTCTCGAATATTAGTCAAAGTGGATATAAACTAGTCCGAATACCTTATAAACAAAAAAAGTGATTGAAATTTTTGTCTTAAATGTATATTTAATAAGAGAAATTGAAGAGAGTGGATAAGATTGGTTGAGCTATATAATTGTGATAATTGTTCTATTATGCTGTACAACGTGCACTAGGGAGGATTAACTTAATTATATTTTTTGTTGGATTAGAGGGATTGGGGGCTCCTTCTTCCCAAAACATGATTCCTTCACTATTTACAGGTGATATTAATATGTGGGTTTGCATTAATATTGATGTTGGTTAGTTGAACATCATTACATCATTTATTTTATTATATCAATCAATCTAACCAAAATTTCAATGACATTGATTTGATTCAATTATTAAAGATGGGTCGATTTAGATTAAAGGGTTGGATTTAGATTTACTTCAAATAAAATAATAAATTAAGATATGATAATTTTGCACATGGGAGTCGTTTATTTGATATGTCTATATGACCATCTTTTACTACTAGATACCCTTATGATTATAAGAATTGCCCAAAACCTCCCTAATATTATCAGAAATTCTTTGATAAAGAAAAATTTAGGATGCGTTTGGTTTATTATTCGGATACTTTTTAGAATAATATTTTGCAAAAAGGTAAAATTAGATGGTTATTACGAGGTAGAATTTAAAAATTAACAAAAATACCCCATAGATTTGTTAATTTACTAAACACCCTTGTAATAAAACATTAAAAATTACACAAACACCCCCACCCACCCATTAAATACCGGCAGCCTACCACCACCGCCGGAGGGTGGTTGGAGTCGCTGTATCGACGTACAACTGGCTGGATCTGGCCGATCGTGTGCTGATATGACGTTTTTCGACCAGATCCACACCAGATCTGACCAGATCTACGGCTATATTTGGCCATTGACGACCAATCTGGCCATTGACGACCAATCTGGCCGTGTTTGGTCGTCAACAATGGCCAAAGATATGGTTGTCAACTGGCTACGGATTTTCTGGCCAGATACACAGAAAAGGCTATATCGGCTCACTACCGGCCAGATCCAGTCGGTAGTGCGCCATTATACCAGATTCCGGGCACCTTCCAATGGTGGTGGCCAGAATTTGGGAAATGTGGGTTGGTGGGGAGTTTTTTTCAATTTCCAAAAAAAAATTTGAGGGTGTTTAGTTAAATTAACAAACTTAGAGGGTTTAAAAATAATTGAATAAAATAGAATAATATTTTTAGAATAAGGAAACAAATTTGTATTTTGGATAGGATAGGGGGAAATTGTAAAACAAATGCAGTCTTAGTATTTTCTTATAATCATATGCGAGTTTAATATTAGTCAATTTTATATGAATTTATATGTTAGAAATTGTATTTATCACATATCGCCAATTTCATAGACTGTTATGGTATATATACATGTGGTTGAGTTTCCTCCTCTCTTGAGTTAGCTTTCAGGGGTCCTATTTGGACACTAGCCGTGCATGCTGAATGTGAAAGAGGGCTCGGAGGGTGTTAATTGTATTGAACTAACTTTTCATGTAGAAAAATGTTATCCTTACAAAGACCCATATAAAGAGGGCTACAAAGTAACATTAACAAGAAGAAAAAACAAAGAAATAACACAAAGAGAGAGAGAGAGAGAAAAATCATGAAAATCAAGAGTAAAGATTGTCTTTGTATACCTCCTTTATATGTGTCTTTGTAAAATTAGCATTGTTCATTCATGTATATGTATTCATTGTTGGGTTTAAATTAAATAATTGTATGTTGGAAACAAACAAAAAAGCTTCTCACGGGCATAGAAAAAGTGGATGGAGTATGCAATGTATTATAAAATAGTGAGGTGATATTGATAAGAGTATAATAGTGGGATTCTCAAAGGCAAATGGGTGATGAATGATGATAAAAAGTTAGGCAATATTCTTATCTTCTTGTCAAAGGCACAAAATGTACAATAAAGATGGAGGCGGTGATTGTTCTAATGTCTTTTGTTTTCTTTTGAATTGTTTATGACAAAGTAGTGCTTTCACGAATCAGAATGAAGAAGAATAAAGGTTTACTAGGCCGTTAACTTCAATGCTCTAGAAGTTAGTTGATGTGTGTGCAAATTGGCCAGGATACACCGGTCACCAAAAAGAAAGAGAGAAAAAGTGAGTTGCATGAAATATATAAATCCCTAATCTTCAGAGAGTTGTGAAGGAGGTTGAAGATTTTTCATATAACATTCTACATTGTAAATCCAAACATCATTCCTCGATTATAACTCGTATCAATGGAATAGTCTTATAAACAAAATACTTGAAATACATAAAACGAAACCTATATGGAAAATGAAGTACACATTATAGGGATATGAACACATGAAAAACCATAAAAATGAAAAAAAAAACAAGCTCAATGCTTCCATACATAGCAATATTACACATGGTGGTTTTGTTTTTATTTTCAGAAAGTGGGTATCTCTTTAATTTGCTTTATGCTTTTGCAACTGTAAGTAGGGTTTCATTTGTTTCTCAATAACTGTATTGGTTGATGGTTAGGCAGCAACATGAAGATGATGATGATGAGGATGATGATGAATAAGGCATAATTTTTGGAGGTGGAAGCAGGTAAAATATTTATTGTAAACTTTATATTGTCTTCTTTTTTGGGTGAGAGCGGGTATGGCTTATGACTTTGCCTTACTTTCAAGTAACTAGAGCATCTACTTTGACTGTTTTTGGCTGCACATTTTTCTGAAAAAGTAGAACAATATCAAGTATTATAAATAAACAATATCTTTTTTCTATTATAAATGGCCAACATGATATTGTTGGCTTTGACACTAGAGGGTCTCACGATTTTGTTTTTGGGTTTCAGGCTCAAAACGCGTCATATTGGGTTAAGGCCTATACCCCCATATATCGACGCACCCCCTCTCACACAGAGCGATGTGAGATTTCATAACACCCCATTGCGATCTTGTTGATAACGTTTATAAATGATCTAATGTGGTATTGTCCACTTTGACACTATAAGGCCTCAAGTTTTTATTTTTGGGCTTCAGGCCCAAAACGCGTCATGTTGGGTTAAGGCATATAGTCCCATATATACACGCACTCCTTCTCACACGGAGCGATGTGAGATTTCACAACATTTTCATTAATAAATATAATATCATCCGGTTTATATTTTTTTCTTTTTATCTATTGTTATTGTTAGAAGTTATATTTGTCGTACATTGCCAATTTGGTAGGTTGTTATGATATCATACATGCACCCTTTCACACGGAGCGTGTGGGATTTCACAACATTTTCATTAATAAATATTATATTATCGGGTTATATATTTTTTTATTTTTTTATTTTTTATCAATTGTATTGTTATAAGTTATATTGTCACACATTGCCAATTTGGTAAGTTGTTATGGTATATATATGTGTGGATTTCTTCTCTCTTGAATTAACTTTTTTGAATGAGTTAATCAAGTCCATTTCATAGTATCAAAGCAATTGTTTGGGGCAATGATGAGACCATGAGGGACGGTGTTAGAAGTTGTATTTGTCCCTCATTGGCAATTTAGAATGGTATATATATATACGTGTGATTGAACTCCTTCTTCCTTGAGTTAGCATTTGGGCTCAAGTTCTAGCATTTGTAAGTACAAACCGTGGTTGATAATTTTTAAATATGATACTTACTTGTTAAGTAGGCATTGATTTATTATAACACCTTAATAATATTACTGTAATACAAGATTTTCTCATGAAATTATAGTGACAGTGAGTAAATGTTGATCGGATGAAATTTTGGAAAAACTATGGGCTTATAAAATTTGTGATCAATTTGGGCCGGCCCAACCTTGGAAGTGGCCCAGCACATCTAATTCAAGTAATAGATTAAAGTAGTGGGCCTATTTAGTATCGAAGTGGAGTACATTTAGTATTACTCCTTAAGCTTGCTTGGGCTATTTCGGACCATAAAAGAGAGCTGGGTCTTGGTCTTGGGCCATTTGAACGGCACCGTTTTGAGCTTATAACCAAAGCTAACTTGGCCGTACTTTACAAACGCAAATCGATTTGCGGCTGCTCTTCTCCTTCTTCCCCAAAATTAAAATCCAGACGGTCATTTTTTGTTTTCCTGTGCAATCAGAGTTTCGGAGTTTCTTCTCTTCAGCTCTCCTGTCTTGTAGGCTCTTACTCACCGACTCATTAGCATCAGGTTCGTTCAATTCAATGGATGTTGATTGATCCTACTTTCAATCTTAGGCTTTTTTATTAGGGTTAAGGCTCGACTTATATCATATTCATACCTTTGACCTACGTGTGATGATTTGTATGTATTTACGTTTCTATTTGGGGTTCAGGATGTTTTTGTGTTTTAATTTTGTTCTGAGTTGGATTATTAGGGTTTTGTATGTGGTGCCTGGCTTTTTTATTTGAACGTGGGAATGAGTGATTTTAGATCTTTTATTTAGTGCGAATGGTTTTGAGAAGAGTCCCTATGTAATGAAATTAAAGATTACTGGATGCGGTTGGTAATAACTATTTTCAATATGCGCAATGGTGGTAAAAATATTAAAATAGTGTTAAAAAGTCCTACACCAACCATTCTTGTCCCAATACTGGGACAAATTTCATTTTCGCATTTTTAACACATCATCTATGAGAATTAGGATAAATGTTACTGACTTATATGGTCTGGTTACCGCTTTGACATTTTCTTTCCATTGGGTCGAGGAAATGCTGTTGGATTGACATTTTCTTTCCATTGGGTCGAGGAAATGCTGTTGGATTGACATTTTGGCTTGGATTACCCTGTTTTGGAAACTGCTACGTTTTTCTTTGTTGTAAGGACAGGATAAATGATCCAGGAGCATTATCTTCTTGTCTTTTGTTGTTGGTGTTGTTTGGGAAGTATAAATGTAATAAAAGATGAGAGGCTTTTGTGGGTAGTAGATAAGGAAAATGAGAATTCAGAAGTTCGAAGAGGCATAATAGTCCCCAAGTACAAAGAGATGAGGAAACAGTCTTTGAAGTGTGACCTTATTATATGTCCTTGAGTACATCTCATAACATCTTAGCCTTTCTTTTTCAATAGTGTCAAATACCCTTGGGCTAATTTCAATTTCCCTCTTTCATTCCTGAAATATTTGAAATTCTCAACATATATTATAGGGGCACTAAGTTCTTATTGCTTATTTCATTTCTGAAAATCTATATGAGAGGTTATAACAACATTTCTAATAGTAGATGACTTCCTATGGTAAGATAACCAACTTACTTCTGTGTTTTTGGCTGTGTTCCTCTCATTTGTCTTTTCTTAACTTTCTTGATCTGCCATGAATGATCTGACCTCTATTCAGTGTAGATGGCTGGTAGAGAAGTCGGAGTCCAAGTATGTTTTATTGTTAATTATTGCTCTATCGAGAAGATGATTTTGTAGAAGAGATGTTTGAATTACCCATGAAGGATGTTTTCTGGAGGTAGTGTTGAATGCAGTGATAAATAATCGGATGTAATTGGTGCTTGTTGAAAATGTTGTGTGTTTTTACTTTTGGGATTCGGTGTTTTCTAATTTGGAGGGTATGGCAAGGGGTTTGGTTTGTACTCATGGATGATGATGGGTGTATGGTTGTGATGTGGACAGGGAGGAGGCAGCAGCCATTGTGGTGTTAGTGTTGGTGGAGTTTTTGAAGATCAGTGGTCGTAGGTGGTAGTAGGAATTAGTTTGAACATGAGTTCAATCAGCAGGAGCCGAAGCAGGAGCAGGAGTCGGAGCCCAATGGATCGTAAGATCCGCTCGGATCGCTTTTCCTATCGTGATGCACCTTACAGGAGAGGGTCACGTCGGGGTTACAGGTTTCTGATTTTTGATCATATGCTTATTTATTCTCTCTGCTTGACAATTTGCATGAGGGGGTAGGGAGTAAAGAAAAACTGTCAATGTGTGCTCCAATGGTGGTTGTATTTGTAGTTGACAGTTATCCAAGTTGGATGATCTTACTTGCTTGTGTTGTGGTGGATATTTAGAGTGGCTGTTAATATTGCTCTTCTGGTTTTTCACTTGATAATTTCTTGGTTAGCTAGTTCATTGACTTGTATGGTAAAGCAACAATTTGATCTCGTGTGTAACATGTTTCTACATAAGGATATATTTTTTGTAAAGATTATTTTCTCACTGTCCTTTGTTAGTATTCCATTTTATAATTATGACAAAATATCTGATTTTCTGTTCTGAGTTAATCTATGGCGAGTATTCCTTCACATTATACAGCATTCAAGGGTGAATATTGTCTTTTACATCTTATATAAGATTGCTGGTAGGATACTTTTTCAATTTTTGTAACAGATTCTTTGTAGCTATTACATATGTGGGGTGGTCATTTATATGGCTTCTTGATTGTACTGGATGGATACCTTTTTCTTTTCTCTGGAAGTGATAAAAAAGAAAAGAGGGGGTGGGTGGTGGGGCTTGGGGAAGAAACTGCTGTGCTTGATATGGTGAGTTGCTAGCTGTGGACCTAACAGAAGGGCATATGAGATATCAATTCTTTTTCTTGATGCCTGACCCAACTTGGCAAAAGAGTTAACCAAATGTTCTAATCAAGTTGAGAGCCAAAGAGAGTAGATGTTACGTTCCAAGGGTGAAGCTAACGCTTCCCTGGCCACTATGGAATCATCAAAGTATGAGTGCATAGACTTGCTAGCTAATACTGGATCATGAAAAACCTGTTTACTTTTTTTAATAATTGCGTGGGGCTTTGCAATCATTGGTTTCTTAGCTTTCAATGGGATGAAAGGCGTTCTTTCTAGTTGTCATGTCCTATTTTTCTCCTTTCATCCTCGGTTGTCTGCACCCACAAAAAAAAAAAAAAAAAAAAAAAATGATTGTCATTTTGCTTTAACCTTTCTGAAATGGGACCCTGACTTTAAAAGTTTTGATTGTATATTAATAGACTACCATGCATTTTTTTGCTAAATATTAATCATATTATACTTTTGTTGCCAGCCAAAACAATCTATGCAAGAATTGCAAACGACCGGGTCATTATGCTAGAGAGTGTCCTAATGTGGCAATTTGTCACAATTGTGGCCTTCCAGGGTAAGGAATTTTTTTGTCCTTGTAAATAAAAGTATATAGTTCATTCTTTATCACTTTACATACTTGTGAATTTTTTCATTGAACAAAGTTACACACCTTGTGACTCACATTAAATTTGCATTAGGTAGTTTACAATGGTATGCACAATATTTTTCAGACTTCTTTGCAATGTTTTAGTCTAAGCAATGTTTTTTATGCCATAATCAAAGAAACATCTTGACATGTATTTTTCTTTGTTCACCTTTACAGTAGCTGTCGTTAAAATCACCAAAGCCATGGAATAGTTAGGACATAATGCAATGATGTCCTGTACTACTACCTTGTTTCTGCCTCTACCTCCACCATCTTGGAATATTGTAACTTCCACCTGTATTCTCTTGCTGTCATTAGATCTTTCCATCATTACCTTGACCACTTAACCATCTATTTCATCATTTTACTTTCATATATTCACCTCTAATCACAAAATTGTATTGCGATTTTTTTGTCCTTCCTACAAGGCCAATATCACCATTTCTGCTTTGTCAATGATGATCTTCTGAATTTTATTGTCTCTTAAGCACTGATGTATTTTTTGTTATTATAACTGAAAATGTTTGAGCAGCCACATTGCTTTAGAATGCACCACAAAGGCATTATGTTGGAACTGTCGAGAACCAGGCCATATGGCTAGCAATTGTCCAAATGAGGGCATCTGCCATACCTGTGGCAAGGGTGGACATCGTGCTAGAGATTGCACAGCTCCCCCACTGCCACCTGGGGACTTGAGGTTGTGCAACAACTGCTATAAGCAAGGTCATTTTGCTGCTGATTGTACAAATGACAAGGCATGCAATAACTGTAGGAAGACTGGTCACCTGGCACGTGATTGTCCAAATGATCCTATCTGCAACTTGTGCAATGTTTCTGGGCATGTGGCTAGACAGTGCCCAAAAAGCAACGTCTTAGGAGAGCGGGGTGGGGGCGGTGGCGGTGGCGGTGGCGGTGCTGGTGTTGGTGTTGGTGTTCGTGGCAGTGGTTACCGAGATATTGTGTGTAGGAACTGCCAGCAGCTGGGACATATGAGCAGGGATTGCATGGGGCCGTTGATGATCTGTCATAACTGTGGAGGACGAGGACACTTGGCATATGAATGCCCTTCTGGAAGATTTATGGACCGCTATTCACGTAGGTACTGATGTGGTGACAGAATATGTTGTTAGCAATTTATACTGGTTATGCTTTTCTTAATTGGATACTGCTTTTAGGTGAGATTTATTGAAGGTTGAGACTGAGTAGAGAGTTGAGCAGTTGATTTTCAATTTCATGTGGTAGGAGTGGTTTTGTTGATATGGATAATTTGTTTTCAATTAAGACTTAAATATAAGTATTACTTTGTTTCTGAAGAGTTTTTCTTCAAGGTGTTCTCTTCATCATATAAGCATATTTTGTATACGAGAGGCCATTGATCACCAGCAAATTGGTGGTTTCATTCTGACAAAGCAAATAGGATGATGCATGAACATCAATTGCCTCAATATCTCAAAGAAGCAGAAGCTTGGAGTGGGTTAGTGATTTATGTATGGATTATTTTGGTCTAAAAGTTTCTATCACTTATGAATCTTTGTATTCTTTCTTTAAATTGTTTTACAAAAAGTATAATGATTTAATGATATTTTTTCACTTACAAAACTTTTAAAATATCATTTTATTATTTAAATTTATATTCCGTTTTGGATTTCGACAATGTTGCGATTTCATGTCACTACTATTCTCTTTTACAACCATCATTTATTAAAACCTCTCACACTTTACTTTCGTTGACCTTGCCAATTGTCGGCAACGAGCGATTAGGATTTGTGTAGCCATTCCTCAAAAGTCAAATTTCGTTCAATTTTAATCACAAAAAGACTCTTTGGCTTCCCTTATTCAAAAATTCAAAAGCTTCCATAATTTGGATTGATTTCGTTCTCTGTTTATCGTTGGAATATAAATAAAGATAGTCAAATAGTGAAAACGGGTAGTAAAATAGTTTTGGGTCTGTTTGGTTTGTTATTTTGGATAAGATTTTATAAATAATATTGGATAGTTGAATAGAGTGATTATTACGAGGTAAAATTTAAAAATTAATTAAAAAAAACTCCTAAGTTTGCTAATTTAACTAAACATCCCAATATATAAAAAATTTATAAAATGACAAAAGCATCATTGTCCACTCACAGTGTCAGATTTTGGTCATCATTGTCAGAATCTGGTCGGAATTTGACGTTACGATGTAGACCTTTCGGATCTGGTTGGACGTGCGTCGATCTGACCTAAAAAGACTAGATCGATGAATTACTGACTATTGTCAGTTGTTTGTAGGCCGTTGTGACAGATTTCGACTATCATCGACGGTGATTATCGGAATCTAGTAACTATGGGTAGATGGGGGTATTTTTGTTAATTTTAAAATTTTTTTTTTAAGGGTGTTTAATGAAATTAATAAACTTAAGGAGATTAAAAATAATTAAAAAAATATAATAGTATTTCTTAAATAATTAAACAAATAATTATTTTGGGAATAAGGTATGAAATAATAAACTAAATGGATATTTTGTTTTTGTTTATTATTAAAATATAATTATGAATGATAAAATAGTGATAACGGATAGTAAAATAGTTATAATAAAATGATATTTTAAAAGTTGGTGGATAAGAAAGTGTTATTAAACAAATTATTTTGGTAGGAGGAGGTCGTTAGCTCTTTTACAAATTACAAAGGAAGAACAATTCGTTGATTACATTTCCTGTGATTCCCTGAGGGATGCGTCATCTTCTTTCGTAAATTTATTAAAAAAAAAAGACAAAAAGACAAAAAAATATTAATATGCTTCCTTAATTGAAAAACAAAATATCAGCACTTTATTTAGTAAAACTGAAATGCTTCTTAAAAGATCCATTAAAATTTAAAGCTACACAGAAACAGAACATGTAATATAAGTCAAATCGCACGGTTCAAGAATCAGTAACGCTAGAAGCATCTATGGACACGTGATCATGAGATAATCTCCAGCCAATGCCACCGGCCCCCACATATATTTCAGGGTGAAAAACGTCATTTCAAACACAAAAAACAGGACATTATCGTAACTTCAATCATTAATTAGTAAAAAACATTACTAATAACATTGCTCTTGCGATTTGCGAACACTCTCTTCCCTTCCCCTCTCTCTCTGTCTCACTCACTATCTAACAATTTTCACAATAAAATTTCACAAACCCTTAGGGTTTCAATCTCTAGGGTTTCCTCCATTTGAATCCAATCAATCTCTACCAATGGACGCTGAAGAAGAAGATGCTTCAAAATCATCGAACTTTTCTACTCGATTTGAAGATGACTTGGTTAATAAAACCTCCACAGTAGCCGCGGTAACGGACTCACAGGAGGAGGTCCAACGAGAGACGGAGCCTCAATGCCACTTGGAGTCAGTGGCCGAGTTGAGCGAGGCGCATGAGACAGCATCTGTACAATTATCGTTGGGTGAAGGAAAAGAGGAAGCTGACGATTCGGTTCAGATTGAGCGGGAGTCAATTGAGTCGCAAACATTTGCGTCTGCGGTTGCTGGTGAAGCGAACCAGGATGAGATGAACGGTGGAGATTTGGCTGTTTCGACACCGCTGGTTGGTGATGGGGGTAACGATGAGGATGTGATTTGCGAGGAAGGGAAACAGGCTGAAGAGACGGAAGACAAAGCTGATGATTTGATTAAGGAGAAGGAAATAAGGGCGGACGTGGTTGAGGAGAAGGAAGGGAGGCTGGACATGGCAGAGGAGATGGGAGTAAAAGCCCACGTGGCAGAGGAGACGGAAGTTAGGGCGGACGTGGCAGAGGAGACGGGAAATGCTGCAGACGTGGTAGAGCAGACGGTTATAAAGGCCGACGTGGCAGAGGAGACTGAAATAAAGGCGGACGTGATAGAAGAGACGGAAATAAAGGCGGATGTGACAGAGTTAACGGAGATAAAGGCGGACATGGCTGAGGAAACGGAGATAAAGGCGGACATCGCTGAGGAAACGGAGATAAGGACGGAAGTGGCAGAAGTGATGGAAGATAGAGCGGCAATGCTCAAGGAGATGGAGATTGCTGATGAGACGAAGGACGAGGTAACAAGGGGGACAGAAGAAGTGGCGCAGATGGCAGAAGAGACTGCTATTGAGAATGAGAAAAAGGATTTAGATGTGACAGAGGAGACCGACGACAGGGAAGGAGTGTTGGAAACGTTGGAGGTTGAGGCTGAGGTAAAGACAGAGGAGATGGACACGGCTGGCACAGCTAAGGAAACAACTGCTGTTGAAGAAACCGCTGTGGCAAAAACTGCTGGTGCTATTGAGTTTGGTGATGTGGCAGATGAAACGGAGGTGCTAGAGGAGAATATTGGGATGGCTGATGTGGCTGGAGGAGAAACAGTATTGGCAGAGGAAACTGAAATGCGGAAGGGGGCAGAGATGGAGGAGGTGGATACAGAGATGGGTGACATGGCGGAAGAGGCTGATGCTGATATAGCTGATGAAATGGAGACGGCTGATGTGACAGAGGAAATAGAGACGGGTGAAGAGTTGGAGGAAGTTGGTAAAACTGTTGGAGGTAAAAGGAAGCGAGGGAAGAACTCTAGACCCATTGGGAGAGCTCCCTCAAGGAAGAAATCAGAGGAGGATGTCTGTTTTATCTGCTTTGATGGTGGAGAACTTGTCCTCTGTGATCGCAGGTGACATTTTGTTTTTTCTGGTTATGCCAATATTATGCTTCTTTGTATGCTTTGCTATTGTTCCTACTATCTGATAGTTATTGATGAATGAGGGATTGTTTGATATTGCGTTTATAGGGGATGTCCAAAAGCATACCACCCATCATGTGTTAATCGTGATGAGGCCTTCTTTCGAGCTAAAGGTCGATGGAATTGTGGTGAGTCTGCATAAATGTTTCATTTCACTATGTTTATGTTTACCATCTAATAGGCTGTATATTATCATTCTGTTGGTTTTTTATTTGTGGCATTGTGGATGTTTCAGTGATCACTTAAGTTCTTTGCGATGCAGACTTTTTCTTTTACCTCGATGTAGAATGAATTTTTTTAGGAAATTAAAATTTTAATGTTAATCATAATTTTCCATTGGTTAAAGCAACAATTGCTCCTATAGAAAAAAGAGCTACGAAAGGTTGATAGTGGTTAACCATATAAAGAGTTCAATACATTCATGGCACTTCCTTGTCCTCTTGTTGCTTTTTCATTCAAATTTCTTTATAAATATTGAAGTTGTTACTTCGTCTTTTCTTTGTAAAAGGTGTGATCTACTCAACAGCAAACCTTGCAGTAGTGGACTTGTGTGAAGGGACAGGAAGTAAAATCTTCAGTTTTGCCCAGCACAATGTTCAAGTTTTGCAAGCTCATCAAGTTGGTTTATTGTGCGTCATATGAAGTGTATCTTTCTTTGGTGACTAGGGGTTCCAAAAGCAATTGTGGATACAGGAAATTTTTTAATTTCAACTAAAATTGGCCAAGTCATCATTACTAGCCTGAAATGTACTTTGTTTTAGATGATTTAATGTTAGGGCCCTTGGGGACCAGGAAAGTATATAAGTTCTGAGGAAATTGTTAACCAACAAGTTACTGGTTGGTACATATGTATGTTAGACAACATGCTGAACGAGTGGCAAGAATGGAGTTATGCATTTATTTGGAGCAAAATTATGCATGTATTTTGGCTTTATGGATCTATTGGCAGTTTGATTGGATTTTAAGTAGTTACATAGTATAGTTGTTACCTAGATATATGCTGCTACCTTTCTTGCAGAGAGTGCTTGATATATGTCCTAAGTGCCATCCACTTGATGCGAGGAAATATTTCTGCTTGTTTTGTTCAATGTTGCATACTTGTCTCTTGTAGAGAAGGGGATAAGTGCCTACAAAGGCAGTTAGTACTAGTTGATCAATTGATCTAAACTCCATGGCAGAAACTGAGGATAATTTCTTGGCTTAAAGTTTTCAATTCTTTTTTTTTTTTTTTCCCTCTTTTTTTCCTCCCCTTATATCTTATTTTTCCCATTTTCCCGAACTTAAAGCTTCTAAGTAATTTGTTTTGGCCAAAAGCAACAACAGAAAGAAAAAGGAAAATTCTGGAAATTATAAGTGTGAGACTAGGTGATGGGAAATGTTGATATTTGTGTAAATAAATAAAAGGAAAGTCAGGAAAAAGGAGAAGCCAGTCTAATTAAGTTGGTGCTGTAAACCATTCCAAATGGAATCTATAATTTCTGGGATGGGATCATTGAATCAACGTATAACATTTTCTTCCCCTGAACTACTTGTTACATGTACTTCTTACTTGTAACCTAGAATCTTTATCTTAACATTAAGAAGCCATCAGTTAATGCTCGATGTAGCCATTAACACAAGTTACACTTGGTTCTGTAAGAGTTTCTTTTTAAATTCCTCAGACTACTCTGTTTGGTATTGTTATGTTTTTTGGGTTGAAGATTATCCAATTTTGAAGGAGTGTAGCATGAAACAAACATAAAATAAAGGAATGTCAAGCTTGAATGTGTACTGAATAACCTAAGTAATAGTAGCTGAGGCTAATAGTTCATAGATTTGAATCCGTTTAAGAACATCCTGTACGGTTGTACCAATGAGGAAATTAAGAGTTCTTATTCAGATAACGATCAATGCTGAAGGTCATATCATGAATGCTTTTTTTATGCCTTATGTGATCAACCTGCTTTCTTTGCTGTTCGAGATTATTAGTGGATTATTTCAATCATATTTATCATCACTTAGTATAGCTTAAATGCATTTGTCCTCTTTTTCTTGTTATGTTTAACTTACTTTTTATGCTTTACAATATATGTTGTATGTAGTTGCAAAACATGGTATTGCAGGCAGTTCTTATCTTTTGATGTATATTACATCAATTCTTTTGAGGGTATTATGCTTTTTTGTGTGTTAATAGTTTGTCACATCCCTTATGCTTCCTATATTTAATATTTAAAATTACACTTTAAAACATGGCTATTACCTTTGGCTGTTGGACTCAACCTAATTGAGATGCTTTTTATTTTATGAATTTAGGTTGGCATCTCTGCAGCATATGTGAGAAGAATGCATATTATATGTGCTACACGTGTACATTTTCCTTGTGCAAGGGCTGTATTAAAGATGCTGTTATCTTATGTGTGAGAGGTAACAAGGGTTTCTGTGAGACATGCATGAAAACTGTGATGTTGATTGAAAGGAATCAGCAAGGAAACAAGGACATGGTGAGTGACAATTTTTTTTAAAAGAAAATTCCGTCTAACGTCATTCACAATGTCAAGGATGTGAGGATTAATTTATGCATATTTTGGAAGCAGATTATTATGTGTCAAAATGTGTCTTGTTATGCTAAATTTGCATCTGTGAAAATAATTCATAGTCATTGAATTCATTTAACTTTAGCACCTCGGCCATGGTAAACCTTAAGAGTCAAGTTTTATCTTTTTTTTTTTTGCATTTGACTGGTGTCCTTAGACTTCTTTTCTTAATTCTGGTTGATGGTAAACACCTAAAAATTAGTTTTAGGTTTTGGTTTGTGGCAGCATATCTGCATTGACCGAGTATTAATTTCCAACTTTTCTGGTGGAGCATCAAAACATGCTAGGGCATGAAGTGCACATTTAAAAATTTTTGTACTAGCACATAAGCTGACTGTAATACATTGTAAAGTTGCATCTCATAAAACTGAATTTTGTTTTCTCCTTTCCTCTGAAAAAAACTGATGTATTATCGAAGTTGCATGTTTATACCTATAATATTCTGGAATACTTATCACTGTGTTCTCCACAACCTTGATTATCTTGGGCTTTTATCTTTTGGATTTGATTTATTTTTCCTGCTTCTGTTTTTCTTTGTAATCTCTATTTTGTAGTCATTTATATTGTATTGACATATCTACATGCCAAAATAGCAGAATTAATATGTAGAGGATGAAATGATTAATTAAGAACCACCAAAATGGTTTAAAATAGCTCATTTAGGATTAGCTAATTGAGAAATAATGGGTTGCTTCTTATTATGATATTGGTTTGGTTGTAAAGGTTCTTATTTTGATATTGGTTTGGCTTAGGATGAGGATATATTCACAAGAATCTTGTAGGATCTGATTTAACCTTTTAATTATTTTCGCTCTCCCTCTTTTTGTAGGATCAAGTAGATTTTGATGATAAAAATAGCTGGGAATATCTCTTCAAGGATTACTGGCTTGATTTAAAAGAGCAGCTTTCTTTGAGCGTGGAAGAACTTGCACGTGCTAAAAATCCATGGAAGGGATCTGATATACATGCTGGTAAACAGGATTCACCTGATGAACTTTATGTGGCCACTAATGATGCAGGACATGGTTCAGACAGTTCTTCAGAGAATGCAGAAGCAACTGTCCCTAAAAGAAGAAAGATGAAAAGACGGTCAAAATCCCGTGCCAAGGAGGGTGGTTCGTCGGGAACAACGTTAATAACTGGTGCTGAGGGGGCATCTACAGATGAAAATGTTGAGTGGGCATCAAAAGAGCTCCTGGATTTGGTTATGCACATGAGAAATGGTGATAAATCTGTTTTATCTCAGTTTGATGTGCAGACTCTCCTACTAGATTATATAAAAAAGTATAAGCTTCGTGATCCTCATGGTAGAACACATGTTATTTGTGATTCACGGCTTCAAAATTTGTTTGGGAAACCACGTGTGGGGCACTTTGAAATGTTAAAGCTACTTGAATCTCACTTTCTTACAAGAGAGGATTCTCAAGTGGACGATCTTCAAGGAAGTGTCGTTGATACTGAAGCTAATCAGTTGGAGACTGATGGGAACTCTGACGCCCTAGTAAAAGGGAGTAAAGATAAGAAACGCAAAACACGTAAAAAGGGTGATGAGAGGGGTCTCCAATCTAATCTTGATGATTATGCAGCTATTGATATGCATAACATCAACCTAATTTATTTGCGGCGTAATTTGGTGGAGGAACTTTTAGAAGATACTGAAACATTTCATGACAAAGTTGTTGGTTCTTTTGTGAGAATAAGAATATCTGGTAGTGTTCAAAAGCAAGACTTGTATAGGCTAGTCCAAGTTGTAGGTAAATATCTAGATGTGTGTCTGTCACTCTTATTAGTTTTGAATCAAGTGTAGAACATGATATATTTGTCAACTTATACATTGTTTTGTTATGCAGGTACAAGCAAAGTTGCTGAACCATACAGAGTTGGCAAAAAGATGACAGATATCTTGCTTGAAATATTGAATTTGAGCAAGACAGAGGTCGTATCAATGGATATAATCTCAAACCAAGAGTTCACTGAGGTGATTGATAGACATTGTTATAATGCTGTTTCAGTTTCTTTTTATGGCTTCATTGTGAGAGAGGAAGTGAGAGTGTTATAATCTTTTTTGTTTGAATTTAGAAAAATAACGTGAATGCAGTTGTTGTTAGGAGAGTAATCCTGCTTATATGATTCATGGAAGTGCAAAATGCCTGTCAAATATTGGTATAAATATAGAGAAACATAGTGGCAATTGTTTTTCCATTTTTCTAATTTATAATAAGGAGTTTGCATCAATTATAATGTGGAGGGTTAAGTTGCGTGGCTAAGGCATTTGATTTCAACCAAGAGGTAAGGGATTCAACCCCTCTGGGGGCCATTTACCTAGATTTTTATTTCTGTTGTTTCTTGACTACTAGGGTTGTAATGTGTGACAGTAGTCCCTGGTTTAGGACCTGCTGAGTACTTATTAGAAAGGTTGATAGTTTTCCAGTGTCCAAATTTAAAAAAAAAAATAAAAAAATTGCTTTGGTTACCTGCAATAGCTAGTCTAGTAGCCCTCTTGTCCTCTTCAGGAAAATTGTGAGGGGAGTCCACTCAGCATTATAATTAAAACAAAATGGAAATTTACTGTGTTAAATGATGTGCTTGTCTCATATATGTTGCTTCAGTATCTTTGTTGATTACTTGTTTCCTTTTTTGGTCTTTTAGGATGAATGCAAGAGGCTACGCCAGAGCATAAAATGTGGACTTATCAATCGACTAACTGTGGTATGCTTAACACCAAATTTGTCTTTTATTATTTGGATGTTTTCTTTCTCCTGATAGCATTAATTGTTTCCTTGTAGGGTGATGTTCAGGAGAAGGCCATGGCTCTCCAGGCAGTCAGAGTAAAAGATGTATGTTTATTTTGTCTTTAAGTATTGTCTTTCATTTTATATATGGTGGGTTAAAATTTTTTCTGTATTCTTGGAGTTGGGTAGATAATCTTGATAAGTAAGATATATCAAACCAAATGAAGTTATTTGCAGGATATAGCAGCAGAGTGTAAATTTTAGATTGTAAGAAAGCTTTGCTCACTATTGGATTTAAAATATGGAAAAAAAAAAAAAAAAAAAAAATCTGTTGAGGAATTTACTTCTTTATGTTTTGTCCACAACATCTTGTCCTTTCTCTGCCCTTCAATTCCCCATTTTTTAAAGGAAAATCTATCATTAATAAAACATGATAATGAATAAGAAGGTTGTGATCTTTAAAATGATGCTTCGTTCTGTGCAAAGGTTTGGCAGAATCCTCCCATTGTTATTAAGTAAAAGCCAAAGAAACGTTCACCTAAAAGTAAGGAGAAATAATGTAGCTAATAACTAGTTATTCCGTGATGGAAGGATTGAAATGAGATGTATAAAGATAAGGTTCTGATGTTTGGACAATGATACCAATTCATTCTTAACATTTGTGGCTTTTTCCTACCTTTTTTCCCCCCTACCTTTTATTAATGTTGATATTTCACAATTCCATGTTTCAATAATCTTTTATATGGTGCATAATAATTGTTGTTTGAATGCAGTGGATGGAAGCAGAGATATTGCGCCTGAGTCATCTACGTGATCGAGCCAGTGATTTAGGGCGTAGAAAAGAATATCCTTTACAAGTTTATGAGGAACTTTATTATCATCTTGCATGCAGTTGGATGGTTGTCATTTAATGTTTTAGTTCTCTGCTAAATTCTTAACATCTGCAACAATGAGACTCAAGTGCAAGCTTCTTTCCTTTTTTTCTTTTACTCCTATTTCCTTTTTATCTTGTCTTACTTTTTTTTTCATTTTTATTCTTGTTTATCCATATGCCATCTGGGTGTCTGATGATGTATTTGTTTTATGATCTTCTTATGGTAATTTGCACCATAGTATTGGATGGAACTTTTGAATGATTTTTTCATAATAAAGTAATAATTTACACTATGGTATATACATTTCTACAAAAGTCTGTCTGATGTTAGATTTGAGCTGACCGTCGTAGCTGTTATTTTCTTTTGGGAAAAAAAAATTGACCAAAAATCCTCTTACAATTTATTTTGTATCTAAAAATATGCACAAGATCTGTTTTCACCACAATATAACCTAGTAGCATAATCTTTCAAATCGCAACTTTTACTTTCCTCCTGGCTGTATTATATATAGATTGTGTGGACAACCTACTCTAACCTTTGAGTGAAGAAAATAAAAAACCAAAATAGGTGTATTTTCATTTGTAAATTTGTTAGAAGTTCTAGGCAGGAACATTTATGCACCAATCTTCTTCCCTCCATGTCTACATCCACCCCTCCACCCTTCTATCAATGCTATATTGCTCCATCTCATCATTTTAGTTCTCATTAAATACTGAACTTGCTAGATGAAATGTTAACTCCAGCTCATGCAGAATTGAATAATTATAAATCTGCACTTAATTACTTGTAATGGCAAGGGCTATGCTTTTTCACACCAGTTAAGTGCTCCTTGACTTCTGTTCACGCTTAGAGAATGTGTGGAGAAGTTGCAGCTTTTAAAGACGCCAGAGGAGCGGCAGCGTAGACTGGAGGACATTCCAGAAATTCATTCAGACCCTAACATGGATCCAAGTTATGAGTCTGATGAGGATGAGGGTGAAACAGATGACAAGAGACAAGGTCTGGTTTGTTTCCCTGTGAATTTTGAACAATTTCTTGTCTTTTATACTATATTCAATGGTAACATTGCGTCTGGTACATGCAGAAAACTCTATGAGACCAAGAGGCAGTGGCTTTAGCAGGAGAGGAAGAGAACCTATTTCCCCTGGGAGGGTAGCTTCTGCTTCAAATGATTCTTTTAGTGGGACAAGGAATTATTCAGGTGGAAATAAAGAATTGAGTAGAAACTTGTCTAATAAAGGTTTCTCAAACAAAGGGGATGATTTGTTTGGAGCTGGCGAGATAGTGAATGAAAATCTATGGAACCAAGCAAGAGCTAAAGAAACTCAGCAATTAAACAGTTGGGAGAAGCCAAGAATTGCTTCAAATTTAGAAACTAGAAATCCCCATTCTGTGGTGTTATCAGAACCAAATTCTAGGGTTGTTTCAGAAATTTCACCAATACCTGGCTCTACAGGTGGAGCACAGTCTTCTCCCAAAATTAATGAATCAGAGAAAATGTGGCACTACAAGGATCCCTCTGGAAAAGTTCAAGGACCATTTTCTATGGTGCAGCTGCGAAAATGGAACAACACTGGTTATTTTCCTACTAATTTGGGAATATGGAGATCTAATGAGAAGCCAGAGGACTCGATACTTTTGACTGATGCATTGAGTGGCAAGTTCAATAAAGATCCTCCATTGATGGACAGCAGTTTGTCTCAAACGGTCTCATACTCTGGGAAGCCTCATGGAGCAACTTTGCAGCAAGGAATGGAGATTCAAGTTGGAGGAAATTCAAACTTCGATCAGAATCGTACAGCTTGGAATTCACATGATTCCCTGAGTTCTGTAGCTCAATCGGTACTTGGTTCTTCTACAGGTGGGGCGGCTTCTTCCTCACTTGAGGTTCCTAAGAGTTATAGAGATGGTTGGGGTTCTGAAACGAACCTCCCGTCTCCAACTCCAAGTACCACAGTTCAGACCAAGGGAAAAACTTTTGAAAGAGAATGGTCACCCACCCCTACTAAACCATCTGGTCCCCTCATGATGGCCAACCAATTTTCTGGAGGCAATGGAGGGCAGCAATCTTCTACTTTGCTTGTTCCAGAGAGTGGGCAATTGTTGCATACTTCCATTCCAACACCTTCTACATCAAAATTGAGTGGTAATGTGGATAGTTTAAATATGTCTCATGGAGTGAGTTTAGCATCTAAGCCTGAAATAGGCGAATCACACAGGGTGCTAGTCAATTCCCATCAGCTACCAGTGACTAATTCAACTGTTGCCTCTATGAATGCTGGTGTTGATTTGAAAAATATTGGTGCTGCTATCCAGAACTTGGTTCAACCTGTGACTACTCAGATTCCCCCTGTAGAAACTCATGGATGGGGATCAGGTTTGGTTGCAAGGCCAGAGATGATTGCTCCATCTCCAAAACCTGGGAGTGGATCTCAAGCATGGGGAAATGCTTCATCTCAGAAGCTAGAGCCAAATAATCCAGTTCATTTGCCTGCTCAATCTCCTGCTTTTGCTCAACCTCATGCTTCATCCTTCAATACTGGAAATCCATCCGGGGTTTTTCCTGCTCCAGGCCAATCAGGTATGCCGCCATCCGATTCTTGGAGACCTTTACTCCCTGGTCAATCAAACATACAGCCACTTCCTGCTCAACCCAACATACCTTGGGGTATGGGTGTCACAGGCCATCAAAGTACTGTGCCAAGACAGGGGCCTGAGAATCAAAATACTGGTTGGGGGCAAATGCCAGTAAACCCAAGCATGGGTTGGGGAGGACAATTACCTGCAAGTACAAATATGAACTGGGGAACCCAAGGACAAGCACAGGCTCCCGGAAATGCAAATTCAGGTTGGTCTGCACCTGTAAATGGACAAGTTCCTGGAAATGCGATTCCCAGCTGGGTGCCACCTGGCCAAGGACCACCACCTGTAAATGCAAATCCAGGTTGGGTTGCTCCTGGACAAGGGCCAGCCCCTGGAAATGCAAATCCCGGTTGGGGGGCCCCTACTGGGAATTCAGGCATGTGGGGAGGTGAACAGAAGAACGGTGGAGACAGGTTCTCAGGCCAAAGAGATAGGACTCCTCAGGGTGGTGATCCTGGTTATGGTGGAGGTAGACATTGGAATAGACAGTCACCATTTGGCAACCGAGGAGGGGGAGATTCATCGAGGCCTCCTTTTAATAAAGGGCAGAGAGTATGTAAATTCCATGAGAGTGGACATTGCAAGAAAGGATCTCAATGTGATTATCTACACACTTGAGATATGGGAATTGAATGGAGCGCTGTGCGCTGTGTAGAGCAGTTCAATCTGTACAGTAATTTTAGTTAAAGAAAGTTTGACATTAAATCTTTTTAAGCTTTATACACAGTATAACCTTTTGTAGATTAGCAGTTACTTCATCTTTTTTCAGTTTTGCAGCTCACCTGCTTTTTATTAATTTTATTTGTCTCAGTGAATCCGCTTTCCTTATATTCAAATAATAGAAAAGGTTTAAATGCTTGGATGGATAAGTGTTTGTGTTGATGCATGTTTATGAGTTTGGTATTGTGCTTATAGTTGCTTCATTTGGATTCTTGCTACTCAATTGAAAGTGTTGCAGTGGACTGGTTTCGAAAAATGAAAATGTTAAAAGTTTGGCTTGAATTATCCCAAACATGGCGTTGCCAATTGGAATTCTATGTAGTTTTTGAGTCATGCTTAGGTAACAACCCTTGACGTGACAGTTGAGTTAGTGTTGTCACGTCAAAATGATTTGATTAGACCAAAGAAACGGTTGTTATTTTATAGGGAACGGTGCCTAAGAGGATAATAGGTTGTCCGATTCCCATACTTCCATTCCAATCTTGAGCACTCGTCAAACAAACAAATAAGTAGGATAAGGGCCCTCGTTTCCTTAAAATCAAAAAGGACGGAAAGATGACAACTCGTTACTCTTTTTCCAAGAAAGGCGCACTCCAAGCAGGTGGGTATCGACGGACACTACGACTTAATCAATTGTCGTTCTTTATAAAAGAATGGTCGTTCTTTATGAATTAACAACTAAAAGAATAATCGTTCATAAATAAAGAAAAATCATTTCTAATGGAGGGATGAACAATTCCTTATGAAAGGAATGACTGTTCCTTTGGTTGTTCCTTAAAGAACAATGATTATTCTTTCATAAAGAACATCCGTTTTTTACGAAGGAATGATTATTCCTTCATAAGGAACAACCGTTCATTATAAAAGAACAACTATTCTCCATTTTTTTTTATGAAGGAATGATTATTCCTTCATAAGGAATAACTGTTCTTTATAAAAGAGCGTTCGTTCTTTCATGAGTAATGACTGTTCTTTCTGAAGAAACGACCCTTCATTTCTAGTGGTACCTTTGGTGTCTTAAGTGTAATGGGAGCTGATGTGATAGTACTAATCTATTGACACATTAGGGTTAGGAGATTGGATTGTAAAAGTAATATTTTCCGTAGTATTTACCCAAGTAGCAGTCTTGTGAATCTTAAGAGACTTATTAGATGTTGGGGACGTCTTGCATATTGTTCAGTTTGGCTCTTTTTCTTGACAAAGTATTTCAATTCTACGAAACACTGTACACAGCACCAAGTAAACAAGGAAAAGAAAAAACAATAATTCATTGAAATGAACTAACAAGGATGTGCTTATTACAAGATCATAAGATGAGAGGGAAAATATAATTTAATTCAGGAAAAAAAAAAAAAAAAAAGAAGGCAACAATGCCTGTTCTTTATTCGTTATTACACATGAAAAACCTGGAGTTTATAACATTCTAATTGTGATGAGAAATTTTCACTTCCTTCTGTAAGGGTATAGAATATCTTCCAACGTCTCTTTCATGTAATTGCCCACTTTATTCACATTTTTGGCCACACCTGATGCAACTAGTCCTGCATTCCTTTTAAACCTGCACATTTAGTTTATCACAAAACTTAGGTTCAAGGTCTCTCGACGGCAAAATTTGGACCGAAGTTAAATGATCAAAGACTACATTGATGATTGAACTAAGAATTGACTCATCCATTTGGGTTTTTCTGTGTTACCTGTTCAAGTATTCGTCTCCTGGAAAGGGTGCTGGCTTGTAGGGTCGAGGTTGAGGTTGTGGTTGAGGTTGAGGTTGAGCATGAGCATGAACATGAGGCCGAGTCTCTTCATGAAAGCAAAAGACCAAGAATCATTGTTATTAAACAGAAAGAAACGAGAATTCAAACTTAAAAAGGAAAATATTGATTAAACATTTGAATCTTCAGTTACAAATGATTTTACATACTTTCGGCATAGATTTACTCCAGATACTACAGAGACTAACAGCCAAGGGGAATGAAGAAAATATAAAACAGTAAGAAGAAAAAAATATACAGCACCTACTCATCTCGACAGAAGAACAGTGCTAGAAAACATGCTAGCATTTTCCGTATTTATAAGAAATTCATTTTTGATCCACTAATATATTTATTTGCATTTGAAAGACGTGTGAAAGAAAGCTATTATACTACTTTTAAGGAGACATTGCAATAGATTGCTTTCTATGACCATTTTTTTTTACTTCAATACAAAAATCAATTACATTTTCCAAGAACCACCCAAGATAAATACAGATTCAATTTCTCCTCGTGCTATATCTTAGGGTGGAATAAGGCCCAACCCGAGGCACCCAAATGTTAAGCAATGTTGCGGAACCAGGTTTTAGAACCAGGGTGCTAGTCAATTCCCATCAGCTACCAGTGACTAATTCAACTGTTGCCTCTATGAATGCTGGTGTTGATTTGAAAATATGGTGCTGCTATCCAGAACTGGTTCAACCTGTGACTACTCAGATTCCCCCTGTGAAACTCATGGATGGGGGTCAGTTTGGTTGCAAGGCCAGAGATATTGCTCCATCTCCAAAACCTGGGAGTGGATCTCAAGCATGGGGAAATGCTTCATCTCAAAGCTAGAGCCAAATATCCAGTTCATTTGCCTGCTCAATCTCCTGCTTTTGCTCAACCTCATGCTTCATCCTTCATACTGGAAATCCATCGGGGTTTTTCCTGCTCCAGGCCAATCAGGTATGCCCCATCCGATTCTTGGAGACCTTTACTCCCTGGTCAATCAAACATACAGCCACTTCCTGCTCAACCCACACATACCTTGGGGTATGGGTGTCACAGGCCATCAAAGTACTGTGCCAGACAGGGGCCTGAGAATCAATACTGGTTGGGGCAAATGCCAGTAACCCAAGCATGGTTGGGGAGGACAATTACCTGCGAGTACAAATATGAACTGGGGAACCCAGAACAAGCACAGGCTCCCGGAAATGCAAATTCAGGTTGGTCTGCACCTGTAAATGGACAATTTCCTGGAAATGCGATTCCTAGCTGGGTGCCACCTGGCCAAGGACCACCACCTTTAAATGCAAATCCAGGTTGGGTTGCTCCTGGACAAGGCCAGCCCCTGAAATGCAAATCCCGGTTGGGGGGCCCCTACTGGGAATTCAGGCATGTGGGAGGTGAACAGAAGAATGGTGGAGACAGGTTCTCAGGCCAAAGAATGGACTCCTCAGGTGGTGATCCTGGTTGGTGGAGGTAGACTTGGAATAGACAGTCACTCATTTGGCAACCGAGGAGGGGAATTCATCGAGGCCTCCTTTAATAAAGGGCAGAGAGTATGTAATTCCATAGAGAAAGATTAGTTTCTGATGTTTGGACAATGATACCAATTCATTCTTAACATTTGTGGCTTTTTCCTACCTTTTTTCCCCCCTACCTTTTATTAATGTTGATATTTCACAATTCCATGTTTCAATAATCTTTTATATGGTGCATGATAATTGTTGTTTGAATGCAGTGGATGGAAGCAGAGATACTGCGCCTGAGTCATCTACGTGATCGAGCCAGTGATTTAGGGCGTAGAAAAGAATATCCTTTACAAGTTTATGAGGAACTTTATTATCATCTTGCATGCAGTTGGATGGTTGTCTTTTAATGTTTTAGTTCTCTGCTAAATTCTTAACATCTGCAACAATGAGACTTAAGTGCAAGCTTCTTTACTTTTTTTCTTTTACTCCTATTTCCTTTTTATCTTGTCTTACTTTTTTTTTCATTTTTATTCTTGTTTATCCATATGCCATCTGGGTGTCTGATGATGTATTTGTTTTATGATATTCTTATGGTAATTTGCACCATAGTATTGGATGGAACTTTGGAATGATTTTTTCATAATAAAGTAATAATTTACACTATGGTATATACATTTCTACAAAAGTCTGTCTGATGTTAGATTTGAGCTGACCGTCGTAGCTGTTATTTTCTTTTGGGAAAAAAAAATTGACCAAAAATCCTCTTACAATTTATTTTGTATCTAAAAATATGCACAAGATCTGTTTTCACCACAATATAACCTAGTAGCATAATCTTTCAAATCGCAACTTTTACTTTCCTCCTGGCTGTATTATATATAGATTGTGTGGACAACCTACTCTAACCTTTGAGTGAAGAAAATAAAAAACCAAAATAGGTGTATTTTCATTTGTAAATTTGTTAGAAGTTCTAGGCAGGAACATTTATGCACCAATCTTCTTCCCTCCATGTCTACATCCACCCCTCCACCCTTCTATCAATGCTATATTGCTCCATCTCATCATTTTAGTTCTCATTAGATACTGAACTTGCTAGATGAAATGTTAACTCCAGCTCATGCAGAATTGAATAATTATAGATCTGCACTTAATTACTTGTAATGGCAAGGGCTATGCTTTTTCACACCAGTTAAGTGCTCCTTGACTTCTGTTCACGCTTAGAGAATGTGTGGAGAAGTTGCAGCTTTTAAAGACGCCAGAGGAGCGGCAGCGTAGACTGGAGGACATTCCAGAAATTCATTCAGACCCTAACATGGATCCAAGTTATGAGTCTGATGAGGATGAGGGTGAAACAGATGACAAGAGACAAGGTCTGGTTTGTTTCCCTGTGAATTTTGAACAATTTCTTGTCTTTTATACTATATTCAATGGTAACATTGCGTCTGGTACATGCAGAAAACTCTATGAGACCAAGAGGCAGTGGCTTTAGCAGGAGAGGAAGAGAACCTATTTCCCCTGGGAGGGTAGCTTCTGCTTCAAATGATTCTTTTAGTGGGACAAGGAATTATTCAGGTGGAAATAAAGAATTGAGTAGAAACTTGTCTAATAAAGGTTTCTCAAACAAAGGGGATGATTTGTTTGGAGCTGGCGAGATAGTGAATGAAAATCTATGGAACCAAGCAAGAGCTAAAGAAACTCAGCAATTAAACAGTTGGGAGAAGCCAAGAATTGCTTCAAATTTAGAAACTAGAAATCCCCATTCTGTGGTGTTATCAGAACCAAGTTCTAGGGTTGTTTCAGAAATTTCACCAATACCTGGTTCTACAGGTGGAGCACAGTCTTCTCCCAAAATTAACGAATCAGAGAAAATGTGGCACTACAAGGATCCCTCTGGGAAAGTTCAAGGACCATTTTCTATGGTGCAGCTGCGAAAATGGAACAACACTGGTTATTTTCCTACTAATTTGGGAATATGGAGATCTAATGAGAAGCCAGAGGACTCGATACTTTTGACTGATGCATTGAGTGGCAAGTTCAATAAAGATCCTCCATTGATGGACAGCAGTTTGTCTCAAACGGTCTCATACTCTGGGAAGCCTCATGGAGCAACTTTGCAGCAAGGAATGGAGATTCAAGTTGGAGGAAATTCAAACTTCGATCAGAATCGTACAGCTTGGAATTCACATGATTCCCTGAGTTCTGTAGCTCAATCGGTACTTGGTTCTTCTACAGGTGGGGCGGCTTCTTCCTCACTTGAGGTTCCTAAGAGTTATAGAGATGGCTGGGGTTCTGAAACGAACCTCCCATCTCCAACTCCAAGTACCACAGTTCAGACCAAGGGAAAAACTTTTGAAAGAGAATGGTCACCCACCCCTACTAAACCATCTGGTCCCCTCATGATGGCCAACCAATTTTCTGGAGGCAATGGAGGGCAGCAATCTTCTACTTTGCTTGTTCCAGAGAGTGGGCAATTGTTGCATACTTCCATTCCAACACCTTCTACATCAAAATTGAGTGGTAATGTGGATAGTTTAAATATGTCTCATGGAGTGAGTTTAGCATCTAAGCCTGAAATAGGCGAATCACACAGGGTGCTAGTCAATTCCCATCAGCTACCAGTGACTAATTCAACTGTTGCCTCTATGAATGCTGGTGTTGATTTGAAAAATATTGGTGCTGCTATCCAGAACTTGGTTCAACCTGTGACTACTCAGATTCCCCCTGTAGAAACTCATGGATGGGGATCAGGTTTGGTTGCAAGGCCAGAGATGATTGCTCCATCTCCAAAACCTGGGAGTGGATCTCAAGCATGGGGAAATGCTTCATCTCAGAAGCTAGAGCCAAATAATCCAGTTCATTTGCCTGCTCAATCTCCTGCTTTTGCTCAACCTCATGCTTCATCCTTCAGTACTGGAAATCCATCTGGGGTTTTTCCTGCTCCAGGCCAATCAGGTATGCCACCATCCGATTCTTGGAGACCTTTACTCCCTGGTCAATCAAACATACAGCCACTTCCTGCTCAACCCAACATACCTTGGGGTATGGGTGTCACAGGCCATCAAAGTACTGTGCCGAGACAGGGGCCTGAGAATCAAGGTACTGGTTGGGGGCAAATGCCAGTAAACCCAAGCATGGGTTGGGGAGGACAATTACCTGCGAGTACAAATATGAACTGGGGAACCCAAGGACAAGCACAGGCTCCCGGAAATGCAAATTCAGGTTGGTCTGCACCTGTAAATGGACAAGTTCCTGGAAATGCGATTCCTAGCTGGGTACCACCTGGCCAAGGACCACCACCTTTAAATGCAAATCCAGGTTGGGTTGCTCCTGGACAAGGGCCAGCCCCTGGAAATGCAAATCCCGGTTGGGGGGCCCCTACTGGGAATTCAGGCATGTGGGGAGGTGAACAGAAGAATGGTGGAGACAGGTTCTCAGGCCAAAGAGATAGGACTCCTCAGGGTGGTGATCCTGGTTATGGTGGAGGTAGACCTTGGAATAGACAGTCATCATTTGGCAACCGAGGAGGGGTAGATTCATCGAGGCCTCCTTTTAATAAAGGGCAGAGAGTATGTAAATTCCATGAGAGTGGACATTGCAAGAAAGGATCTCAATGTGATTATCTACACACTTGAGATATGGGAATTGAATGGAGCGCTGTGCGCTGTGTAGAGCAGTTCAATCTGTACAGTTATTTTAGTTAAAGAAAGTTTGACATTAAATCTTTTTAAGCTTTATACACAGTATAACCTTTTGTAGATTAGCGGTTACTTCATCTTTTTGCAGTTTTGCGGCTCACCTGCTTTTTATTAATTTTATTTGTCTCAGTGAATCCGCTTTCCTTATATTCAAATAATGGAAAAGGTTTAAATGCTTGGATGGATAAAGCGTTTGTGTGGATGCATGTTTATGAGTTTGGTATTTTGCTTATGGTTGCTTCATTTGGATTCTTGCTAGTCAATTGCAAGTGTTGCAGTGGACTGGTTTTGAATAATGAAAATGTTAAAAGTTTGGCTTGAATTATCCCAAACATGGCTTTGCCAACTGGAATTCTATATAGTTTTTGAGTCATGCTGCGGTATGCGGTAACAACCTTCGACGTGACAGTTGAATTGGTGTTATTATGTCAAAATGATTTGGTTAGACCAAAGAAACGGTTGTTATTTTATAGGGAATGACATTGTTTTAAAAACCGAACCGTTCGTTGACCCGATTAATTGTTATAAGTTTAAAAATTAGCAAATACATCCTTAAAAGTTTCAATAAACCCCTCTACGTTTAAAATAAAGCAAATGGACTCTCAATTTTATTATTAATTATTTTTCTCTCTCCGTATCACTTCCATCTTTCACTTTTTTTCTCTCTCCCCATCACGCACTCCCCGTCACTTTCATCTTCTTTCTTCTTCCTCTTTCTTCTTTGTCTACTGTAATTTTTCTCTCCTCTTTTCTTTCTTCTAATCTTCTTCTTACTCTTTCTTGTGTCTCCTCCTCTCCTTCTTCTTCCCTCCCCTTCCTTCTTCTTCTTTGCCAGTAGATTTTAGTGTAAGTGTCGTGAAGAAGCATTGAAGATGAAAATAGAAGATAATGAAACGGTGCTGAAATCGGTTTAGGGATTAGGAATATGAATTTTTTTGGATTAGACGAACTGTTTTAAGCTCCGGGCCGGTCGGATTGACGGTTTTGTACTATTCCGTCAATCCATTATCGGTCCAAAACGGGTTAATTAATATTGCCGATTTTGTGTTAACCCAGACCGAAGTAAAGGCCGGCTCCCAGTCGAACCGGTCCGTGTTTTAAAACAGAGGGGAATGGTCGTTCTTTATAAAAGAATGATCGTTCTTCATGAATAAACAACCAAAGGAATAACCGTTCATAAATAAGGAAAAACCATTCCTAATGGAGGGAAGAACTATTCCTTATGAAAAGAATGAATGTTTCTTTGGTTGTTCCTTACGAAAGAATGATTGTTATTTCATAAGGAACATCCGTTTTTTATGAAGGAATGATTATTCCTTTATAAGGAACAATCATTCCTCGTTTCTTATAAAAGAACGGCCGTTTTTTTCATAAGTAACAACTGTTCTTTCTGAAGAAACGACCCTTCATTTTTAATAGTGCTTTTAGTGTCTTAGGTATAGTGGGAGCTGATGTGATAGTACTAATCTGTTGACACATTAAGATTGTAAGAGATTATAAGATTGGATTATAAATGTAACATTTTTCATAGTGTTTACCCAAGTAGCAGTCTTGTGAATCTTAAGAGACTTATTAAATGTTGCATATTGTTCAGTTTGGCTCTTTTTCTTGACAAAGTATTTCAGTTCTACGAAAGACAGTGCACACAGCTCCAAGTTAACAAGGAAAATAAAAAACAATAATTCATTGAAATGAACTAACAGGGATGTGCTTATTACAAGATCATAAGATGAGAGGGAAAATATAATTTAATTCAGGAAAAAAAAAAAAAAAAAAGAAGGCAACAATGCCTGTTCTTTATTCGTTATTACACATGAAAAACCTGGAGTTTATGACATTCTAATTGTGATGAGAAATTTTCACTTCCTTCTGTAAGGGTATAGAATATCTTCCAACGTCTCTTTCATGTAATTGCCCACTTTATTCACATTTTTGGCCACACCTGATGCAACTAGTCCTGCATTCCTTTTAAACCTGCACATTTAGTTTATCACAAAACTTAGGTTCAAGGTCTCTCGACGGCNTCATAGTGTTTACCCAAGTAGCAGTCTTGTGAATCTTAAGAGACTTATTAAATGTTGCATATTGTTCAGTTTGGCTCTTTTTCTTGACAAAGTATTTCAATTCTACGAAACACTGTACACAGCACCAAGTAAACAAGGAAAAGAAAAAACAATAATTCATTGAAATGAACTAACAAGGATGTGCTTATTACAAGATCATAAGATGAGAGGGAAAATATAATTTAATTCAGGAAAAAAAAAAAAAAAAAAGAAGGCAACAATGCCTGTTCTTTATTCGTTATTACACATGAAAAACCTGGAGTTTATGACATTCTAATTGTGATGAGAAATTTTCACTTCCTTCTGTAAGGGTATAGAATATCTTCCAACGTCTCTTTCATGTAATTGCCCACTTTATTCACATTTTTGGCCACACCTGATGCAACTAGTCCTGCATTCCTTTTAAACCTGCACATTTAGTTTATCACAAAACTTAGGTTCAAGGTCTCTCGACGGCAAAATTTGGACCGAAGTTAAATGATCAAAGACTACATTGATGATTGAACTAAGAATTGACTCATCCATTTGGGTTTTTCTGTGTTACCTGTTCAAGTATTCGTCTCCTGGAAAGGGTGCTGGCTTGTAGGGTCGAGGTTGAGGTTGTGGTTGAGGTTGAGGTTGAGCATGAGCATGAACATGAGGCCGAGTCTCTTCATGAAAGCAAAAGACCAAGAATCATTGTTATTAAACAGAAAGAAACGAGAATTCAAACTTAAAAAGGAAAATATTGATTAAACATTTGAATCTTCAGTTACAAATGATTTTACATACTTTCGGCATAGATTTACTCCAGATACTACAGAGACTAACAGCCAAGGGGAATGAAGAAAATATAAAACAGTAAGAAGAAAAAAATATACAGCACCTACTCATCTCGACAGAAGAACAGTGCTAGAAAACATGCTAGCATTTTCTGTATATATAAGAAATTCATTTCTGATCCACTAATATATTTATTTGCATTTGAAAGACGTGTGAAAGAATGCGATTATACTACTTTTAAGGAGACATTGCAATAAATTGCTTTCTATGACAATTTTTTTTTACTTCAATACAAAAATCAATTACATTTTCCAGGAACCACCCAAGATAAATACAGATTCAATTTCTCCTCATGTTATATCTTAGGGTGGAATAAGGCCCAACCCGAGGCACCCAAATGTTAAGCAATGTTGCGGAACCAGGTTTTAGAATGCAACTGCTATCACCCAAATTTTTTAATTGCATTGCGTTGTACACAAATAACAGAATAGCTATAATATATAATAAATTCAAAGAGCCATTTTAATTGCAAAACTGGTCATTGCTTTAAGAAACATATCGTAACTTATCATGAAACACTCTAAAGTTCACCAAGAAGATAATAAGACTTGAAAGTAATAATATCTGAGACGATAGTCTTTGCTCAACTTTGAAAGAGAAAAAAAGACTCTCAATACCTTCATTTTTACGAACATGAGCAGGAACATGATCAGCAGTTGAAGGGCTTCTGTCCAACAATACCTGAAACAAAAGAATAGACAAAGAATTATGAGTTTAACTCTTAAAGAAGATGCATTTCAAGTTGCAAGAATCTCTGTGAAACCTAAGAGCAACAAACATGCATTTTTGACATAATTGACCTAAACTAATTCACATATCAGTAAATGGGTCGGCACACCTGCCTTTTCCTAGGCCATACCAAAAACTCACAAACTTCTATGGTGAAAATCAAATGAGCCATAAACAATTTTAAACTTCACAAATTTATGAAGTTCAATGAATGAATTCGCTTCTAGAACAACTAATACCATATTGTACACATCTATGAACTACTTCGCTCACAAAAGATAGAAAGAAAGAAAGAAGAATGAAAACCTATACTTGCAAATTACCAGCTGACCATGCTCCCCTCCTCCCTTCTCATAAAGATTTTGAAATTAGAAGAGAAGGATAAGTTAATACCCAATTCTCAAAGCTTCTACTGATATTGACATATTATTAAAATTGAAAGAGAAACATGTCAACAGATCCTCACAGTTCACAACAAAATGTTATAGATTAGGAAACAATCAGAAAAATAATACATGACCTCAAGCCCAACACAGAATGGCAATTCTGCTTCTTTATCCATCTTATCAGTTGATGAATCTTTATTGTCCAAGTATACTGAGTAACCAACACATCCATACTTGAAATCCTTAAGACTACGGCCCTCTTTTGAAGCTTCCAACTCAGTTTCTCCCACAACGTACCTGGGGACTGGTCATACACCTTAAAATCAGGGCATATTTTTCAGAGTTTCAATAAAAAAAAGCCCTTAATCGGATGAAACAGCCAGTAAACTTTAAAACATAATTCTTAAATTAGAAAGCAGAAGACGCCAGTATTGCATGTGCCAACACAAATATGTGTATAGAAACAAAAAATCGAAAGAAGCCAAGAAGTTAACAGCATTAGCATCGTATGGATCAAGTCTAAACATTACAGCATTCATAGCAACATTACAAACACTTAGAGCACCAATACACAAACAGAGCTACAGTTAGTCCCCAATAAAGTAGATTAATTAGCACAGTTACCAAACTTTGGCAATCAAAACTCGTTTTGGACAAATTAACCCAAGAAAAATTATTTGGCTCACAACCCAAAACAGAAGAAGAAAAAAAAAAAGCTATAGATCTTTCCTTCTTCATTTTAACAACACCGCTATAGAGACCAATTATGAGCCACTCAGGAATTGAAAGAACCACAAAGAAGCAAAATTGCACAGCCCTCCATCACCCCCATTAAAACACTTAAAATTTTATGATTCTTCTATGATTTTTAATTCCACATTTTATTACTGAAGCTAATATACAGAATATTCACAATTTTTTTTTTTTTTTTTTGTTGATTAATAAGCATAATCAGACACTTAAAATAACATACAAACCACCCAACAAAACATAAACTTGTTGATAATATATAAAGCTAAGATCAAACAGAACAGAAAAACCCGGATGAAATACCTTGATGGAGATTTCGGGGGACGCCAACACAAATGGGGTGGTGAGATTTGTTTTGAGAGTAGAAGAGTAGTATAAACATCCCTTGCACGACTTTCCTTTCTTGTGATTAATGTTATTACTTTTATTATTTGGTGGTTTTGATTTTCAAGAGATTTCCCTTGTTCTTCTTTTTCTTCCCCCATTGAATTGATATCTTTCATTCTATTTCTGGCAACTGCGACATAATAACCCTTCCTTCTCTGGTTTTCGCTTTTTGACTGCTCGCGTTCTGCTGCTCTCCACAGTATCCTTAACCAAAAACAAAAAAAATACTGATATTATACAAAATCCTAAGCGACCCCAATTTTTTTGATAAAAATCGACCACCCCTAAGGTACAAGGCTATAATTTTGTGACCAACGAGGGGCAATTTTGTCTTTTCACGCAAGTTTTTGGTAAATTTCATTATTTTTTTTTCCCCATTCGTTCAAGGATATGATATATAGGTTAATCCAACATCCATTTTACCAATTTTGTGAACCGTAATATGTTCATTAAACATCGATGGGTCGTATCAGTATGAAAAACCACACTACACTCTAATCGAAAGAAAAAAAAAAAAAAAAAACCTGTAATATTTGATGAACGCTTGAGATTTTTTATGTATTACTCAAGAGGTTTAGATTTTGAATTCTCATGACTACTAATAAAGATTATCTTAGAGACTTACCCGATATTAATTTCAGGACCCTAAGAGACTGATTGAGGTACGTATAAGCTATTCCGGACACTCCCCAATCCAAAAAAAAAAAAAAAAAAAACTCATAGAATAATATATTAGTTTATGGGCCCGAGAGAGCCCAATTAGATAATTTCGGTCTCATAACGGTCCAGTCAAGTTACTTCAATATAATGAAGCAACTCCCCACCTCCGTCTCAACCACCACCACCAGCAGCGCAACCGCTACGTCCAACACTTTCCTCTCTGCAACACAGCTTGACCTAGATTACTACATGTTCTCCCTAACTTCCTTTCGACGAACAATGCGTGCATATCCTGAATCTCTCAAAAGGTATTTGTTGAAAAACTATACATTTTTATTCAAGATTGAGTTTTTTTACCTAAGTAGTTGCTTTAATTTAATTTTCTGCCAGATTAGATAAAAAATTTGTTAGTTCATACCTAAAACATGCGTCGAGGCTTTAAGAAATTATAGAAATGGAATTTTGCTAAGAATTAACATTGCTCTTTAACTTCAATATTATTTCAAGTTTCTGCCATACAAATGGCTTGCAACTAATTTTGTTAAACCCTTTTTAGTAACAATTAAGAGAAAAAAAAAAAGATTATTAAATTTCAGGAAGCTAATGATTTTTATGATATGTTCCTTTGCAGGGATTCTTTAGTGTTGTTTGGTTGTCTTGTTCAAAGTAAGGCTGTTATCTCATCACTGTCTGGCGTTTCTACTTCTGCCAATCCCCTTTATTATATCACTTATGCACAGGAGAGAAGTTATGGGGTATTAAGATCTTTCCTTGGAGCACAGCACATATTCTCGCCTGCTGATAATTCGGTGATGAAAAGATTGGAAATGTTTGAGTTTTGTAGTGTCAGTAGAAAATTGCTACATTCGAGATACATGAGCAGTGCATCAATTGAGTTAAAGACGGATGGTGGTGCTGTGAGGTTTTCTTTTAATAAGCAGGGTAACAAAAATGGGTCACTGAAGACAGTGAAGGAGGGGGCTAAAAGGTTGAAAATGTCAAAAAAGGCCAAGCGTAATGAACTCAGGTTCTATCGTCTCATGGCCAAAAAGAAGATGAATTCTTCAAACCCAGAAGTTAGGATTAGATACAAACTTGGGAAGGTTGTTAACCTGTCGACTTATTCAATTGGCATTTCACTCAGTAGTCTAGGAAAAACTTTTAGACTTGCTTTTAAAGTTAATATTTCAGCCACTACTGCTTCTTTATTTTGAGTTTTTCTTCTCGTTTTTTTAATTCTGGTGCACAATTGACTGTGTTAGTCTTGTGGAAATTTAATGTTGCATGTACAATGTGGCTGCCCTAGATTTTACTTTATTTTGTCTTAGCAATTAAGGGTAGAATAGATTTGGTTGCATGTTGTGCAGAGGATTTTGTGTAATTCTTTTTTCGGAGCAGAAATAATAATTATAATATATGTGTATATATATATATATATATATAGAGAGAGAGAGAGAGAGAGAAGAAATATCATCATTAATGTGTGGAAAATGTAGTTTGGTCTAGTTCAAAGGTGGTTGTGCTATTTTACTGTTATCTTCTAACACACTATTAATGGTTTAAGCCTTTTAAATTTCTCTGTAAAATATTCTCAGGCCAAACGGAAGGAAGCATGGCTTATTGAGAAGTTGAGGAAATTTGAGGTTCCTAAAGGGCCAGTTGAAACATATGATCCTGAAATTTTAACCGAGGAAGAGAGACACTACTTAAAGCGTACTGGTGAAAAAAAGAAAAATTATGTCCAAGTTGGAAGACGAGGAGTGTTTGGAGGAGTTGTTCTTAATATGCATCTCCATTGGAAGAAGCATGAAACTGTGAAGATTGTTTGCAAGCCTTGCAAGCCAGGGCAAATTCATGCTTATGCTGAAGAAATTTCTCGACTGAGTAAGGGCATTGTGATTGACATAAAACCTGACAATACTATAATATTTTATCGTGGAAAGAACTACGTGCAGCCAGAAGTCATATCACCTCCTAACACCTTATCTAAAGACAAGGTAAATTTAGTCCTTTATTTTATTGTTTATCCTCTGTGTGTTCACCATCTGCACGTGTTTATATCTCCTCTGCCCTCAACATATTTTTCTTCTGAAGAATCAAGTAGTTGTGGGCTTAGGAGTTTAGCAGGTCCAATTTATTTATGGTCTGTCCTTGCCTTCTAGATTATTATTTTAATGTAATGATATATATTTCTTTATAATGTAATCTGGACTTGCCTTGATGATTTCTTGAAATTTTCCCTAGGCCCTGGAAAAATATAGGTATGAGCAGTCCCTTGAGCATACAAGTGGGTTCATTGAAAAGTTGGAGCAAGAACTAGAAGAGTATCATAAGCATATTGCTTTGTACAAGAAAAGAAAAGAGGATACAAATCGTGATTCCTTGGTAAGCCATTTTTCATTTGGCTAAAATTTCAAACAGAAAAGAACTGATCATCTACATGTGTTCGTCTTGCTTTAGTATAGAAAATAAGAGATAAAAAAGAAGAGGTGTTTCTGATTCTCAAAGTAGATAACCCTGTCCTGGTGTTTAGATTTTTAGAGCTGCCATGTTTGTCATTCCCCGCAACAGAAGATGACAGTCCTATCCATGTCAATTGATAATGAGTATATTTTGATTCTTGTGGTCTTAGAATTTCCTATGCAAGGAAGATTAGAACTTTATGGAGAAGATGCCATCTAGCTGATGGTGAAGTCTGTTTGACATGGTATTAATCTACGTTGGAGACCTCTCAGCATAATTTTGTATGTGGTTATCTTTCATATTTCAGTTGAGTTCTCATGTCTTGCGTATATACTTGCTCTTCTTTGCGTTTGTTAATTTGTATCTGGTGATGTGTGTGCTTTTCCTGATTCATGGTCCTCTTTGTCACCAGAATTTTTGAAAATACCTCCTGCCTTCTTGTTTCGTAAAAAGGAAAATGATATGATATGATAACTGCGTGATTGAACATCTAAATGGAATCATAAGTCTGCTTATTTCCAGAAGCAGACATAACATCTTTAGAGTTGGATGACTTACATCAATGGATTCTTTTGAAAGAAATGTAAATATTGAAGTATCTATTATTATATCTCTATGCCAAGGTTATAAAAACTGGGAAATGGTTATTATTTATAAATTTTTCAGGATAATATTGGTCCAAGAAAAGAGGAGATTTAGCCAGTCATCTTCCTTGGAGAATCCAGTGTTGATTACTGCTCAAAAGAAGATTTTTTGTTCAACTGCACTCCTGTGAACAGAGCAAGATTAGTCAAATTCCAGAAGTTCCATAGTGTCCAAGGTTACAACACATAATTTTTCCTTACAAAACCAAAAGAGAAAAGAGGCCTTGGTCAAGAAAAGAGCAACTCCAGCCAAACCGTCAGCCTGTCTGTCCTCCCATATTCTTTATCCCTATCAGAGCCTCCCTCCTCTGGATTTTGAAAACAGCCTGTAGAGCCCAGCAACCTGCCACCAGGGAACCCAATTCACTCCCTTCCTTACCGGTGAACAGAAATTATTCTCTACGGGCAGTTGGTGAATGCTGTTGTGTGTAGAGAGCTATAGGGGGTCGACGTCTTTGTTTTTCTTCAAACCCCCAATCCGCTCTTGCTCGCTGCTACTAACGGGGTCTCGGTTGATTTCCCTTCCTTTAGTTACGCAGATATTTCAGTTCACTAAATTTGAAAAGTCCAAAGAGCACAGACTAGCTATGGAGATCCATGGATCATAGACGGTGGCCAATGAATTGCTGTTCTTTGAGCATGCTCACGAAACTGCTGAAGCTATCCATGCCCAGAACCCTACGGATGCTGATGATTAAACGAGACTTGGGGAGCTACCCCGGTGGTGTATTGGTTTCAAACTGATTCAGATTGAAAGATAATTTATATTGTGATCCCATAACCAGAGGAAACATGGATGGTACATCACCAGGAAATGCATATAGAGCTCTTTAACTGCTCACCAGGAGCAAGCCTGAGAATGTATTTATATGAAGGAAGATTTGGAAGATAGATAATGTTAATTTTCTATACAATTCCCAATTTGTTTGTTTGCTTCAGGCTCTCAAGGTACATCATGAGCAATGAAAAGCATTTCTGCATAGTTGATTCATTGGATTTGAACACATTTTTCCTTATAGACAACATTTTGAGCTGAAAAAAGTTACAAGCCCTAGATTACAATTACACATTTCTTTTCTTTTATATAACATTAAATCGACTTATAATAGCATCAATTTGGACTTAAAATTTGTATAATGATGAATTTAAGAAGGTAATTGAAAGTAATCAATTTTGTTATTTTAAAAGATAACAAAAGCATACGACCCGAGTTGCACACCCGGACGTGACCTCCGACCCGACCCGAATGGGATATACTCAAAGTCCATACTCGTTTATAATAAAGATTACTTTTAGGGTGTGTTTGGTTTAGAGAATATTGTATTACTGAGAATGTTATATCAAATATGTTTGATTAGATTAAAATAAATTGGTAGGTATGTTATATTAATACGTTTAATTGTGATGAAAAAATTAGTAGGTATGTCATCTAAATTATTGAATTGCCCTTCTTTATTATTATTATTTGGATTATTTTTTGAACCCTTTTATATTTGAAATTTTGTTAAAATACCCCAATAACAATAAAAGTTTAAATTTTAACAAAAACACCCTCACCTATCCAAGCTATTGTCGATCATTGACCACCACCATCGGGCAATGTCGGTAGTAGCTAAAACAGCACACGGTTCTGCCAGATCCAACTGGTCGTACACCGTTCCGCTGGCAGCCAGTGGTGGTGGCCGACGATGGGCGGTGGTTGCTTGATCCAACATTCTTGTAAATTGTTTTAAATGTAAGGGTAGTCTTGTCCAAAAGTTTTGTGTATAAGGATAAAATAGTGCATGAATATTTTTATAAATTGTTTTCAAAACGAGGGCATTTTTGTCCAAAAGCTTTAATAGTTAAGAATAAAATTGTAACAAAATTAAGATTACCCAGTAATCTCAGAATTAGAGGTGGACGAGGCCTGGGACCAGTCGGCCCGGGCCCAAATCCTGAAAGACGGGTCTTAGGCCCATGAGTTTTCCTTGGGCCCGAATCAATCCTAAGGGCCCAAGATCGATCCTAGGATCGGTCCTATGAGCCTAATTTTTTTTTTTTTAATTTTTTTGTAGAATTATATTTTAATCCCTACATTTATTACGTATTTTATTATGGGGGATTTTTTATATTATTCAGGGGGTTTATATAATTTGGGGGAGTTTTAAAAATTAACGGGCCTGGCCCTTGGAGGAGGGACCGACCTGGGCCCAGTCTAGTCCTAAAACTGGTCCTTACTCCCTTAGGCCTGGTCTAATCCTAGGATTGGGTTTTGTAGGGCTCAAGCCAAATTCTCATCTCTACTAAGAATTTCTCAAAAAATTATGATATTTAGATTTCACCTATATAATCAACCGTGATTATTATTGATTTTGAAAGATGATTGAAATCTTATATTAATTGTGAATCAAACATGTTAACTTAAGTGATTATTTTAAAAGTTAAAAATAAAAATAAAAAGCGCAAAATAAAGAATACATTGCGTTAGACAATAATTCACGTTTCAACCGTTAAATTCAACGGACTGCCACCATCTCCTATTAGGCTATTACGTGTCTTCCGCCGCCTCTCACTTCTCCCCATATAAATATCCTTTCGACATTAAACTAATTTTCCTTTCGGCTTTTTATTGTTTAAAATACGCTTTCTCTCCCCGCCATCTAGTTGATCTTTAGGTTTCACAAAGGGAACAAAAATACCCACTCTTGTTCTTATTTTGTTCGATTTCGTGAAGAATTTGTTTGATTAATCGGTTGATTGATGGCTATTTGCAAGCGCATGGTTAAATTGGCCGCGGATTCTAGTATTTGTTTCACCAACTCTGACTTGAGTTACAGAAAGATATCACAACTCGTTAAATCTAGTGGAAATCGTGCCTTTCTTGTTGATACATTGCAACTGGTAATTTCCGTTTATATATATTCCTTTGTTTGATTTTCGACTATTGAAGTGTTTTTTTTGCTGGATTTTTACATTTTTTTTTTAATAATGTTGAAGGTGAGGGGTTTAGAAGCTCAAGGTGTGCCGTCTAAACAAGCTGAGGCAATAACAGCTGCAATCACGGAAGTTTTAAACGATAGTTTGGAGAATGTGGCTAACTCTTTCGTCTCCAAGGAAGAAATGCAAAAAGTAATTGTTTTTTATTTTGCCTACCAACTGTTTGACGTGAATCAATTCTAGCTGTATTTATGATGGCAATGCAAAAAGTAATTGTCCATTATCTTGCCTACCAACTGTTTGACGTGAATCAATTCTAGCTGTATTTATGATGGCATTGCAAAATGTAATTGTCCATTATCTTGCCCCCCAACTGTTTGACGTGAATCAATTCTAGCTGTATTTATGATGGCGTGCTTTGTTATATGTAGACAGAGATGGCTCAAGAATCCAACCTTTCAAAGTTTAAATCTGAAGTGCAGAGTTTGCAGGTAATATACGGTTTTGTTATTTGTTTTCTGTGCTGCGGGAAGTCAAAAAAGCTTTAATTATGTGATTTGAAGCCTAGTTTCAGCATAGATGATAGTTTGTATTGAAAATCGTTATATATTGTTAATGATACAACTATCATTCAATAATTTGGTAATCAAAGAATTTTCAAACAACAGTTATAGTTTAAGAATGCTTTTGAGAATTTTTGGCTTACTAGAACAGAGAATAAGTTTGTGACCTGAGTTTAGAAGGGGAAGAGTTGCTTCAAGTTCAGGTAGCTTAATGCTAATAAAGAATTCTTTAAAGGCAATTTATTGGTTTTTAGTTTATAATGACTCATACAATTATCTCAAATCAGTACAATTTCTTTGGCTTACTAAAAATATAGGGTTAATTCATATTTCTTGATTGCATAAAGTTAATGTCTTTGTCAAAGTAATGACATTAAGGTATTTAAGTCATCCTCCACCCTACTAAATTTTGATTTTATTCATACTAGGGTGCAATTTTTTATTTTTTTGTATTCGTTGTGTTCAATAAATCTAAATTGAAGGCATGATTCATTGTTCCTAATAAGTTTATTACTTTCTTTAGTCCCAACTAGACTTAGCAAAACAAGCGGGTGGGCCGGGTATGGGCCAAGTCAAAACGGGTGCGGGTCCAAAACAGGTCAATCTAAACGGACCCAAAATATTGGACCCGCACCCTACCTTAACGGGTATGGTCCTGTTACTGCTGAATGCAGTTTTGAATTTTAACAGACACACCCCCATAATTCCTACACTTTTCATTTGTTACAATCATGCCCCCACAATCAACTCGTGCAAATTCATTGATTGAATTTATTTCAAAGTGACAGTTGGTCGTGGGCAGTGGTAGAAGGCGGGGGATGGCCAAGAAAGTGTTTTTGAGGTTTGGTGAGAGGTGGCAGGTGGGTAGACAGGTGCTCGGGTGCTTGAGGCGGGCATGCTGGTTGGGGCAAATTGTCGAACACTTGGTGTGCGTCAACAGGAGAAAAACAAACGGCAGTCGTGGGTAGGTTGTGCAACCCAAAATTACAACCAAAAGCAATCACCAAACAAACAATAATCCAACAAACCAAAAGCTAGTCAAAATGAAAGAAAATGGCAACTCAAACGCGGTGGCAGGCAGCTATGTCGAGGGTGGCAATTGGCGAGTTACCAGGTGTTAGGGTTATGGGGGTTTTGTTGAGGGGAAACCAATGAGTCTAGGGGTGGTGATGGGAGCGATTTTGGCCACCGGAATCTATCAAAATTTGGCTTAGAAGGGAAAAACCCTAACTTGGCGGCGACCAGTGAACGGAGGGATCAATAAGGCAAGAACCTTGGGGATTTTGGTCAATGGAGGACGGCGATGGTGGTGGTAGTGACGATGAAGGCCAACAGTGTCAGGAATGGCCAGGTCGGGTTTGAGATGAAGCTTCGCATGGTAGGGAAAAATGGTCAAATCCAACCAAAAAATCAATCGATCAGGCAAGGGACAAAGCAATCAGGGTTAAAGTGTTTATTTCCCTTAGTTTTGGTGAGAAATCTGTCGGAAATCAAAGTGAAATGGCTAGAGGCAGTGCTGACGGTGGTGGGCGATTGGACAATTGAATTCTAGGAATCAGGGATTTAGGTTAAATTAAAAAAAAAAAAAAAAAAATCATGGGTACCCGTGGGTGTACCCGGTCTGCCCGTTTACAAAATGGGTAGGGTCGGGTACGAGTCCAAAAAAAAAGGGCCTAATTATGCAGACTTGTACCCTATATACCCAAGTACGGTCGACCCACGGGTCCAAACCTGTTTTGCCTGGTCTAGTCCCAACATATCTGTCCAATCATTCCCTACTTGAAAATATTAGTTCCCAACCGTTAAATATGAGACTTTCTCCTACTTACACACATTTTACTCGTTTTTTGTTTCTTACTTCTTTTTTCCTTTCTTTCCTTGCCAACATTGCTTATTTTCTCTTTGATATCTTTTGATTCCTTGAAAGAGAAAGAATAAGTAGAACTTTTATGGTGGACAGGAAGATGAAAGAGCAAGAAAGTGTTTTTTGCATGTGCTGGTTTACTTATGATTTTACAAATGTGGTATAATTATCATGTAGGAACATCATTTTTCTTTGTTGCAACGTGAAACTGAAAAGCATCGAAGTGACATAGAGAAATTGCGCAGTGAACTGAGGTCTGTCTTATAAACTACAATGAAATTTGTTTTTAGCAACTGATATAGAGTATTAAGTTCAAGAATAATCCTCTTCTGTGACAGGTATGAGATTGACAAGGTCAAAGCTGGGCAGCGCTTGGATTTAAATCTTGAAAAAGGGTGAGAAAGAATTATTTGAGAAATATGTCGTATGATTCTATCAGTTGGATATTAGTTATTTATGCTAATTCGTTCTATTACCATAACTGAATGTAGGCGTATACGAGATGAACTTGCCAACCAAAAAGCAGAAACCACTAACCTGACTAATAAACTAGACAAGGTTAGTTTTATAATCTTATATGAGAGATTTTTATTATTATATATTAACATGTGTCATTATTAAACTTGGAAGCTCTTTTTTTTCTTCAACAGGAAATTCATTCATTAAGAGCCCAGGTGGAAGCAGCTAAATATGATGTGATCAAGTACTGTATAGGTACCCTCGTCTCTATATCTGCAGTTGGGCTTGCAATTGTCCGCATCTTGATGTAGGGTTTCATGTTATATTTATCATAAATACTAATTTTTATTCTTTTCTGGCTACTTACTGCATTGATAGACGGTCGGATAAATTATATTCTTTTATGTAAAAAACAGCTCTCGGATAAATCATATTCTTCTCTATAGGAAGCAAATATAAATTGAGAGAAACTATTGTCAGTTGTTAGTGTGACATATTTTTTTGTATAACTTTATCTCATTATCTTTAAACCACCGATACAAGGATTAGAAAATACTTAACGTTCTAATGTTTTCTCGAGTTCATTGCATGTCATAATAAGCATTTTGTTGGATCAAATATGTATAGAGTTTTCTTAAATCTTTTATTATTCTATTTTGTGTAATTTTGATTAGTCCTATTAGTTTTTTCACCATCTTCCATAGACCACAATTTGAACCATAAAAATGGATTAGCAGAGTTCTGTGAGACATGTATTTTCTTGCCATCTTTTTCATGTTTGGTTTTTGTAAGTCAATTTTATGCCTTTAATGATACACAACTGAATTGCTGATACAAAACTTAAATCACATCAAGTTTGACTTGAAATTTGGACACTAAGAATTGACCATTAAAGGAATTTAAAAAGGTAGTTGGATAGTAGTCGGTTTGCAATAAAAGTAATCAAAAGCTGGAGTGTTTTAATCTTCTAGAAGCATATTACTTGTATCAAGGAATGAGAAATCGGACTTGGCAAATGGCACCCATGCTACTGCACCCAGCAGCTGAATGGAACAAAGGGCACCCATGCTGCTGCGCCTAAGAAGCGAAGTAAAAGGGGTGCAGTAAAATAGGGCAACAGTAATGCTAGCTAACAAATACTTTTTACTAATTTTCTTTCATAAATGCGATGTGTTAATTCACAATTAATCAGTTTGTAATTTCTATTTTAAAAATCGGACTGGATTGGCCGATTGGACCAGGATTTGACAGCTTCTCCGGTCCGGTTTAGGTCTTAGGGGGTTTTTACAATATTTTAAAATTATGAGGGTTAATTTGTAACTTTATAAGGGTGTTTTAGAAATATATCAAAAGTTTAGGGATTAATTTGTAGTTTTTTTGGGGTACTTTTGGAATAATTAAAAATTTTAGGGATTAATTAAAACTTTTTTAGGAGAATTTTTGTAATATATTGAAATTTAAGGGGTTAATAAATTTTTTAAAAATAAAATATCGTTGACGTCATCGGTCCAACTGACCGGTCCAATTGGTTGGATTGGTTGACCCGTGACTCGGACAACAAAATAGGTTACCCTTAGATTTAGATTTTAAAACAATGTTATAATCGATCCTATCTATCTAATAATGGGTCTCGTTTAACTAAATACGAGCCACCTAATTATAAGTTATTACATTAAAAGTTAATGGGAANTATGTATAGAGTTTTCTTAAATCTTTTATTATTCTATTTTGTGTAATTTTGATTAGTCCTATTAGTTTTTTCACCATCTTCCATAGACCACAATTTGAACCATAAAAATGGATTAGCAGAGTTCTGTGAGACATGTATTTTCTTGCCATCTTTTTCATATTTTGGTTTTTGTAAGTCAATTTTATGCATTTAATGATACACAACTGAATTGCTGATACAAAACTTAAATCACATCAAGTTTGACTTGAAATTTGGACACTAAGAATTGACCATTAAAGGAATTTAAAAAGGTAGTTGGATAGTAGTCGGTTTGCAATAAAAGTAATCAAAAGCTGGAGTGTTTTAATCTTCTAGAAGCATATTACTTGTATCAAGGAATGAGAAATCGGACTTGGCAAATGGCACCCATGCTACTGCACCCAGCAGCTGAATGGAACAAAGGGCACCCATGCTGCTGCGCCTAAGAAGCGAAGTAAAAGGGGTGCAGTAAAATAGGGCAAGAGTAATGCTACGCTAACAAATACTTTTTACTAATTTTCTTTCATAAATGCGATGTGTTAACTCACAATTGGTCAGTTTGTAATCTCGATTTTAAAAATCGGACCGGATCGGCCGGTTGGATCAGGGTTCGGCAGCTTCTCCGGTCCGGTTTAGGTCTTAGAAGGTTTTTATAATATTTCAAAATTATGAGGGTTGATTTGTAATTTTATAAGGGTGTTTGAGAAATATATCAAAAGTTTAGGGATTAATTGGTAGTTTTTTTGGGGTACTTTTGGAATAATTAAAAATTTTAGGGATTAATTTAAACTTTTTTAGGGGAATTTTTGTATTATATTGAAATTTAAGGGGTTAACATAATTTTTTAAAAATAAAATATCATTGACGTCATCGGGCCAACTGGTCAGTCCAACCGGTTGGATCGGTTGACTCGTGACTCGGATAATAAAACAGATTACGTTTCGATTTAGGTTTTAAAACAATGTTTGTAATCGATCTTATCTATCTAATAATAGATTTGGTTTAACCAATTAACCAAATACGAGCCACCTAATTATAAGTTATTACATTAAAAGTTAATGGAAAGTACCTATCTTTATTCAATCGAGACAATGGATGCCTATGCTGTTGTGTCCAAAAGGGTTAGTAAAGGGACGTAACAGGATGGGACCAAGGGTGCCAATGCTGCTATGCCTAAGAAACCGACAGTAGCACGTAGTGAGGCCACAAGACTAGGCGATGCCGACACGAGGTTGGGGAATGCACGTACCAAGTGGTGAGGCACCCAACGAGGCCATGACATGAGGCCGGGTGTCGCCCGCCCACCAAACATTCTATAATTGATAAATTTGTTGGGTGGTTGAGTTTTAAGAATTTGTTGTTTTGTGTTTGGTACAATAGTGAAGATCCACCATGTGATGAATATTTAAAATATTTTTACTGCAATTTATAATATTTAATATAAATTTATTACAAAAAAAACCCTTTAAATATCTTTCAAAATAGTAATCCAAGTTCTATATTACAAAAAAACAAAAAAAATCCCTTTCATTATTCTATATATTTCATTTATTATTTAAAATTATACTACAACGACATTTCATTCGGAAAAAAAAATATGAAATGAATGATTGTTGTGAAAAAAAAACTATATATATATATATATATATTTTGGTATTCGAGAGTGTTTGGACCAGCTTCTATACACCTCAACTAGTTTTTCGAGACCTTGAAGCAATGTTTTAAAACCCAACCCGGGGTAAAACCCAGCAAAGCTTCTGGGTCCTGGGTTGACCGACGGTCAAACAGGTTGATAAAAACTTTTAAAATTTAGCAAATATACCCCTAAAAATTACGGTAAGTCCCTATAAGTTTGAAATTTATCAAACACACCCCAACTACAAATCGACCGGCAACTGATTAGCGGCGGCGACACCCCAGATGCAACCCCAATCGTCCCTTGAGCCCATTTCCATCAAAATATACCCAAGATCTGGTCGAAATAGGTTCGATTTCGGCTAGATCTCACCGACGTCGATGTCGGCATTCTAGGCCAGATCCCATCGATTCCGGCAACAACAACCCTTCCCATCACCCCATAATTACTCCCCTTTTCTTCCCGACCAAAACCCCCCTCACCCCACCCCCGTTAGCCTCGTAAATAGCCGAAAAAATTTCATCGTTGCCGTTGCCAGTTTTGTTCGATTTCCGATCGATTTATTCACCGGAAATCAAATCTTTTACCACCATTACATTCACCGGAAATAGCTCTTCAAAAGCCCCAACATTCCGATAGTTAATTGTTCGCCGATCATCACCGGAAATCCTAGGGTATTGGGTAAATAGGAAAAAATTAAATCCAGCCCGTTGAAGCCTCCGATTCAACCGACCAGGCCGGGCCGGGTTTTAAAACATTGTATTGAAGTTAACGATCAGGTAAGTCTTCAATAATTATCCCTTATTAGTAATCGTAAGGATTCAAATTAATAACTTCTTGAATAATATACCCAAAAGTCTCGTACCCAATAATTGTCAAACTACCATGTAGATAAAAAACTGTACATCCTTATTAGACCAACTGTTATATTACTTAAATATAAAATGTCAATTCTACATATTTATTTCCTGAAAAATGTTTTTAAAAAACGTTTCCATTTTTTGGAGTCAACTTTCAAACAGTATAAACTGACTGTCAGTGCTGACAACGAATTGAAACTTGGCGGGCCATTTTCTAGAAAATGCCTAACACCGTGTTTGGAGCCTCTCAAAAATGGATTCATTTACATTATCCACTGTTCGAATTTTCACTGTTTATGTTTTTCAAATCTTTTAGAAAAATTATATTTCCCTTTAATACTTAAATATATTTCTTGAAATAATGCTATCATAATAATTAAATTGGTATAATAAATTTTGGATAATATATATATATATATATTAAAATTACCATTTCATCTAAAAATTGGTAATAAATTAAAGTTAGATTATTATAATACAAAATTTTGATACAATCCCATTACAAAAATTATTTGAAGGCAAATTCAATGAACTTCAATAAGAACTTTTAAGGTATTATTCAAAAAGTCTTAAATTCAATTCACCTCTGTTTTTAATATTGGTGACCGTTGAAGGTGGAGGTTTACTTGACTGTTAATTTCAAGATCCCGAGAACACAAAAAAAAAAAAAAAAAAAAAAGGAGGACATTATTTTCAATGCAATTAGTTGATTTTTTTAATCATTGTATTACAATAAATCAAGGATAAATAATTTTTGTCACGATAATTTAGATTGCATTATTTGAACATAAAATGTGTTATTTCTATTATAGGAGATAAAACATGAAGCATACTATTTACACTACTTATTTTTCACAAATTAGGCCCATTTTTAAATAAATCATAGTACCAAATTTAAAATTATTATTATTATTATCTTAATTTATTTAGTTTGTTTTCCTTAATTTTATATGTAAAATATAAATCATAATTTTTAATTATTTAATTTTGAATGATTTTTAGTTACATACATAGTAAGAAACAAATCTACTAAATATTAAACATGCATTTTATGGATTAAAACTAAATTAAACGAGATTTTTACCTTCAATGATACTCAAAAAATTAGGGTCAATCTTGAATAAATCATAGTACGTGATTTAAAATTATTATTATTATTATTATTATTATCTTAATTTATTTCGTTTGTTTTCCTTATTTTTAATATGTAAAATATAAATCATAAATTTTAATTATTCTATTTTTAATGATTTTTACGTGTACCAGTAGATACATAGTAACAAACAAATATACTAAATATCAAACATGCATTTTAAATAAATTAAACGAGATTTTTACCTTCAATAATACTCAAAAAATAATTTAATAATAAAAACGACAAAAAAAAAAAAAATTGCCCTATATATAATTGGTCGCCATAGCCAAGCATTAGTCATTTGTCAGTAATATGCGAAGAGGCCAATTCACAGGGGAGTCATGTGAGTTTGAGCCAGAAAGAATCTGGCAATTTCCCACAAGGCCACAACTAATATTCTTCATTTTGTAATCTGTTTAAATATTGTTTTATCATTTGAAATCTGCAACTAAACGCCAAATCTAAGCACAATATCTCGTCTCCTACAAATACTTCATTAATCTGATCTGGTGTGGTGTGGGTTTCAAATCGTGCAGAGGGTTGAAAGATGGGAACATTGGGAGCGGTTTTCAGGCACCCAGATGATATTTACCCGCTCTTGAAGCTGAAAAGGGCGGTAAAAAATGCGGCCAAGCAGATCCCACCTGAGCCTCACTGGGCTTTTTGTTATACTATGCTTCACAAAGTCTCTCGTAGTTTCGCTCTCGTTATTCAGCAGCTTGATACCGACCTCAGAAACGCTGTAAGTCTCCACATATGATTATTTAGTTGTGATTAATATTGTGTTATAATCATTTCTTTCAAATAGTTGTGGTAATTAATATTAATATTGTTTCGTATGCGTATTCGTGTGTGTGTTTATGTTATTGGGAGTTCTGTGTTTTTGTTGATGATACATATTGGTGTTCTTATTTATGCCGGAAGGGAATTGCTACGTTAATGGAGCCCTGGTAATGTTGCCGGCATTAGCAGTTATGTTAACCCACAACATCATGGTACTGCTTCAGTACCGAGGGTAACGTATAGATGTAAGGGTGAGAAAGGGCTTAACGTTACCCTCGGTATCTTAACAATTTCCTACATCATCATTTTGGTATCCTGCATCGTGATATTATATAATATTTGTAGTATTCAATTAAATAGAAGTTGTAATTTTAATTTCTGGAATTTTCTGTTCTGAGTTTTTATTTGCAGTCTTAATAGCCACTAGCCAGAAATCTTATGTTCGTTTAACTGCTATTGTTTCTTACTGTGCGTTTCCATAGTCTGTTTGTTTATACTGTCATCTTAATTTTAATTTTCAAGTGACACAATTTTTGGTTATGCAGGTATGCATATTTTATCTAGTTCTTCGTGCACTTGACACTGTTGGTATGTTTTTGCTATCTTTAACCTTTTTGCTTTCTTTGTGATTTCTTGTACTTTGCTATCTAGTGTATTAGATTTTCCATATTGAATATTTGATTTTAATGACAAGCCTTCTGCATGTCTCATATGTAAATGTCATATGGAAAGTTTCTTAATTTGGTTTCTTCAGATGGCAAGCTAGACATCATTTCAGTAGCTTTAGCTTCTACAGTCTGATGGATATCATATATGTGGATTATGTATATTTGGACTGCTAATTGCAGAAATCTGGAAGCATTTAATTTGTTATTATTATTTTTTGTTGCAGCTATGTATTTTATTTAAATGTTGCTGAATGCTTTTTTCCCCTTTCCCTTATGATTTTTCATTACAGAGGATGATACAAGCATACCTACGGAGGTCAAGGTGCCTATTCTCTTGGCTTTTCATAGTCATGTGTATGATCGTGACTGGCATTTTGCATGTAAGTGTTCTCGTAACATGATTCGTCCTGTCTTGTTTGTACTTTTTCACACAATTTGAACAACCATTTGACATTAATACAGTTGCTTTCAAATTAAAAAAATAAAAATAGAAATCCTTTGACATTGATGCTTCATGTTACTGTGGTTATATGGTATTTGGTGTTTATTGTCTTAATTGAATCCTAGCTCACTTGGCTTGTTTTAATTATTTTATTTGTCAAGGTGGTACAAAGGATTACAAAGTTCTCATGGACCAGTTTCATCTTGTTTCAACTGCTTTTCTGGAGCTTGGAAAGGGGTTAGTCTCTTATCCTTGCTTTACCCTAGGATAATTGATTTGAAGAAACTTCTGTAGATATGATGATATTCATACCCATTTGTATTATTCCTTTTTATTCCCCATCTGTTTTTCGTTACCATAGTAGGATTTTTCCAAAGACTTGGTTTTATTTTTAAAAAAGTTATATTCTAACAAAAGCTTTATGCAATTGAAGTTGCAATTTATTTTAAAGCAGTTCATACAAGTGAATATAAAGAATCTGAGATGATTATGTTTCTTTTTGGAAAATCTCAAGGCTAGATTGTTTTGTGTGATTGTTTGCATTATAATTATGTGGAGAAAAATCTTGTTTGTAAGAATTTTCTGCATCTATTTGCATTCATATATAATTGCAGTTTTGATTTTTGATATAGTCCTTAACTAGAACTTCACATTGTGCAGTTATCAGAAAGCAATTGAGGATATTACCCAAAAAATGGGTGCAGGGATGGCAAAATTTATTTGCAAGGAGGTTTGTGAATCATGTAACTTGCTAGGGTAAACTGTTCTAAAATGTTTGATATTCTTTATTTTCCAAACTATACCCCAACTCAACCAAGAGGACAGCACTGACTTTACCTCAAAAAATGGAAAAAAAAAAAAAAGAAAAAATCAGTTTGTAAATTTTTTTATGTAGTACTGGATAAGATATAGTAAAAATCTATATATGATGGTGGAGATGTGGGTAATTAGTTGATCAAGTCTCCCAATCTGAAAAATTTTAGAACAAAATTGTGAATTTTCTTAAACAATTACATTATTCGAGTTATATGTATAAGGTATGTGGCATTTGTGATCATTGTTTTTAGGAAATTAAAGCTTTTGTAAATGAAGTGGTGGAATCTAGTTGATAACCTATAATTTGTTTTACCATATTTTAGACTTAATTTATGAGCTCCTTGAGCCAATTACAGAAAAAGCAAATAGATCAAATGTATATTACACCAATAAATTTTATCCTTTTTTTTGCAGGTTGAAACAATTGATGACTATGATGAATATTGCCACTATGTCGCTGGACTTGTTGGACTAGGCTTATCTAAGCTTTTCTATGCCTCTGGGAAGGAAGATATGGCTCCAGAAGATCTTTCCAATTCAATGGGTTTATTTCTTCAGGTATTCATTACATGGAGCAACAATTTTTTTTTTTACCAGCCTCAACTTTTGATTTGAAATGCTAAAGCTTGACCATGTGGATCTACAATAACAGAAAGCAAATATCATTCGAGATTATCTGGAGGATATTAATGAGATACCAAAATCACGGATGTTTTGGCCTCGTGAGATCTGGAGTAAATACGTTAACAAACTGGAGGTGTATTCTCTAACATGTTTTATCTCTATTTGTAGTTATACCTTCCTCTTTCACTTTGCTTTTTTATGATGTAAACTTGTTTTACTTCAGCATTTATAGTTGCATTTATCTTTTCTAATTGAGTTTCTTAAAATGATTTTTGCACCCCTAGGACTTGAAGTACGAGGAAAACTCAGTCAAGGCGGTGGAATGCTTGAATGACATGGTCACCAATGCTTTGACACATGCGGAAGATTGTTTCAAATACATTTCTGCATTAAAAAATCCTGCTATATTCCGATTTTGTGCTATACCTCAGGTAACTGGCTTCTAACATACGTCATATATTTTAGAATTTATCTGGAAAGTGTTGTTTTAGTGCTTCAAAATGTTATTGTTATTGAGTCTACTTGAAGTGTGACTGATTGAATTTGCTAAAGTTGCAACATGATGCTATGTTGTGTGCAAATTTTTTTGCTTAAATTAAAATAAATTGTCTTTGTTATTTAGCATGAGCTCTAATTTTTCGAGTCTAGGTACTTTTACTGTAGCATGTTTTGTTTCAATTGTATTCTCTTTCCTATTTTTACCTTCAAAGATTCTGTTTACAAATCACGATGTTTTCAAGTGCTACTTCGATTCAAAGTCGAAGTTAGTTTGCTAAATCTGTTGTACATGAGCCATATTGTGTTTATGTAATGTTCTATTACATCCAGATTCCATCATATTTGTCAAGTTTATAGTATGCAGATTCATTATGTTTATTCTTTTAATGATTATGAAGCTTTATAGAAAACTTGTGTCTAATTTGATTCGTGCTACATTACCAGGTTATGGCAATTGGAACACTAGCATTATGCTACAACAACATTGAAGTCTTCAGAGGAGTAGTGAAAATGAGACGTGGTAAGATATTAATTTTGAACATTTTTGGCTGTTGAAACTATGGGAGCATCTCATATATGTAACTGGAAAAAATAATTTAGGTGTCTGCATGTTGCTTGGGTATTAAGATTCTCCATTTTTCATTACCTAGCATTAGGGGTGTCAACCGAGTTGAGCCGCTCGTGAGTTGGCTCGGCTTGGCTCATTAAATACTCGAATTAGGTACGAAGCCGAGTTTGAGTCTACCCCGGCTAGGCTCGCGAGTCAATAGTGGCTCGTTTAGGGTTTTTTTTGCAAAAAATAAAAGTTTTAGGGCTGTCTTTTAATTTGACATGTAAAAATTTTAAAATGTTGCAAATTAACTCAAACCCCAATTAAAGTTTTAGGATTTTATAATTTATTGTGTAATACATTGTTGATGTGTTGATTTGGATGTAAATTTACCAAAAATTGGATCTAATTTGTATAAAATAAGATCTGCGGGTTATATATAAAATAAGATCTGCGGGTTATAAAATAAGATCCAGTTCGAGCTCGAGTTAATCGGTTCATAATCGAGCTTTTCGAGTCGAGTCAAACGAGTTCGAGTCGAGTCACGAGCTGGCTCGATTATAAACGAGTCGAGTCATGAGTCGAATTTTCCTGACTTGTGACTCGACTCGAACTCGTTTAATGCTTAACTGAGTCAAGCTCGTTTAGGGTGATACTCGGCTCGTTTACAACCCTACATAGCATACCATATGATCCGCATAAGATTGTCGGAAAGCTCATGCTATTTGTGGCTTTTGGATCCCTAGAAGGTGAAATCACCTATTATTTGTGTACCAACTTTTACGTCCTAGATTTTCAAGCACGGTGTTTTTTTTTTTCATTTTTATGGAGGATTCCGGTGGTTGGCAAAAGACAAAGGCTTCTGTTTGTTTCTGTTGCTACTGGTGTGGCTATGATTTTCTTGTATTAATTCCTTAATGGTGTGTTTATCTTGTTCGTGTTTCTAGGTCTCACTGCTAAAGTCATTGACCGAACAAATAAAATGTCTGATGTCTATGGTGCCTTCTACGATTTCTCTTGTATGCTCAAGTCCAAGGTATGATGCTAAACAATAAGTTAATTTGCAGTCGTCGTTAGCAATGATCGTATTTAGCAACAATGGCGATTACTTTCCCCCTTCACAGGTTGTAAATTTTGCAAAGGGGGAAACTATTTTGTGGCTGATATTTCATTATTGGCCAAGCTTTTCTTGTGAATACATAGTTTCACTCACCAAAATCTGTTGTGGGTGGTTGTAGATCAACAAGAACGATCCCAATGCAACGAAAACCCTGAGCCGGATTAATGCAATACAGAAAACCTGCATGGATTCTGGGGTCCTAAACAGAAGGTTGGTAAAAGAAAAGGTTATATTCACCTCGAATCGAATCTTCTTATGTTCTTCAGTCTGACAACTTTTTTTACATATTCCACCAGGAAATCTTACATAATCCAAAATGGGCCAAACTACAATTCAACCATGGTGAGTTTTAATATAATAATCAATGTTTTTATGTAGTTTTTTTCCCAAGAATATTTTCTGATTATACTCCAATCATGCAGATTTTCCTACTTTTCATTATACTGGCCATCATTTTCTCGTATCTCTCCGCCAACCGATCAACAAACTAGTGTAAGTTCAGCTACTGGAATACAGTAAAAAAATTTCAGTCAGGAAATACTCTTATATCTCCTTCCCCGTTCGACATTTGCAGGATCGGTGGCATTCTTGAACTTCTCTCTCTGTCCATGGGTGAAGCATATGTGTTGATTGAGGTTGCTTTTCTATGTTTATATACAGTATTCTTGCTGGTTTCTGTATACCCCATATTTCAAGTTTGCTGATACAAAATTCTAAAGAATAGACTCCATTTTAAGGACTGTTTCTGGTGTTTCTGTAGCACTAAAAATTTTGGGCGTCTAAAGAGACTCAAAGAACAAGGCTAGAATGTTAATCAAACTCTTGTAAAGCATAATCAATACTGTTGCTTATTATGCTTGCCTTAATCTTTTCAGAGCGCAACACATCCAAATTAATGTTGAAAACTTTGTAAACACTTTGGGGAAGTGCTATATAATCCAAACAAATTACAGAAAATAAATTCAAGTAAAAAAATATAGCATTGAACTCAAAGTTATGAAACATTGGGTTGGAAGCTAATTGAAGCAGGCAAAATTTGTGTAACTGTGGAAAAAATAAAAAGACTGAACAGAGTTCACTCATCAATCAACAATTTTCAACAATAAAATAATAAATCACAAAAGTTCTGATCACGTCCTAGTACCAAAAAATTAAATAAATAATATATGAAAGGCATTCATATACCAATTGGAACAGAGGGATATCTGAGGGTAACTATATCACATGTCGAAAGAGCAGTCAAAAGATCGGTTTTCTTCTATTTGCGATAAAACATGCTCGAGCTTTGAGTACAAATTAGGCAAAAACATACACACATACAAAATCTGCACAGAAGCTGCTGACCCCATTGGAAAACTTTAGAACACTTCGGCCATTTTGCTTGCAAGAACACGATCCCTTCTTTCAACATACCCAAATGGGAACCATCCTGCTTTGCCTTTACATTCTCCTTCTGCCCAACCATTATTTGTCACCTGTCAAGATTTTAGAACAGGATCAAATTTTCAACTTGATTCCGTAAAGATAGAATATTAACTTTGAATTTAGTAAGTTGTTAACCTTTCGAATCACCACATAGTCACCAACTGACAAAGTCAACTCCACATCGGATTCGGCTTGATATGGATGCACAACCTACAACACAAGGCCAAATAAGAAATAAATAGCATACAAACAACCAGTTTAAAGACAAAGAGATTTTTATCAGTCATATTTTTATGTAGGATCAAGATAAACATTAATACTAACCTCCCCTAGGAAGTAACCCATGCCATCTGTTGATCCATTGTTTGTTTGAGAAGCATATACGCCATTAACTTCTTCATATGCTGGTGGTGGAGGCATGGGGCTTTCCACACTTGGGATAGGAGCAGCTTCAATCCGTTGTCGCTCTGATATCATCTAAAAATAGTAATAGAGAACAGGGATCAGAGTCATAAGCTGAAGCAGAAGACTACAGGATAAGTTAATTGTAAATTCAGCTTTTAAGTGAAGAATAAATATGGCCCAAAAGGACAAGATAACATGAATGGATACCTCGCTTTCAAGCTGATCAAGTATCTGAAGGACTCTCTGATGATAAGTGCGCTCTGCTTCAACCTTTATTACAATATTAAAATGACAGGATAGTACCAGAATGATTTTCTAAAATATATAATCCAAAATCATAATAATAGTACATATGGCAGAAAAAAGGAGAAATTTACACTACCATAGCGATAAGTCGCTGGAGAGTCAGTCTTTGTTGCTGAGATTCAACAGCAGCCATTGCTGAAGCAGCTTCCTTCCCCAAGATTGCCATGTTTGACTTCAAATCATGCAGCTTTGCTTCTGCACTTTCCAATTTCATAGCAAGCTCGGGATTGCCTGGTGTTTCTCTAACTTTAGCTTGTCGTTTTGAAACTTCAATAGCCTAACTAGGTTTAAGAGGTGTAACAACAAGAATGAGTATAATTCTTGCTAAGGAAATTACAAAGAAATTGAAAAACAAGCATTTGAATCAAAAGAACATACAAAACCATGTAAATCATATATTCACAACAATATGTTCTTTTTAATATCTAGGTTGCATACTCATAGTATAAGATACCTGAGCTTCAGCTTCTTGTCTCATTCTGTCATAACGTTGAGCAAGATGTCGTGCATCCTCCAATGGAGCTCCCATTACCATTGCTCTCAGTGGTTCTGCAACCTAAAAATCAAAGCATTCAATGCCACAAGAAGAACAAATTTAAAAGTCCTGTGAAAACCGGAAGCAGTTATTTGAAATACATTTAAATAAGTCTTAAGTGTAAAACAAAAAAGTATTCAACTGCTTTGATTGTTTGGCCAAACCTGTGTGCCTAAAGCTTTCAAGAGATTCCCATGCTCCTTTTCCATTTGAGCACGAGCTCGTCCATAATTCACTGCAGCTTTTGATAATGTATTACCACTGGTACAAGTATTTTCAGAACCATATTTCCTGCTATCCTCTGACAATTTTGCTCCTGTCAGGAAAAAAAAAAAAAAAATTACATTGATGGAAAATGTTAAGTTCATGAAACTCACAGTCAAATATCAAAGATTGACATTAAAGTTTAACCAAATCACCTATTTCAACTTGTTTGGATCCCGTAACAATATATCCCTCAACACCACGAACAATATCCCTTTGAAAATGCTGAAAAAGAAATTGAACCTTTAGGAATTAAAGAAGAGGGAAAAACAGAAATAGAAGAACACTAATCAATAGGAGGACTATGCAACCTTGCCAGCACGTGTTGAAATGTAAAGCCTCTCAAGTTTCTGATGTTGGTGGAGTTCTGCCTCGTCAGTTATAACATTGTCCGAACCTCCATATCCCCCACCCCCAAACTGTTTGAAGACAGCCTGAAGTAAAACTTTGTGTAACTAACAAACTTGTTTTAAGTGATTGAAAAATAAATAAATTGGAAGAAGAAAGGTCACTAAACAAAATATACACCCTAATTAAATCAGCATATTAATTACAGACAGATTAAGGGGTCAATTGAGCGAAAATGAGAAGCAAGGGCATTGATCACAGTAGATCTTCAAAATCATTGGTCAAGGACAAAGAACACACACAAGATGTATTAGGTGTGTATATATATATATATGGTGACAAGCACCACTAGCAAACATAAAGCAAGACTAAGTGTTTCTACGTAAAATGACCAAATACAGAAGTTTTAAACACAAAACACTCCAATCTAATCTAGATTTCCTATCTCAAATCTATAATACACCAAAGCTAAAATCAACTTCTCTGTTAGCACTTTTCAAGGTGATGTGTGGTGTAAACTAATACACCTCAGTTATACTTTTACACTAGTTTTTATGCACATATACATTTAGGTATAACTTGGTTATCCAAAATAATGAGGTTCATTACACTTTTGAATTTCTACACAGCAGCTTACTAGTAAGTCTTAAAACTGATCCCTATTTCCGTATCTAACATTACCTATAATTTCACGAAGCCAACCCTTCACAAATGAGGATTTTCTTCACTCAAGTAATGGACAATGAAGCCATTAATAGCTTCCATATGATAACTACATTCCCTACTTCACCACGGGAAACAGCGTCAGTGCTACCACTGTATGGACTCAAAATAACACCAGAAGTACAGAAAGTTTTCATCTAGAAGCAACAAAAAAGGACTTCTACTACTTCATTTGCTGATTTTCTCTACTGTAAGTCATTACACGAAGAACCTACATTCTCTTACTAATGCCACAACACAAACACCCCCTACAATAACACAGAAAATAAATCTCCAAACAGCCGCGAAACACAATTGCAGCAAATGATTTTTCAGAATAAATATTTATGCAGTAACAAATTTATAATCAAATCATCTCCGCTTACTCAATTTAAAATCATTTGATAGATCCAAATAAGACCTAATCGATATTGACAGAAATTAACAGAGCTAAAAGCCACAGCCAATCAGAACCTTTCCAAAACATGAAAACTACACCAAATAAATCAACAGAATCAAACAAAATAGAAAACAGTAATGCATCAACGTTTGACAAGATCAGAGATGTTAAGCTACGAGACATAACTGGAACTGGATCTAAATGAGACATTGACGAAGAAATTAGCGTTTAATAAAACCTGAATATAAAATAATTTCGTATATTACATTCATAGGGAGATAAGGAGGGAGAGAGGGACCTGTTGTTGCCTGGCGACTTGTTCTCTTAGCTTCGTGGCTTGTTTTCTGATTGCCTCCATTCAATTCAGAAGCGAAGTGCAAAGTTTTGTATTTTAAATTTTAATTTTGATTCGAATATTTGGAGCTGGAAATGTTGAGTTTACAGAGAGAAGAGAAAGAGAGATACACAGAGAGAGAGAGAGAGAGAGAGAGAGAGAGAGAGAGCTTTTGAATTGAAATGAGTTGGGTTTGGGAGAGACGGAGAGGCGTTCCACTATTTTTTTCTTCTATTTTTAAATTAAAACGACGTAGTTTTATTGTTATGCGGCCATTTTACGACAACCTATTTTCCATATTTTATTTAGCTTTTAAAAAATAAATAATATTAATATATTTTTTTAAACCAAAATGTTCGGACCAATTTAAATACATCTCAACTAATCATCAGGAGAGATCAACGCAGCAATCCACCGTTATAAACCCTTACTTAAATCTTGAGAGTAAAGTCGAACTTGAGACCGTACATCTTAATATTATTCAAACATAGGCATATTCATATGGTTTGAAAAATAATAATAATTTATAAATTGTTCATAACCTTATTTTTTATTTCATTGTTTATACTCTAGTCAAGACGTTCGATATTAATTAAAATACTATTTAATCCGATGAGTTTTATATACTCTAATTCTTTCTAGAATCATGAGAGTGAAAGTCCCTCTACATGTAGTAACTAAGATACTTAAAAACATTCTAAAAAGTGAAGTGCCAACAACTTCTAAGGCAAAGGCAAAGGCAAAGGCATCTTATAATCCAAGAAAAAGCAAAATCTAAAGAAAACCCATATTATTAAGCACTTTTAAGAGAAATATATAGCCGAACATGACCTATATTAACCATCATTGGGTGGTCTAACGGTTAACTAGGACTCTGAGATGTAATACTCAAGGGATCCTGAGTTTGATCCACTTGGGTTGCTAATATGGGTGGCCACTGAGGGATGTACCTGGTTGTGTTAACTTCAGGACTCCGAAGGATTAGTTGAGGTATATGTAAACTAATCCGAACACCCCCGATAAAAAAAGAAAGTGAGTTATATATAAAGCATTCTCAAATAGTTTCTTGTAAGCTTAACTATATATATATAAAGTGAGTTATAACATTCAAAGCTTCCATATTACGTCTTAGTGAAAAGTTATTAAAACATTCTTTCTTTTTGGGTCTTTCTTGTTCCTTCTTTTGTACATAATAATTCTATTGACAAAATCCCATTGGCTACAATCATTTATAGAACTGTGTAAAATAATGTTTCATCTTATGTGTATAGATCATTGCACTCATATTGTCTTAATCTTCATTAATAAGGTTAATTGTGATCTAATACATAGTCTTTTATTTACTTTGCCTTAAAACTCAATTTACTCAAAACCTGGTGTGATTTTCACTTATGGAGCCAGCTATATGTATTACCTTTCAACACATATACCATAACCACGTGGTCCAACGGTCAACTAGAATTCTTGGGTGTATTACTCAAGAAATTCTGAGTTCGATCTATCTAGATTACTGATATGGGTAGTCACTGAGGGGATTTATCCGACTGTCAACTTTAGGACCTTGGGAGATTAGTCGAGATCGTATAAACTGGCCCGAACACCTCCGATCACCAAAAAACAACACATATAAGAAACGGAAAGAAGAAGAAATTAACTTCAAAATCTGGTGTGATTTTCACTTATGGAGCTAGCTATATGTATTATCTTTCAACACATATAACATAACCACGTGTCCAACGATCAACTAGGACTTTTGGGTGTATTACTCAAGAAGTTCTGAGTTCAATCTACCTTGGTTGTTGATAGGGGTGGCCATTGAGGGGATTTATTCATCTATCAACTTCATTGCCTTGAGTGATTAGTTAAGGTGTGCGCAAACTGACCCGAATATCTCCGGTCAGCAAAAAAAAAAACACATATAAGAAACGGAATGAAGAAGAAATTAACTTAAAGTGAAGACCAGGACATGGAAGCTAGGAAATGGAACAGTCTTTGATGAAAAGATTAAATTAGGGTTTCATCAATCATGAAACTTGAACGTATACATACATATAGTTATATTCTGTAACTATATAACATATTTCTCTATACAGATTGAGAGAAAACGTTGGCTGATAGACAGCCATCATTAATAGTCCCTCAAAACACAAGCAAACTGAGTAATCTAGTGGAGTTTTTGAGTTTGGTGAGTGGAAGTTGTTAAAATAGTTCTTTTAGTGTTCATTAACAAAGGTTAAATTAATGGTGCTTTAACTAATTCATAGTGTTTATGCTTTGCATTATTATTTCTTCACATGACTGTGCATGCATGTCTTTGTCTATCACCTGAAAATTGACTCCCAGTTTCTGCATATTGCCTAAAAATTAGGGTTTAATTAATATTTCCCTGAACTTTGGGTTCATGATACATGAAAAAGAATGAGAGTAACCAAACAAAAGACAGAGAATATTGCTAGCATTTCAAAGCTCCACTACTACAATGAAGAGACATCACTTCACAATCTGATATACCCTTTGTGGAAGTCAAGTCAATGTTACAGACAGCTACTGTTTCCTCCATGAAACAACGTCCATATTAATTCCACTAAAACAAATTCAAGTATCCATCACTCAAATTCATTTAACTTGTTTAGACGTTTCATCATTGTTACATGAAAGTTTTTTTTAATGTAATAAATGTATATTCAATCTATCTGTTAAGATGTAGCACGATAGACGTTAGTGTATGTATATATGTATATGTAACTATTACTTTCAAAGAAATACAAAGTGACTCCAAACCAATCCAACAAACCCAAATATATATATATATATATTAATAAACTCATTGGTACAGTTAATGGTTTCACCATTCATATAAATGATAGCTCAAGTAGTAGCAGTGGAGCAGGTACTCTATGGGGGTCCCTTATAAATTATAATAACATTTAGAGTCATTACTCTTATCATTATATATAAATGGCATGAAAAAATATATTTTTTTATTACTCCTGTAGATATCTTTCAGGGTCTCTCTTGATAATGGCTATTGCAGTTTCTTCAAGGCTTTTGCTTGGCTTCATCTTTATTGTTCTTGAAGTGTTTCAGCCAGCAACTGCTTCCAGCAATGTGGGGTTTCTTCTGTGAGCTTTTGTTTTGGTTCTTGATGATGTTGTGTTTTTTTTATGATTTTAGTTAATGGGTTGTGGTTTTTGTTGGTGTTTACAGGTTAACATTGTGTATTTGGGAGATAGAAACTTTGATGAGTCTCAGCTAACTCAGGATTTACACCATGAGATCCTCTCAAATATTCTTGGAAGGTTTTATTTCTAACTCCTCTTTGTTATAGTTCATCTTTTCTCTTCCTTTTTTGTGAAAAACCAAAAAAAGACTTTTGGGCAAAATGTTTAGTTTCCATGTCCTAGAACCAATGAAACCAAATTTCTTTTTCAAAGAGATCAAAGTTTGGGGACTAGAAAAAAAAAAAATATGATTAGTGAGCTGTGGTGGTTGTGGCGCTTCTGTAGTGGCTGTCATCTTGAATTTGTATTCTGCTTATTGGTGGCTTCAATTGGTTTTCTCACTCTTCATTTTCCCTCTAAAAGCATTATCCAGTCTTGACCAGAGCATTCACAGGGAACCTTCTTGTAGCAATAAACACAAATTAACAACTTCCAATATTAAATTTGACAGCAAAGAAGCTGCAAAGGAATCAATTTTGTACAGCTACAAGCATGGTTTTTCTGGATTTGCTGCAGTTCTAACCGAGTCTCAAGCCAAGCTAATTGCAGGTGTTATAATTTTGGTGAACTGTGAACACTGTTTCATAGTCCTACTTGTACTTTTTAACTATTACTCGGTTGTTGATATTTCTTGTATGATCTATTGGTGCAGATATCCCTGGTGTTGTTCGAGTCATTCCAAACAAGATACTTGATTTACAGACAACTAGAAGTTGGGATTTTCTTCAAGTAAAGCCTTATATTGAGAATGGAATTATTTCAAAGTCTCATTCAGGTTCCGGGTCAATCATTGGCGTCATTGATACTGGTGGGCATAGAAATGCTGTATGTACTTGTATTATTAGAGGAATTTAGCTTAAGCTTTTTATCACTGCTTGTTGTGCAGGCATATGGCCAGAATCTGAAAGCTTCAGCGACAATGGTATGGGAGAGATTCCGTCTGGTTGGAATGGAATATGTCAAGAAGGAGAAGGATTTAATCACTCCAATTGCAATAGGTGTGTTCTTCATCTTCTCTCACATATTTTCTTTTAAGCAACATCATATGGCTTAATGGCTGTCAATGTTGAAGGGTGTCACAAGAACGGCTGCTAATATTGTTGGCTTAACCAACAATGGGTTAGCCTAAATAGTAAAGACTTGGGGTTAAGGGGTTTGCTCTCCCTGTGGTCTTAGGTTCAAATCACAAGAACAATTACTAATGTTGTTGGTCATGGATTGTTGGGCTTGCCCTGTTTCGAAAGCCTGTTTGGGGTCAGGGGACTAGTCGAGGTGTGCCCGGACAACCCCGTAACCAAAAAAAAAAAGATGGTGTTGGCTGAATTTGACTGCTTAATGCTAGAAATTTTTTAACAGGAAAATCATCGGTGCACGCTGGTACATTAAAGGGTATGAAGCTGAATTTGGGAAGCTGAACACTAGTGATGGGGTTGAATTCTTATCTCCTCGAGATGCTGTGGGCCACGGTACTCACACAGCATCTACAGCAGCTGGTGCTCCAGTAAAAAATGCAAGCTTTATGGGTCTAGCTCAAGGAATCGCTAGAGGGGGTGCTCCTTTAGCTTCTTTAGCTGTCTATAAAGTTTGTTGGGCTACTGGTGGCTGCAGTTCAGCTGACCTTCTCGCTGCATTTGATGATGCAGTCTCTGATGGTGTGAATGTGCTTTCAGTATCCCTTGGTTCATCCCCTCCGCTTTCCACTTATTTTGATGATATACTATCAATTGGTTCCTTCCATGCTGCAGCAAAAGGGATTGCTGTAGTATGCTCTGCGGGAAATTCTGGTCCTTATCCTCAAACTGTCATAAATACTGCCCCGTGGATTATAACTGTTGCGGCTAGCACCATTGATAGATCTTTCCCTACTGCTATTACAATGGGAAACAATCAAACTGTTGTGGTACTTTCTAACTTCCTTTTCATTTATGCAAGAGAATTTTGAATTCAGAAACTTCATGTGATGGATGTGGAGCTACTCTGTAATCAACTTTGTGCTATATATACGTATAAACTAATTTGATTTTCTCAAACAGGGTCAAGCATTTTACACCGGAAGAATGGATATGAACAAGTTTTACCCCATTGTGTATGGAGAAGATATTGCAAGCATTGATGCGGACGAAGACAGTGCCAGGTAGAGCACCTTTCTGTTTTCATCCTGCTGGACAGTAGAGAATTTCATATTCTAATAGTGTGTACTTTTAGCAGCAGTTGTGATTCAGGAACTCTTAATGCTACTTTAGCAAGAGGCAAAATTGTTATTTGTTTCCAATCTCGGTCTCAGAGATCAGTTGCAACTGCTGCCAGAACAGTAATGGCAGTCCAGGGTGTTGGTCTCATCTTTGCTCAGTTTCCTACAAAGGATGTTCAATTTTCCTTTGGTATCCCAAGTGTCCTCGTGGACTTCGTGATCGCTACATCTCTGCTCACCTACATGCAGGCAAGCAGGTAACTGAATTGAGTAATGGTATGCCAACAACACATTCGCACAAACTTCTCTTACAACCCTGACGTGGCAACTGACCTGACATTATCACGGCAGCTCCACTACACTAAAGATGCAAAATAATTTTGACTAGACCAAAGGAATGATTGTTCCTCGAAAGAAGAAGAAAATGTTGTTCCTTAAAAGAACAGTCATTCCTTATGAAGGAATAAATGATTGTTCCTTATAAAGGACAACCGTTCCTTATGAAGGAATGATCGTTCCTTCATAGGGGATGAAGGAACAACCATTTGTTTCTCGTAATGCCTTGGGTGTGGTGGGGAGTTGATGTGATAGTGCTAATCTATTGACACGTTAGGATTGTANACTCTGTAATCAACTTTGTGCTATATATACGTATAAACTAATTTGATTTTCTCAAACAGGGTCAAGCATTTTATACCGGAAGAATGGATATGAACAAGTTTTACCCCATTGTGTATGGAGAAGATATTGCAAGCATTGATGCGGACGAAGACAGTGCCAGGTAGAGCACCTTTCTGTTTTCATCCTGCTGGACAGTAGAGAATTTCATATTCTAATAGTGTGTACTTTTAGCAGTAGTTGTGATTCAGGAACTCTTAATGCTACTTTAGCAAGAGGCAAAATTGTTATTTGTTTCCAATCTCGGTCTCAGAGGTCAGTTGCAACTGCTGCCAGAACAGTAATGGCTGTCCAGGGTGTTGGTCTCATCTTTGCTCAGTTTCCTACAAAGGATGTTCAATTTTCCTTTGGTATCCCAAGTGTCCTCGTGGACTTCGTGATCGCTACATCTCTGCTCACCTACATGCAGGCAAGCAGGTAACTGAATTGAGTAATGGTATGCCAACAACACATTCGCACAAACTTCTCTTACAACCCTGACGTGGCAACTGACCTGACATTATCACGGCAGCTCCACTACACTAAAGATGCAAAATAATTTTGACTAGACCAAAGGAATGATTGTTCCTCGAAAGAAGAAGAAAATGTTGTTCCTTAAAAGAACAGTCATTCCTTATGAAGGAATAAATGATTGTTCCTTATAAAGGACAACCGTTCCTTATGAAGGAATGATCGTTCCTTCATAGGGGATGAAGGAACAACCATTTGTTTCTCGTAATGCCTTGGGTGTGGTGGGGAGTTGATGTGATAGTGCTAATCTATTGACACGTTAGGATTGTAAGAGAAGGTTATGAGAATATGTTGAAGGAGTAGCATTACTCAACTGAATTATCAGTGGTGAACTTGATTCTTCTTATCATTGCTCCTCTAATTTCTCTGCATCTAAGCAACATTGTCAAATGCTGTTATTTGCAACTGTTTAAACTTTAAATGTTCTAAATGTACAAATCTTGCTATCTTAAACAAAATTAGTTGATGAACTTTTTTATGTGACAGAAACCCCTTAGTCAAATTTAGCTTCACAAAGACAGTTATAGGGCAACAGTTATCACCAGAAGTTGCTTTCTTCTCTTCTCGAGGGCCTAGTTCCCTCTCTCCCTCAGTATTGAAGGTATTGCCAATTTGTTCAGATAATTATTGGTTTAACTGGTTCTTGACATTGGCATATTTGAATGTGCTGTGCAGCCAGACATTACAGCTCCTGGGGTTAATGTCTTGGCCTCCTGGTCTCCTGCTTCATCCCCTGATACAGATAACAGCATACCGCCACTTAACTTCAAAATCGAGTCCGGAACCTCCATGTCTTGTCCCCATGTTTCTGGTATTGTGGCTCTTCTAAAAGGTAAATATCAAACGTGGAGTCCTGCTGCAATCAAGTCTGCACTGATCACAACAGGTGAGAAAAAAACAAATTTTATGGAGTTTCGGTTGCATCCCTTACATTTTAACATTACTGATGCTTTTACCACTCTTTCCAGCTTCTCTGAAGGATGAATATGATCAAATTATAGTTTCTGAGGGAGCTCCTCACAAACAGGCTGACCCATTTGACTATGGAGGGGGTCATGTCAATCCTAATAAAGCCATGGATCCTGGATTAATATATGACATGGGAGTATCAGATTACGTTCATTTCCTTTGTGGAATGGGATATAATAACTCTGCCATCAGCTCAATGACAAAGACTCAGACCAGATGTTTCCGTAAATCAACCGGATTCCTTGTAAATCTTAATTTGCCTTCAATCACCATTCCAGAGCTTAAGAAGTGCCTAACTGTATCAAGAACAGTAACGAATGTTGGTCCAGTGAATTCTGTCTATACTGCTCGTGTTCAAACTCCGGCTGGCGCTACTGTGGGAGTCGAACCATCAACTTTGACATTTAATTCTACTGTAAAGACTCTGAAGTTTAAGGTAACTTTTCGTTCCCAGCTCAGAGTTCAGGGAAGATACTCGTTTGGATATCTGTTCTGGGAAGATGGTTTACATCATGTTGTGAGAATACCGTTGATAGTTCGAACTGTCATTGATGATTTTTATTCCCAAACATGATCATAGAATGCCATTGGCTGTACCATGTTTCATTGATAGTTTATCACTTACTGCTGTATTCTTCCAATATAAACATCATGTTTGAATTGATTTAGCAAAACAATAAAAACCAGGAAAGAAGCTGCTAGGAACTATGAAATTATTGTACTAATTTCTTCAGTTTTTTGACTTGATGAAGATTGTGTTGGAATATCGTGGCTCGTTTTCCTATTTGTTCTCATGTGAAATTATATGTATATAGGAAAATTATTTGGTAAAGAATACGATTATAAATTAGGAGTCCTAAAAGGAATTGAAATATAAATCCTATTAGAAATAGAATATCTCATATATTATGAGAAGACATGGTATTTGATGTAATAATTATTAAACACTATTGGGAGAGTGTTTTAGAAACTGGGATCGTTTCCACTCTAGGTACTGGGTTGAGCGTGGTTAGAAATCAGGATTGTTTCCGCTCTGTTTTATGTACCGGGTATATGGTATTGTGTACTCTAGGGGTGTTCAAAAGCGGTTAACCGAACCGGTTAACCACTTTTTTGAACCGAAACCGAACCGGTTTGGAGGAAAAACTGAAAAACCGGTTAAACACTTTAAAAAAAGCGGTTAACCGGTTTTTAACCGGTTTTCCCTTTTTTTTTTTTTATAAAACTTATTTTTTTTATTTTTTCCTAAATTAAACTGTAAATATAAACAATACATATCCAAATAAAAATTAAACATTCATACATATCTATTGACTACTACTAACAATATATTAAAAATATTATTATTTTTTTATTTAATATATAATATATATTTTTATTTAATATATATATAACCGGTTCAAAAAACCGGTTTCGGCTAACCGCTTTTTATTTTTTCCCAAACCAAAAATCTGGTTTTTTTAATTTTTCGAACCGTAACCGAACCGTTTTTTCGGTTAACCGGTTTTCGGTTCGGTTTGGTTTTTGCATTTTTTTGAACACCCCTAATGTACTCTTGTATATGGTATTCATGAAACTATAATGAATTTCTCTCATCTGTAAATATAAGCAGGTTATGCCGAACCACGTAAATATCGTGTCTCTTTGTGTGGTGTGATTTTATTCTTATGTTATTAATTTCGAATGTATGTTTTCCGTTTGCGCGATCTCCAAACAGATTGTGTTATCTCCTTTATCCATAAGGCAATCATAAGTTAATGAACTGCTCCTGCACGCTTCACTCCCTGTTCTTCTTGAATTAGAGTTCTGATTTCATATATTTTTTCACAGTCAAAACTTTTTGTTGCTATTCGCTCGAGTTGATAGCTATTTCGGTCTAATTTTTCTGTCTTTCATCTGTCTCTTTGAATCGAATACTCATTGTTAATTCCAAAAAAAAAAAAATATAGAGAGGGACAGAAACAATGATGATCATGCTCTGGATAATATCAACTATACTTTTTATAAAGATGAAGAAGAGGATTGAAATCCACCAAATATGGCCATACCAGGTGGGTCCTTCAGCTTTGTCTTCCATTATACATCAGCATGCAGCTATTGGGCCTGCAAGTTTATTCTATGAAATAATTCACACAAAAGTTAGAAAATGAAATATGATTATATAAAATATACAGTATAATGTTGTGTGAATGAAGTCACTTGTGAGATTTTTATATTCTAAAAGATCATCAACTGGTTATGTTTGTTGAACAAACCTGCAACCACACCCAACATGAGTTTACTTGTGAAATTGAAAAATTTTAACAAGGTTTGATTACTTAAAGCTTCCTTCAAAGTCATCAACTAATCATCGGTAATGAGCATAGTTTATAACTAACTCGTGATTTCTTATGCGCATCTCGATTATTCTCTTGGGACCCTGAAGTTAACGGTCAAGTTAGCCTCCAGTGGCTACTGATAGAATTTGAAGTGGGTCTGACTCCTCATCTAATAAGGTCTTGTTGAATGTGAGGATTATTCTCTCTTATAAACCAGAAGGCTTGAGCGTGTCTAATCGGTATGGGACTCCAACGCTCCTCTTCACGGTCAAAACCCATATGGTGGGTCATGCCTGTTGATGAAGATAGTTGCTGGTTCTAATTCCTCACCCGTTGATCAAGCACTCAACTCAACTGAACCTGACTTTGATACCATGATAGAATTTGAGGTGGACTTGACTCCTCACCCAATAAAGTCTTGTTGAATGGGAGGATTATCCCCTCTTATAAACCAGAAGGCTTGAGCGCACGTGCTTAGTCGGTTGAAACTTCAATAGCTACCCCTTATTAGTAGTTGCAAGGATTTGAACTCAAGACCTCTTAAGTAATACACCCAAGAGTCCCAAGTGAATCACCAAAGGGGTTGACCTAACGGTTAAGAAGATTTGCTCCCTTCATTGACTTTCTAGGTTCGAAACTTGGGACCATCTACCAGATTTGTAACTTACTTTAAAATATCAAGTTTGTAGAGTATTCAATGGTCCCGAAGATTAATCGAGGTGTGCGTAAACTAGTCTAAATATCCCGTCATCAAGAAAAATAATAATACATTGCTTAGTATTGAAGACAAAAGTTGGGTGGCTTTGGAAACTTCAAAGGTTAAAGTGAAAATGGTTAGTCAATTTCTGGGTTCTTTCCTTCTTCTTGCCTACCAAAATCATTTAGCAATAAACAATGAAGACTTAATTGGGTCAGTCTAAAATCATCATCCTGTTTGTCTCTTGCTTAGCTTCTACATAATCTATTAAACTCTTTTTTATTAAAATAAAATATCACATGTTATTGTATAATGGAGAGGGACCATGCACGTGACCGCACCGAATCACGGATTGTCGTTTGCTAATAGTAGCCATTGTTTTCTAAATCTTAAACGACATGGCTCCTCCCCTTGCTGTATCTTCTCACGCTTACTGCCACGTGCTCTTTCCTTGAGTATTCCTTTGTCTTTTTCTGTCAAACGGTCGGCTGGATTTTTATTTTTTATTTTTTTAATCAAATTTAGTAAACAGTTCTCTCTGTCTCAACTATGAAATTGTCCTTTTCTCCGTTTAATTGGGAATCCGTTGCAAGGATAATGACCTTTGTGTTTCCGACCCATTTCAAATGATGTTCGATTCAGTTTATACGTATTTCAATTAATTTTTTAGAATCTTTAAGTTGATAGTCTTGATAAATTTTCAATATTATCACCTCTATTAACAATCTAAGTAGATCGAATTCAGGATTTTTCGAGTAATACACCCAAAAGTCAATATTAGACCGTTCAAATGGCAGAATGTACGTTGGGATGTGTAGTTAAGGGTGTTTGTCACCTTCAAAGATTAGTCAAGAAGTTGACCCGAACACCCTGTTTTAATCTCTTTATGAAGAAAAGGTAGTTGCTTTTCCTATACTCTAAAGAAACTTTCATGATGGGGTTAATCATACATTTCACATTTTCTAGTTACTCATGTCATGGGGCATCTTCAAATGTTACAAGTCTTTTTTAAGAACTTGTAATATATTATAATAACACCCTTATAATAAGGGTCCGTTACTCTAGCAACATTTACGTGATATCTCATATAAAGTAAATCCTTAACTTTTACTAAGACTACGAAAATATTAAAAAAATATATATATAAATATATATAAAATCATATATAATGGATTAAGATACTTAATTTTGTTTGTTATCACATATCTTTAGGTAATATTAATATATTGTATGTTAATCTAATTATGTCAAATGAAAATGTTTTTTTTTTTAATCAGGGTGTCCGCAAGACTGATTCCTGAGATGCATTGAACACCTTATAAACCCAACCTCAACTAATCTCCGAGACCCATTGAATACTCTACAAACCCAACTTAATGAGTCAGGTAAATCACAAATATGGTAAGTGATTACTTTGAACACCCTACAAGCCCGACCCAATGAGTCAGGTAAATCATAAATGTAGTAGATGATCACTTTATGAAATTCGAACACATGATTTCTAGATAATCTATCCAAATAATTAAAGTCTTATCATCCAGTCGTAAAGCTAATGAGTAGTTAAGTTTTCTTCATACACCAATTTTTTATTTTTTTTAATGAATTTATTTTCATATGGGTATTATGATTATCCTTAAATGTGTGTAAATTAAATTAATTTTGTGGTGAAAAATAAAGAGATACAATAAATTAATAGCCTTAGTTAGAACTCAAAAGTTAGTTTAGTTGTCATTATTGACTTGTTGCATTGTTATAATCCCAAAACAACTTTAATATTTCTAGAAGAAAGAGAAAGAGATTTTTTTTTTCTTTATTTGGAGAAGTGAAAAAGAAAATATAAGGTGCCTTTGTTTTATTATTCCCGATCCTATTTCCAAAATATATGTTTGTTTAATTATTTAGAAAATATTATTCTATTTTTTTAATTATTTTTAGACCTCTTAAGTTTATTAATTTAATTAAACGCTCATAGAAAAAAGTTTAAAAATTAACAAAAACACCCTTATCCACCCATAATTGCCAGATTCCAGCAACCATCGTCGACGATTGTCAGAATCTGTCACAATGACGTACAAACGATTGAAATTGACCAGTAATTCACCAATCTAGCCTTTTCCAATCAGATCCACAGTGCATTTGGTCGGAAAAAGTCAGATCTGGCCGTCAGCGACGGCCAAAGAATTGATCGACAACGATGGCCAAATCTAGCCTTTTGCTACCGTCGACAACTAGATCTGGCCTTTTGCGGCCAGATCTTTGGTGGATCTGGCTGGAAAAGGCTATATCGACGCACGACTGACCAGATCTGGCACTGTGGGTGGGTGGGGGTGTTTTTGTCATTTTACAAAAAATGTATATATTAGGGTGTTTAGTTAAATTAGCAAACCTAAAGGGTTTTTTTTTCTTAATTTTTAAATTTTACCTCGTAATACTCAACCTATTCAACTACCTAATATTATTCCCAAAATCTTATCCAAAATAACAAAACGAACACACCCTATATAACTTTGCATTATAATTATTTAACATAAGATTATTACATAAATAATACAACATAGGCAACTTTGCATTATAATTATTTA